ACGCATGTCGTCGGAGAATCTCCCGTGACGGTAGATCAGACGGAGGAGGGGTGGGAGGCGACAGACAAAAGCGGATAATGCATGACCGCGAATAGAGAGAGGTCGTGTGTAGGTACGTGTGTGTGTGTGTGTGTGTGTGTGTGTGTCTGGAGTCATGGATGAACGGGCACCGTGGTCCTCCTTACTCTCTCTGTGTGTGTGTTTTGCGTGGGAAGTTGGACAAGTTGGAATCTGGCACTTACAACCCCTCCAAGAACCGTCCATAAGGCCTTGGCATTATGGGAGAACGGCACAGCATCTTCCACGGGCCATTGAGTGAAATGAGACCACTTGGCTGAACGTGGCAATGTTGAGCACTTGTTCTCTACTCAAGGTTCGCTCAAGCTGCGTGCCTATCCTTGTGGGGATCAGTGATCACGGTGTAAGTGTGTGCAAGTTTTACGTACCTAGCGTGTCTGGGTTGACTGGTTGGTTTGGTTTGGTTGGCACGGATAAGTTGTAATAGGGTTTGTAAACTGGATGGTAAGTTTAGTTAGACAGAACTCACAAGATCACAAAAGAGGCCCAAGAGGTCCAAGACTCTCTCTCTCTCTCTCTCTCTCTCCAATACTCCAATAACTCTCCAAAAAAGAAGGGGTCGGCAGCGCCCCGATCTATAATTTTAGCGAGAGTTTGCCCGTCCGCTTATCTTACCCGCTAATCCAACCCGCGCCCCTGGGTTGGGCGTGGAGTTCGCTCTTTTTCTTCGTCTGTATTTGCACACACACGCAGCACCTAATACGGATACACACCACACCATTAACTCGACAACCCCAAGTACGGAGACCTCGCCGCGGGGCACACACATGGGACCAATGGACCATGGTTCCAAGAACCAGTCCGCACGGCGCGGGGGGAGCCAATGGTATTTCTCCCAGACTTTACAGCGAGAATTGAGCTCCCTCTAGGCCATGTCATTGGCCGGCCCTGCGCGCACCACCACCACCACTCTCTCCGCGGACCACCACCCACACACCCTGAGCCATCGAACGCGCACCTAGCAAACACAAGTTAATTAGCACGATTAGGTGGCCGCCCCCCGCGCGGGCAGCAAGTAGACTCGGAACTGACTCCAAGGTCCAAGGGCCACCACCCGCATGCGGCGCTTGCATGCACCGGCCTGTCATCGAGAGGGACGATCTTCCGCACCGTGGCCCACACACGCACGACGTTTCGTGTCCCGCCTCGGTTATTGCCAGTGGTCTTTCGACCACCTTTTTCTGACTTGGTTCCAACTTGAGAGACAGAAAGAGAGACCAAAGAGAGAGCAAGAAGGGGGGCGGGGAAAGACAATGGCGCCGGGCTAAGGTCGACTGTGGTCCGATTTGTGAGGATGTATATATAAGTGAGAGCGAGGAGCTTCCGGGCGAGCACTCTTTCTGAGCTCGCAAGCTAGTCGTTGTGTTGCTCTGTCTGCCCTGCGCTCCTCTACTCTGTACTGAGCATATCTACTGTCCCACTTCCTTCTCCCTTCTTTCCCCCCCCCCTCCTCTCTTTCTTTTACACCCAATTGCAATATCTCCAGGTAGTCTGACTTTAGCAGCTCTGTCAGACTGGTTTTCGGAATGGGTTCAATAACTCTGAACAACGCCAGCAGAGCTTGGTGGAAGGATGCCGTCATCTACCAGATCTACCCCGCCAGCTTCAAGGACGGCAACGGAGATGGCCTCGGCGATGTCCAGGGCATGATTGACAAGGTCGACTACCTCAAGAACCTGGGCACTGACATCGTCTGGGTCTCGCCCATGTACGCCAGCCCCCAGATCGATATGGGCTACGATATTTCCGATTACCAGGACGTCCACCGCCCCTACGGTACCGTCCGCGACATGGAGGTCCTCATCGAGGAATGCCACAAGCGCGGCATGAAGCTCATCCTCGACCTCGTCGTCAACCACACCTCGGACGAGCACAAGTGGTTCCAGGAGTCGAGATCCTCAAAAACGAACCCCAAGCGCGACTGGTACATCTGGAAACCCCCCCGCTACGCCGAGGACGGCACCCGTCTGCCTCCCACCAACTGGCGAAGCCACTTCAGCGGTAGCACCTGGGAGTGGGACGAGCCCACGGGCGAGTACTACCTCCACCTCTTCGCCAAGGAGCAGCCCGACCTGAACTGGGAGAACGAGGAGACGCGCGAGGCCATTTACGAGAACGCCATGCGCTTCTGGCTCGACAAGGGCGTCGACGGCTTCCGCATCGACACGGTCAACATGTACAGCAAGGGCGTCGACTTCCGCGACGCCCCCATCATGAACAAGAACGCCTACGAGCAGCCCGCCTACATGATTTACTGCAACGGCCCGCGGATACACGAGTTCCTGCGCGAGATGAACGCAAAAGTCCTCAACCACTACGACACCGTCACCGTCGGCGAGCTCCCCCACACCCCGGACCCGAAACACGTCCTCAAGTTCATCAGCGCCGCCGACCGCCAGCTCGACATGGTCTTCCAGTTCGACATTGTCGACCTCGGCCAGGGCGTCGGCTACAAGTACCAGGCGCAGAAGTGGACCTTACCCGAGCTGAAGCGCATCGTGGCCAAGTGGCAGATGTTCATCGAGGGCACCGACGGCTGGACGACGGCCTTTTGCGAGAACCACGACCAGGGGCGCTCCGTCTCGCGCTGGGGCAGCGACACGCCCGAGTGGCGCGAGACGTCGGCCAAGATGCTGGCGCTCATGATGTGCTCGCAGACGGGCACGCTCTTCGTCTACCAGGGCCAGGAGATTGGCATGACCAACGTCTCGCGCAGCTGGGGCATCGAGGACTACAAGGATATCGAGGCGCTCAACTACTACGACGACATCAGAAAGGAGTTTGGCGAGGGCAGCGACATGCTGGAATACGTCATGGACGGCATCAACCTGCTCGGCCGCGACAACGCGCGCATCCCGATGCAGTGGGATGACAAGCCTTACGCCGGCTTCACGGACAACAAGGACGGCGCGTGGATGCGCGTCCACGACGAGTATAGGTCCATCAACGTCGCCAAGCAAGAAAAGGAACCGGGCTCGGTGTTGAATTTCTGGCGCGAGATGCTGCAGTTGCGCAAGGAAGAGGGCGAGCTGCTGACGCACGGCGCGTTTGAGCTGTTTGACGAGGAGAACAAGGAGACGTTTGTGTATAAGAAGTCGCGCGGGGGCCGGAGCGCCGTCGTGGTGTTGAATTTCACGGGCGAGGAGCAGCTTGTTGAGGTCCCCGGCGAGGGTGCCAAGATCCGGGTCGGAAACTACGACGACGTCAAGGATAGAGTTGCTTCCGAGGGTGGCAAGACGATCTTGAGGCCTTGGGAGGGACGGTTGTATCTGCAGGGTTAAAGTTGTGTGAGCATGTGGTTCTTTGGATATACCTCCTGAGTTATAGGGTAAAATGGGTTGGTGGACAAGATTTGGTGCAGATTTGCAGACTGTGCTATTTTGATTGAGAGTCTATAGAGAGATGATCGGCCCATCGTGGCTGGAACTTTGGGGTTTTTATATTTATTTAGGATACCAAATGAAGCTATTCCCAACTCCTCACAAACGACTTTCACAACGTCCTCTTTGTAACTTTTTGGAGTCGCCGAGTAATTAGACCCCAAAGTTGGGGTAAGCTCCCTTGCACAGCATGGACTCCCCTCTCTCGGCTCCTCGCATTCGCTTGCATCTCCACACCATCTTTAATCCTTCAACATCCATCCAACTTCCTCAAGTCGTTCTTTCTCAACCAAGTGTGCTTGGAGAGCTGACCAAAGCAAACATCACAAAATAAAAAGGACTATTTTTTTTTATTTTTTTATTATTTTTATTTTTATTTTTTGGTGCACGAGTCTTTCAGTGCTCTAGCAGATGACTTTCACTTCTTGGATACGCTGCCCGCCGGTCATTCTGCAAATTTCTGCGCTTAGTTTCGCCGTTGGCAACTATAATGTGAAGTCTAATAGAGACAAGGAGATCACAAGTTCCTTTCTTTTTAACAAACAGTACAGAGCCAAAGCGTTTTCATAGTGTCAAGCTATATGTTCTTCTCAATCAGTTAGTCTGCTAAGCTAGCTGGCTTCTTCTCTTTTCTTGGAGGCGAGATCGCTTGACGAACTATGTACACGGGAACATGTTGTCAAGAAAGCAATCTCTAACCCGTTCTTCACATTAGAGGACAATCAGTCTTGGTGCCCCTTAACTTACAGCTCTTATATAAGGGCTGGTTTCCAAGGATAGGGAAAACAAAAAGCTGGACTGTTGAAACCAGTTCACAGCAAGGATGAGTAGCTTACCGCTGCTTGTCATTGATAATTCCAAAGATGAGGTCCCCGAAAAGTTCAGACTCAAACACCAATTGTCTTTCATGTCCTAACTAAGATCCTGCACAACGTAATTCCATGTTCTTCTTACCGACCACATTGATGTCAGTTCCCGCATTGTGTGAAAACCACGTGCCATGTTGGGTTTTACTGCCCGTTGCTAGCATATTTTAACGACGCGAGTCTGAATTGTTTGAGTTTACTTGAAAGCCAGCTATCGTTGATGCTGAGCAGCTTTTGAGGCAGTGAAGCCCAAAAAGCTTTCTTTGTCAAGACTGAGAATTGGACAAGGGCTGGCTCCTGGTTTTACCATGGTTAATCGAAAACCTAGGTGCTTACTTCAAGTCCCGTTCCAGTACAAGTCACGATCCGGTGACTGTCCCGTGTCGTACCATGGATATGTATGAGCGACTAAGTAATATCGAGACAACTTCAGGTTCTGCTCCAGTGCTCATACTCCGGTAATACACCCGTATCATCCCACGAATATGCTAAGGTGGCCGAGCAGTGTTAAGACCTTTAAAGTCCCGCTCCAGTGTTATTCACAGTCCAGTGACAGTCCCGTATCGTGCTACGAATACGTGCGAGCAACTAAGCAGTGCCGAGAGATCTCTATTTAAATGGCTTTCTATCTTTCCTATCCTGACTTTTCAACTCTCCATCCACCACCACAACAACGATGCCTTCCCTCAGTCAGAGCGTGGCCCTGGGGTACGTCATCGTACTCCAGGGTCTCTGGCTCTCCTTCGGAGGAAGTCCCATCATTGACTTCGTTCTCAGCGCTCTTATAGCAGTCCCAGTCACCGCCGCTCTCTGGCTCGTTGCTTCCGCCATCAGCCATCGCATCAGCGAGACGATCCTCCCCGGTCAGCCTATCGAATCCTACATGATCTTCAAGCATCTGGCAAAGGTCAAGTACCGCGGCAAGAGAAAGATCCCGATGGCCACCTTCTGCCAGATGTACCTCGACGGAGAGGTTGAGATGAACGGAGACACTCTGGCTATCCTCGAGAAGAGACATGACTGGGCTTCTTTCCGTCTGACTTTCGGTCTCATCTACCACGTTCTGTTCAAGCTCATCCCAAAGATGGCTGAGGTTCTCTGCTTTCATGGTGTGTTTGTCCCTCATCCTAACTGATTTTCATCAGAAATATCTAATCAAGTTGTATACAGATGATGCTTGTGTTCATCCAGACTACGAGGAACTCGACGTAGGCTTGCTGCGAGGCTTCCTGGGACCGCGCATGATGTACACCTCTGGTATCGTCCGCGACACCAACAACAAAGAGTCTCAAGAGGAACTCGAGAACAACAAGCTCGACATCATCTGCGAGAAGATTCATCTTAACCCATACGACAGAGTCCTCAGCATCGGTTATGGCTGGCAAGCGTTAGCCAACTACGCCCGTCGTATCTTTCCCGATGTCCCATTCACTGGCCTCACCCATACCAACGAGTATATCAACATCCCGGCCATCAGAGGCGGATACAAGAAGATCATCTGCACGCATCTCGCCCAGCACAAAGGCCCCGGCAACTTCATGGCTCTGCACACAGGCCCTGGCGAGTACTCAGACTTCCTCAAGCATATTCACGGTCTACTCTCCAATGACGGTATCTTCTTCCTCGAGGTCGCGGGCGCGGACAAGTCTTGGCAGTACGAGGACCTCGTATGGAGACTCCTCATGGCCAAGTACGTCTGCCCCGACGCCGTCCCCTATACCTCGCTCGGATCCTTGACCAACCAGCTCGAGACCGCCGGCTTCAGAGTCAACAGCGTGGACAACATTGGCCGCCACTACTCTGAGACGGTCCGGAAGTGGTACGGTAACTTTGTCTGGAATCAAGAGGCTTTGGTTTCCATGTATGGCCCCAAGATCTACCGGGTGAGTTTTCTCACACAGCTCTTTCCCTTCCCCCCTTTTGTCACCATACGTATAAAATACTGACGGTTAGCCTACCTTGCTAGACGTTCGAGTTCTTCTTGGCCTACATGGTCATCATCTTCGGTCAAGGCCGCGCCAACACTTACCAGATTGTCGTCACCAAGAATCCCAGTTCTGTCAACCGAACTGAGGCTGCGCCTGAAGTTGAGGAGTCTTCTTGGGATCTCTGCGAGTAGTCATTTGAGTCTCTCCTTCGTCCATTCAACTTACACCGATCTTTGAGTCTCTTGACGTTACGGGCTTTTATGAGGAAGTGGTATTCTGAGATCAGATGTGGCTGAACCCGGGGTCAAAGGATCAGGTCGGAAGGAAGAAGATCAAGGACACATCATGAGACTGGAGACCTAGAACTACCATGGCTGATGGAATGGTAGAAGCAATAAGTAGTGCACTAATGTGCTCTCAGCAAAGTTTCGACAAAATCAGTTCATGAGTGGTAACAGACTGGGTGGCTGTGAGAAACAATGGTGATGTGGCGCACAACGTGATACAGCATGAGTCTTTTTCCATATCTTCCTTTGCAGGAAAACATAAGATACGGCCGCTGATATGTATGAATACGACACTGCTTTGTGCATAAGGAAGACTTGGCAGCTTGCGATACCTCTGAACTTCAAGCAAATGGGAGTGCTCGACCAAAATTCGCAACAGCAAGGGGTGGCCTATGTTCGGGTACCACAAACTTGTCAAAAAGCATGGCACCAAACGGACTTTATAATATCAAAACCAAAGCGAGGACCGAGTGACTGGATGAGAGAGTGTTTGCGCTTCAGTTGATTAAAAGAAACATTTTGAGCAAACACCACGAGAACATGTTTGTACCACCCTCACTCAAAGAGAAGGGAAATTAGCACAGCTTGGATCAAGCTCGCGATCGAACATATCACAAACAGCCCTTCCATCAAACTACCCGTCCTGAATGGCTACTGTTCTCTTTGAGAGGAACAAAGACGCATGGCCAAAGCCGTGAATAAAACCAAGGGCAACCCTTTTCGCCCAGACTCCGTCTCAATTTTCCCATCTCTTTCGTCACATCTTTCTTTTTCTTGCCCCATCACCACGTTTACTCCAACAAACCCATATTCTCGTTTACTCAGTTAATACCTCTTTTTGGTCAGACTTCCGACGATGCAGACGCTCCCGGTTCTGCTCCTCGTCGTTGCAGCCAGCCTACCAACGGCGGAAAGCCTTGGGTTCTGGCGTCCTAACCTGCCAGAGCCATCGACAGAGCTCGGATTCAACGACAGCAGTCTCGTATTACCGAGAGCGAACCGATGGCCACGGCCGCAGCTGACGCCGGTAGTCATGGATTCAGATGCCGTCGCAAAGAGACTAGAGCAGAGAGACACTGTCACGGCCGGGACCATAGGCAAGAACACCTGCGGATTATTCACCCTCTCTAAAGAGACGGATCCGGGTAAGTCTTCTCTCTTCTTTACTTTTTCCATAAGAAGAACAGTCCCGACCCTTGGCAGAAAATGTTTCCACCCGGGAATCTCGGTCTTTACGGCATACTGATAAATTTCTGTTTGGCTACTACAGAGATACGAACGCGCCTTTGCGTTGAGCCAGACACCAGCTGCATCGTTCAAAAGGATTATCTGTTCTGCGGAACGAACCCAATCGTCTCCTGTTTGCCTCAAAGTAACCCCTTGTGCGGCTCATCTCCATCTCAAACTCGTGGAAAGGATACGATTTGCTGGTACGTCTGCGTCCCTCGAGGCAAATTTTACGTGTTGGCCCCCTCCCGTAGCTTCTTGGGCGGGTGGAAGACACTAACAGTGTCTGATGAAATAATAGCACGTCAACAGACGGCTTCAACGGGGAGTGTCAGCAGTTCGTCAGGAAAGAGGGTACTCAGAGCAAGAAGCTCTGGGGATGTCGCGAGACTGGCTTGCCGTGGGATCCCATTGTCTACCTGTATACCGCATCGTCCAATCTGCTTCCTGCAGTTCCTGTCACCACCACGCCTTCTTCTTCTTCAGCAGAGACACGAACCACATCCGTGCCAAACTCCTCCTCTACAGCCTCAGACGACACGCCCACCGCTTCCGTCCCATCGGGCCCAACACTCTCAACAGCCTCCTCGACAAGCGCACCGACGCCTGAGCCTTCCAGCGGCGGCGGTGGCGCAGCTCCATCGAGCGGCTCTCAGACGGGTGCCATCATCGGTGGCGTCCTCGGCAGCGTAACCATCCTCGCCATCGCCGGCTGCGTCGCTACCTGGCTCGTCGTGAGACGGAGACGAGCGACGACGGTTCGGGGAGAATCGAGGGGCGGCGGTCGCGTCTCGCCGTCTCCCAGCCACGAGCTTGTTGGCGATCAGCCGTGTGTGTCTCCGAACCCGAAAGAAGGAGGCGGAGGAGGGGAGCAGTGGGACTATCAGCCCATGTCGCCCTTGTCACCCGCGTCCTCGTCTGCGCAACGGGATGTGTTTCAGGCGCCGGCGAGCGATTCGATAGGGAGCGCTATGAAGCCTGCCGAGCTGGGTTGAGTTGAACTGTTCGACGTTGTGGTGATCTTCAAAGCTATCCAGCATCTGATTCTACGCGAAAGTCCCAGGCGGGTCAAACGATGTTATGGAAATGAATTATCATGTTTTTTTCTTCTTCGGTATAAGTGTAAACCCTGCAAGAAGAGACACCACATTATTTAGAACTTAATTATAGTCGTTCATGCGTATGTATCACTGGGATTGATTACGAAGCGTATGGCGGATGATCTCGAGAGCACCTGAAATACGTTGTGAGAGGGGAGAGAGTTCTTCATGGTATGCCTAGCCGACACTTGATGTTGTTTCGCTTTGAACATTTTCTTGGGCCAGTTCTCCCAATTCCAAATCAATGTAAGTACGAGACTTTTCAGGTCACGATCGGTTGACTCTTCCCATCGACATTTCCCAGACCTGCGAAGTTTACTTAGCCATGTCGATTTTCTCAAGAATTAAATTGCACGCGGTTTGAGCACGGTAGTATACTTGTAATTCCCACTTCCCACCTCAACATACGCACCTCGCGTACTTTCGCCTTGTCCTGATCATTGCTATTCCAAGAAACCTTGAAGCCCCATTCATGAGGGTTCGGGACCATGCAGCATAACAGAGATTTTCCGCCCTTGAAAAACCTCGCGCTGATTGTTTGCTTGAACTAAGGGCAGACGAAGCGACGAGATGAACAAAGAGACGCGGCTCCGGTCCATATCCGGTCCCCATTCAAATACACGCAAGGGCACTCACTTCGCTTGTGTCTTTCATCGTACATGTTTGCTACTATTTCCATCATTACCATTCGAGTGTGAGCCACCTTTGAACCTCAAAAACACCTAACTTCGTCCTCAGAAAGATGCCAAGAGTCTATTTACTTATATGACCAAGTCAGAATGCCTTTCGTGCGTTTCTTGTCGGTGATGGCCCGCCTCTCCTTGAAGTTTCACTTAGCGTCTACGTCGCTTCCCCCCATTCCAATATGAGAGGCTACTCAGTTCTACTCGCTTTAGCCGGCATCCTCCTGTCTCCGACGACAGCGGATCCTATCGCCATCGTCATGCCAACAGAGACCGCAACTCTACCACTCGACAGATTGAAGAACAGCGGCCCACTGGACCAACGTTCTGAGATCTCGACCCCGCGACAAGTCATCTCAGAGGGCACAGGAAAAGAGACGTGCGGGTACTTTAGGACAGGCGGAGGTAAGTCAATTGAAGTCATTCATATCCACACCTCTAGAGAATCAGGATGTATCAAGAGAGGAGAAAAAAGGCAGGCTCAGTACTACTGCAAAAGCTAATATGAACCTCTTCTAGAACTCGCATTGGTCACCTGCACAGCCGGCACAGGAACCTCCAGAATCGCATGCCACAACACTGGCAGATGGCTCTGCGGAAGCCTCTACTCGACCTGTCTAGGCCCCGCCGAACCAATCTGCAGCGGCAAGACGGAGAACGGGGAGAGGACGCTCTGCTGGTACGTCAAACCTACCTATCTCGCCCCCCCCCCCCCTTTTCGATCTCAATCTCGAACACACTAATACAACCTCCCCTCTCAAAGCAACACAGAAAGCCCCATCTGCGGCACCCTCCTCCGCGGCTCAGGCGAGTCCCAAAGAACTGGCCTAGCCTGCTTCGGCTCTGACTTCAAGACAAAATCCATCCAGAGCCTCGCCATGAATACATGGCCTACCTTTTTCACTGATTCGCTTCCACTATCATCATCAACATCATCGTCTTCGACTACGTCCAGGCCCCAGATCGCATCTGCGACTGCGACGGCGACGCCCTGCGCTACCCCGACGACGGCGACACCCTCGGCGTCTTCGTCGTCAAGACCGATCAAGACCTCTACGTTTGCGGTTCCGCCCTCGCCTTCACCTGCTTTGGCGCTGGGACAGTCGGCGTCAGTGGGGAGTGTACAACGCGGCCTTATTCTGGGGTTTGCTGCGCTGGCTTTTGTCTTTTGTGCGGCTTGGGTTGGTGTTTGATGTAGTTTCTGGGTACGGGGTAGTTTAGTATACCAGTAAGCTTGAAGGGATAGAATGAGCAAAATCTTTGAATCAAAGAAAAAGGCCATCTTTGCATTTGGTAGTGCCGCTTATGCCATGCCCCCTCGCATCCAATTCGCAGACGGAGCCCTCTTTGTTATCCCAACGCCCCTGTAGACATGTCAAACCCGATCTTGAACCTCTTCTTGAGCATAGGTAATAGGCATTTTCCATCCCCCTTTTACCATGTACCCTCAAAACCTCAGCTTCGGCATCACAAACACCAACAAAATCAAGCCGACCATGAGCCCATACACCCAAGCATACAAAATCATCCGCCCCCACCACCCCTTCCCCTCCGTCATCTTCCTTAGCGTACCCATCCGCCGGCTCGCCGCGTCCATCGACCTCTCCGTCTTATCCATCCCGTCCGCCGCGCGCGACACCACGCCTTTATCCTGCTCGAGGGTGCTCGAAAACTTCTGCGAGCTGGCTTTCAGCGCGCTGGCCATCTTGAGGATCGACTCGGACAGCGCGTCCTGCTCCGCGCGCTGGTGGTCCAGGATCGCCTCGGCTGTCGCCGTCGACGACGCGGGGCCCGAGGCGGAGGATTTCATCGTGTTGGAGCGACGGGACGCGAAGAGGGCTGCGCGGGCTGTGGCTGTTGTCGTTGCTGATGGAGAGTCTGGGCGGGCTGGGCCGCGGGAGCGGAGGGTCTGCGTTGTTGTTGTGCCGCCCGAGTCGGGGGTCGTGCGTGTTTGCGGCGCTGGTGATGGTTCTGTTGCTGATCGTGCTGGTGCCGTTGGCGGCTCTGACGGGTCTCTGGGGATAGCCGATACGGGTGGAGGCAGGTCCGGTATTTCTGGTTCTTCGTCGTCGTCGTCGTCGTCGTCGTCTTCGGGGGTGTTGTCTGTGGGTATGTCTGTTGATCGCGAGTCCATGCTTTCGCTCGGTGTCGGAATGATATCGGCTAGGATGTCTTCTCCATCTGAGCTGTTGTCATCCTCATCCTCGTGTAACTGTTGCGCAGGTGTTAGCAGCGACCCATGGGACTCGCCGTACCCCTCCGTCTAGAAGGGCATCAAATGAGCGCACCTGTTCGAGATCATGCATCCTATCCACCAGCCTTTCAAGAAGTTCACGTTTACGGTTCAGGTCGACCTGCATATCCTGCCTCCGGGAGAGCAGCTTGACGTGTAGCGCCTCCTGCTCGACTCTAGTAAGAAGACTTCGGGCATATTCGAGGTTCTGTATTGGGATAATCCTGGTGAGCACAAGCACGCGCTGTATTGGCCTTCATCAGGAATCCCCTACCGAGTTCAATCTCGCTCGCTCAAATTCGCTGGCCCGTAATCTGCGCTCGCGGCCCTGGTCGGCATGGAGGATCGCGTGGTCGAGTCGTCGCAGGAGTTGGCTGAGCTCGGCCGCGCCCTTCTCGGGGGATGCGCCGGCGGTGAACGGTGACGTCGATGACAGTCGAGCCATTGTGTCTTCTCCTAGGTCTTTCGCTTTGGGTTCGCGGCGCTTTCGGGGTTGGTTCAGTATGAAATTCTGACAGAGACGGAATTGTTGGACAAGTGTCTGGAAGCCGATGATGTCGTTGCAGAGTCAAGCCACCGTGGCTGAAGCTCACCCCTCCAAGTGCCGGCGCACAGGCCACACTCAAACCGGGCGCCGATCCCAAAAAGAGTGGGCTCCGAATCGCCGGCTCTGTCTGCCCGCAAATTCTGCCCTTTGGTGTAAGTGAGGCGTGGTATCTTGGTTGAGGCTGCTTCCGAGAACAACTTCACATTTTTGAATTACTCTTGATAATCGTCAAGATTTCTTGCAATCTGAGCAAAGGTTTCTCAACGAAGAAAGCTTCCTGGAGAATATATCCCCTCGACCAGCCCACCCCCCCATGTAGTCACGCGGATCGTCACAGCCCTCTCGTATACTCAAACATGGATTCAAATTTGATTCAGTAAAAACTCTACCTTGAGCTTTTTTTCTTGTCGAATCGACGCACGTCTTCTAATTGATATTGGTGGAATATTTCATAGCGGTCCTGCATCTCTTCCGACTCACTGTCCACGCTATGGACAGAGTAACCCTGGAGTAAAATCTTCAACGAGTTCAGTCTGAGCAGAAGCTCATTTGGTAGCGTTTGAAGGACCCTACTACAAATTTTTAGACGCCGGTGCCAGGGAGCCTGCGGCATAAACCGAGTAAAAGCAGTGAAATCTATCCCAACCATCAAGGCAGCTACATCGACTCACTGAGCGACTCGCCAACTCCTCACTCAAGACCTGAAAAGTTCACTCAAGCCATATGTATAAACATGAAAGGCCAACGACACTCTCTCAAATATTTTCCCAGCTTCGTAAACTTCTCCCCATGCAAACGTTCAACGTCAGGAGTGGTGAATTGACCTAGACCTAGACCTAGACCAAGCCACGACTACCTTATGTAGCGCCGAGTCACCCCGTGGCCTTCCATGTTGTCACATTCAACGTCGTTCACAACCAACAGCCTGGCCAATACTTCGAGACGTGTAGAGGCACTGAAACCTCGGGCTGCGCCTTTGCATGACGTTGCCAGAGTGAAGATGGTCAGGTACAACTCGATGAATATCGAACACCCAAGTAGAGTCCAGGATCCAGGCAAGGAATGACTCAATCTAGTTTTACGAACCGGAACTTAGGACACCAGGACAACCATACGTCGAACGCCGTACCACATCATCAGCCAGGAAACTCATTTCTTATCGATTCACCGAACTGTCTGGAAACCCTACCAAACTTTGTGGAACGAAGCACTCCTGCAAATACCCTGGTCACAAAAATTCCGTTTCTTGGCGTCGTTTGTTGACAAGAAGGTCGTACAGACCAAGGGTGAAGAGTTGGGACTGTCCAGAGGTAAAGTACCATGCTCAAGATCAGAATCCCGAGACTGAGGAAACTCTGAGATAGAGATAAGTCTCTTCATGGTCTTGCTTCTCTTGGGGTTTCACGGTATCACGGCGGTACACCCCCGCCTCCTAAGGACCGTTGACTTCAAGAGGCCTGCTACATCATACGGCTCATCTCATAAGGATGCAAGGGCATACTCTACGATGAGCTTTCAAGTGTCTTTATTAGATGACTCGTCAGGAGAAGGTCACTTGACGCATAGTCTTTGACGACACGACCAGTGAATGGAAGCAAGTTCAATCATGGCCAGGAGACTACCGTGACTAGTCACTTGTGTTCGTCGAGCTTAATTCAGAGTGCTTCCAAACCAAGAGGGCACGTCACCCACCCTGGCCTTTGAATACTTGCCTGATCACAAGCTCCCTGTTGGACTGCGTATTGACGAGCTTAGTCAGTCAATGGCAGTGCCTCTGGAACTCTCCAACCCCTTACTGTCACGTGCATCTTAGTCGCAAGTTGAATTTGCCTCCAGAGCGAAGCCAGACCACCTCCCCGCCATCACCGCTGATCACTTACACGTGTCTCGTGAACAACAAACCGCGATCATTCCCAAAATCAGCTCGAAAATGTCATCCGAACCAAGGAAGCCATGCAGCAAACTCTTGATGCAGAACTTGGAATCATGAATACTGCGTATCCACAAATAGGTCTCCAAGCTGCCAAGTTGAGAGAGAAAACGTCCTCCCGACAGCTCCGAACCTCCACATTTGCGCAACCATGGATAAGCTACGCCGGCATAGAGTCAGCACGCTATCGTATAGAAACACAGTCATGTGAGCCACGATGGAGGAACAGTGTGGCTATGCCCTCCTTCTATCGCCTTCTACCCCGCGTTCCTGGACCTGACAGCAGGTTAAAGTGTGGATTCGACTGTTGCCTACCAAGGAGGTGAAGTTGTCATGGTGCGTTGGGTGCGTCGGATCTGGCTCGTATGGACGGCAGGGTTCGCCATACGCTTTCAGCCCTGCAGACACCACTTGCAAGACAAGAATCCTCCGTTTCAACAATTAGCCTGTTTCATTTCCTGCAGTTGTGTTGTAGATGGGCGTAGATCAGAGATCTCTCGGCCAAGAGCCAGTTGTGAGCGTCCCGAAAATGCAACGATAAACAGGGCAAGGCGGAAGGAAGTCGCTATTGGGCGAGCTGAGGCGAATGGCTGTTTTGATGACGAAGTTGTGTGGCTCTGCGCCACCCCCAAAGGTTGACTACACTATTGCGTACAGAGTGCGTGATGTGTCAAGGGCGAAGAAATATGCCACGCAGCCAGTAGAGATGATGCCAAAGCCGTGTCCGAGGCAGCTTTTCTCCGCAAATCCCACTCGGTTGTCGTTGAACAACAGGTCCGGGTGAGGAAACACGACATTTCTGACTTGGGGAACGGGCGCTGTGTGTCCCTGCATGATGAGAGGATTTGGTGCTAATTTTGGAAACGGGATGAACCCGGCATTGGTTGGAGCAGCTTATTGACGGCATTTTGAAGGGTCCTCACGATGGTACTTAGAGGGTGTGGCATGGTGCTGTGCGGTGGCAGTGGGCGGCAGACGCCGACATTGGGCAGGATGGCGGGAGGCAACACTATCGAAGCCGGGAAGGGCTTCGGGCCAAAAAGCTCTTTCTAGCACTGAAGGCCGTTGACATAAACCTGGCGGGGATGCGGGCATCGTCGTCGAAGCCGGAGGTACACGACGTCATCGGGTAGCTATGGGGGTGGGAGCAAGTGCCAATGAGATGGAAGAGTACATGCGGATTACCGCCTGGCCCTTGGTGAAGCCCTCAAGACTGCAGGTAGCGATAGGGTATCTGTTATGAGAGCCACTGTAACCCGCCAGTCCCTGAAGATGGGATAAGTAGGCATGGGCATGGAAAGGCAGATGAATGGTTGGAGCGTTGGATGTTCGGCAAGATCCAGCATCTGGGCTCTGCAGACAGTGCAGAGGCTGCCGGGTCGGATGGGTTGAAATGGGGTGCCATTGGGTTGCGTTGGGTGGCTTGTGTTGCTTTTCTGCAGAAGGTGAACCGTGAACCGTGAATCTGAACCAGTTGCCCATGACTCCATGTTGCTGAGCTGATGAGAAAACACGAGGAGTCTTAGGCTTTGTTCTCCTGAGGTATGTCGGGGAAAATGCGAGACATTGGTGTCAAAGCTGTCAGACATTACCTGGAACGTCGGCCGATGTGTTGGTGACTTGGTGTCGGTCAGAGAGCGCAGGGTTCGCCAGGAGCAGCATGTCCTGGGGCCCATTGGCTAGACTCTGTCGGTTGCAGGTGAGTGCTGCGAACCGAAGCTTGGAAGTGGCATGGTATCTGGCCACGAGTGACGAATTGACTGCCTGGACGAGTTGAATCTCGGCGCCGACGTTACGAGATGAGATTCTTCTTTTCCTGAGCGGTCGGTAGCACTCCGGAGAGGGCCGCGAGGGAGCACATAGAACGAACAATCTGTGATATTGTATGCCTCGGCCCCACCACCATGGATCGCATCGACGGTCAAGCTGCAGAGGGAGAGTCGAAAGCAGTAGGCGGCGTTCTATCCGTACTCATGGAATCATTAGATTGGGAACTTGATAATTCGTTGCAGGCTTTGGCCGTCCCAAAGAGCAGACCCATCATGGACAGATGTCGTCGGTTGAGTCCATGGTTGCAAGGCCTGACCATACCGGCACAGTTCCATCCGCCAGGAGGCTTAGTTCGGCGCTGGCAAGGTGATCGACAGCGGCCTTTGCCTCTTCGGAGACGGACATTCGGGCTGGACCAGCAAATGGACCGCGCACTGAGGTCAAGACGTGACAAAGTCCTGTTCTGGTTCAGGAGAAGCTCAAAACGGACGGGTGAGAGCAAGATGATGTCGTCGCGGTAGCATTTGATGACTCGACCAAGGCAGGAAAATGAAGGCTACTTTGCCAGATTCCTTTTGCCCGACTGATAACAGCAGATCCACCGGCCGAAAGCAGGTTGCGGGAAAGAAATTGCAACGAAAGCCAAGTTTTTCGATTACGAGATAGGTAGGGTGAAATAGAACAAAGGACCGGATAAGTTTGCAAAACAAGTCGATAGACACGGACAAGTAAGAATGTAAGAATGAGACAGCGACTCTTGAGAACGCCGGGCCGGTGAATGTAGCACGCCGCACGGCGGGTTTCGCGTGTCGATGTGATGATGTGCAGCCTCGGCTGATGTGGGAAGAGAATTGCGGCTTGCGGCTGGCGATGTGTCAATATTTCAGTCCAAAAGTCAATTAATGGCAAAAAAACGAATTTACGGCTGGCCTGATGTCGCGGCAGTCGCGTGTCAGTGTTACAGATGCAGTTTCTTCTTCCTAAGATGGAAGATGAGAAAGAGGAAAGAGGTCCCTACTGCGTAAGGTACACAGTAACTTCCGTGGTACCTTACCGGGGTGCATCTGTCAGTTGGTGCCCGGTCCGGATTGGACGAGACGAGCAGATGCCATTTAATGCAGGTACCTCCAGCGGCGCATTCCCGTCGTTTCCAAGGTCAGACTGCCAGCCTGCTGTGCGGCGTGCCTGCCTTACTCAGTAATTCAGAGTTTGCGAGATGATTGTTGGAAGCCGTGAGAGGATCGCTTTGAGAAACAAGTAATAAGTTTAGATCCTAAATGAGCTCTCGCCGTCGCAGAGAGAGAACAACAAAGCGGCCAAAGGCTTCAGGTGAGGTGGACGCATGTACTCCGTAACCTGGATTGATCTTTCTTGATCTGATTCTTGCCCTGCACCGACTTCCAGATTGGATGGCAATGACTGGCAACGACCGGAGGCAAATAGCTCCCTGCTCTCGTGTTTTGTTTTTCTTCTTTCCTGTCGATTTCTTTCCGTACTTTTTTGTTTATTGATTTGTGTCCATGTTTTGTTTTTTCCCTTTTGAACCAATTTCCAAAACTGGTATTCTCCTGGCTCCGTAGTAGAGCGCTCAAGCTCCGGTGAGCTCCCGCCAGGGCCGCTAGGAGCATAGGGGGGGGGACTTGTCTCCACGTCTAAGCAGACGACAACCATGGATGAACCATCTAAACCATCAACTAGACGAGGCAGATCCCACCGAGAGGCTCGGGAGTCTGGAGACGTCTCGGGCAACATGACTGTCACTGTGCAATTACCACTGCCCGCGTGGACGCTCTCTGGTGTTAAGGCACTGCATATCTAAGCTTTCGTGGATGGATTAGTGACTCTCGTCAGTGGTCACTGACCAGCACCAATCCCCTCCCAAGCTTGACTCGCGAGGCTTTTCGCGAACGGCCGAAAGACTCAAGAGGGGAAGAGGGGCCTTTCCAGCATGCGGCAAATCCGCTAGGTACCTTGATATACCTTACTCCGTACTACCGTAGGCAAGCCGCATCTTTGTAGACCCTACTGCGTATGTACCCGCAGCGAAGACGCTGTAAGTTGTAAGTCATGTATAGTCAAGGGGTTGACGCATGCCGGTAGTTTGTTTCGTGATCAAGTGCGTGAGCGATGGAACTTGGATCTCAAGATTGAAGACCCCAAGGGCCATGGGGATCATGGGAGACAAAAGGCAAGAGCGAGGTAGGACGCCGAGGATCGTTCATTGAAGGATGACGCATCTTTTCGCGATGGGTAGATAGTGAGAAGTGAGAGCGTGGCTGGGCTGGTGGCCTCTGCACGCTTCCCTTGCCGTAGGTACCTTAACTTAAAGTTCCTCGCCGGGCTGTGGAAATGGACGCCGTATGAAATCTCTGCGTTCACTCCACTGCTGGACCTAAGGTACCTACCTCGTAGGTATGCATGTCTCGTCTGGATGCTCAAAGTATATCTGCGTATTCACGTTGAGGTGATGTACGGATGTCTGGGTAATGCCGTGTACGAATGTGATGTGGACTGAGATATGAGAACGGTGGACTGAAAATCACTAGACTGGTGCAGAGTACGTATGTAAGTGCGCGGTAGTGAAATGAGAGATTGATTGAGTGTGATTGCTTTATTGATCCGGTGTTGAAAAATAAATAAAACCAAAATCTTAGAACAACCCGCCAGGCGGGGAGGACTCGGAGAAAGGGCCGTCCATCAGTGGTCACTGGGACTCGGGAGACTGGGACCCACCACCATCTCGTCAGTCTCATTTCGCGCAAGAGCTCCCGTCGGCAGGGCCACCCCTCCTCCTTCCTCCTCTCCCATTGTTGTCCATACTTCGTACCCGCGCTGGGCCTCTCCTCCCCTTCTCTGCCATCCCCAGAAGTTAGAACCCAGGTGGCAGGCACGCTGGCACCCAGGCACTTAGGTTGGCCCAGGCCTCGTCCCATTTGATCCTTCTTGACGACGCCCCACAGAGCCAAAAATGCGGCGAGGTATCATCTTGGTGTCTTGGACATACGAACGGTACTTGGCCATGTTTGGAGATGGGTGCATGGTAACATGGAAATTACGGCACTTACTCTGGACCTGCCAGCTAGATAGAGATGGACAACCCAAGCGTTTATTGTCACTACCTTAAGGTACGGATTCCACCTTACCAGTACTCCGTATATGTAGAGTACGTACCTCAGATATGGAGACGTGAGTGGCCGTGGACAACACCGACGAGAAAACACTTGAGGTGTGAATTTTGCAGATTCATCTTCTTTCTCAGTCACCTCTTGCACACTACCACCTTATCTTACCTTACCATAGGCATTGCCATTGGACGCCTCCACATTCATCTAGGAAGTGCCGCGCTGTCGTCCCCTTGCAAGCTGTCAGCCTTTCTCCAGCGAGCAACAAGCAACCACAATACCACAGTCTCCCCTTCCACCGCCGCCATTGCGATGCTAAGCTGCAATATCAACTGACTACCTATCTCATGGTGAAGTGCCACCATCGCCATCGCCAACCCACCCCCTCTTGGATCGTCGGTGACGGTACTCCGTACCCTAGGCCTATCGGCAACTACCTGCCCTGGGCCTTGGGGCACCCAAGGTACTTTAGGTTGATGGCTAAGGTAACGTGCTAACGTACCAGGCCAGGAACCCCAGTGGTTAAAGAGACGCTGCGAGTCCGCGACATTCGGGAACGACCAGTGACAGACCGCTAATGGAGGACACATGCCCAGCAGCCGTAACTGCGCATTAGTAGCACACATTGGCCGCTGCAGGCTTCGGGCCTCGACGAGTCTTTCTCTCCACCATAGGATGGGCCTGGAGTGCCTGGCCTGTCTTGGTCCCTGGGCCTTCTGGAGCTGTTGCAAGGTCCCGAGCCAGGTCTTTTCCATTGGTGTGCAATGTGCTTTAGACACACCTCACCAGGAGGTACCTGGCCAACCCTACGAAACTGGCGGGGCAGGTAGGTATCTCATGTTTCCACTCCCGCTCCCACACTCCCGTTTCCTCCCACCCGACATCTCCAGCCAAGGGCCCAGCGCCAGTCCCTGTGCCTCTGATGCGATGGATGCTCATGATGCCCTGCCCTGCCCTTCCCCTCCGTCTATACCTTACCGTACACAGTACCGCCTGCCACGCCTATGCTCCCCCTCAGGGCCCATCAGATATTGATATTGAATTCACATTGGACTCTGGAGCCTCTGGCCCCGTCAAATGGGCATGGCATCGGTATCGCAGCCGTCCACCCCTCACAACCCTCATCCATCCTCGTCGCCGCTGGCCCTACCAGACCACCTGACCGGCGTCAACCCTGCTCGCTGCTGCTACCTTGGTCCGGGTTATCCATCCCGTACCGTATTGTCAGCGCCTGGTTGCCGCCGCCGCGCTGAGGAGTTGTACAGCTCGGTACCCGTACGGAGTATTCTCGTTCTGCTGCTGCTCCTGATGGATGGATGGATGGATGGATGTGTGTGTGTGTGTGTGTGTGTGTTGTTGATGCTTGCTTGATGCTCCCTGTCGTGTCTTTTGTAATTTTCTGTCCGCGGACCGCTGGCTGGCACTGTAACAATTATTCGCTCAGCTCTGGGTACTTTGCGTTTCCCCTTACTCCGTGCTTGTTTCTTGGTATCTATTGTTTCCGCATCGTCAACGTCCAGCATCCATCGTACTCTGGGCGCCACACTTCATTGTCCACAGCTGGATACCTCAGTGAAGTACTTACGGATACAGCTGCAACGCAAAACCTCGCACTCACTCTCACTCTCATTCTTCCTCTTACAGTCTCGCTCACTCGACTACCAACTACACTACACGATATACACTCACTCTGCACTATCAACTTGGCCGTCTTCGACAATCCAGCCTGGCCTGGAGTTGCTGCCTGCGAGCTTGAATCAAATCAGAAAGAAGGAAAGGTACTGGTCTCATCACCCACTGACGACAACGCGTCTAGCGCACACCCATACTAAGGTACTTCCCTCCACACCTCTCAATCCTGTCTGCCTTACCTCACACCTCACCTAGGTGCTCTCTTTCTCTCTCTCTCTCTTCACCTTGCCTTGCCTTGCCTTACACTACACTTCCTGACCTCGCCCAATTTACACACACACACACACACACACACACACACACACACACGCGCGCGCGCACATTACACTTACGCCCGGCCTGGACCACTTGGACCTAGACCCGAACCTGGACCTGGACTGGACCTGGACCTCTGACTTGCACCGGCACCTGCAACCTCTCCTACGTCCCTCCGCCTTCGTCTATTCGTACCTGCTCCGTACCGACTCCGTACTGCTTCGCCCTCTCTCTCTGCCTCTGCCTCACCTCACCTTACTCACCTTCCTATTGCTTACCTGGTACCGGTGCACATACCTCGCTTTTTCCCCCTTCTACCTTACTCGACCCCCATACTCTCTTCTCCGAGCCAAACTCCTTCTCTCATCGCCCTCTTTTGCCCGATAACTCTTAACGACGAGCTCTCGACGTGTCGTTGTCGCGCCTACTCTACTGTTCTGGTCGCAAACATCGCTCGTTTTCTGTCGTCAAAAATCCCACCAACGCACAGCTCGTGTCTTACCGACTCCCGCCATCCCCTCTCTAGCTCCGCATCGTCGTCGCCCGCCGCCCTCTGTCCCCGGTCAACGCTGCCCGAATACAACTGGGCCATTTCACCTACACGGACGCTCTTCGTCACCTCAGTCGCCCCCCCCCCCCCCCCCGTTCTTGTTCCTGCTCATACCTGGGTCGGAACTTCTTCATGACATCAACAGCAGGGCTTTTGCAATACAAGACAAGGGCGACTTCTAGAGACGGTCTTTAGGAGCCCTTTAATCGACAAAGGAACATTTGCGCGCCAAAAGAAGCCCACGACCAATCACCGCCTGCGCGTCGCATCTCATCCTAGCGCATGCTCACACCCAATACCTTTCAAGAGACTCGATCCTGTGCCAAAACACCACCAGGCGACCAAGCGACCGACCGATTGACCTACAGATCGAGGACCGGCTGCACCGACTCTGCTTGTAACAACCATCTTTCTTTGACCGTCGCTCGACAACAGCCCGTCGCTTGACACACTTTTGTTCATTCCTCGATTCCCACGACGACCAAAGGACGCTGGCTACGACACAGTAATTGAGCTCCGACCACCTGCGCTCCGTCATTGCGATGACGTCCGCCGCTCCTCCCCCCAACCAGGCTTTTCAGCCCACGAGCAACTCGACAGCGCCCGCCGCGCCCTCGACTCCGAATAAGAGAGACTTGAAATCGTGGTGGAAGGGCTTCAAGCTTCCTTCCAAGCACCAAGAACATCACGGTAGAGCCCCTTCTACTTTCGCATCGCAACCTCCGCCCCCAACTCCCACACAACCCCTCTTCAGTGAAGACGTCGACGAGACAATCGATACATCAGCTGCACCTCTCAGTCTCGTCCTATTGTTGCAGGACGCCCATCCTGTTGGATCCAGCGATCCCATTTTGCCCCAAGTCTGCGCTTCGAGTGATGCGACAGCCCCCAACACCTTGAACTCAACTCGTCGGCTCAACAGGCTGTCCCTGTCCATCACCACGCCTGTGCGCCAGTGTGCCAAGCTCATCCGCGCGGCTGTGAAAACGTCTCCGACTTCATGTGCTAAAGGTTCTGCAGCAGACAACCGGCCCCACGGTATTTTCGGCGTTCCTCTCCGTCAGAGCATCACCTACGCCAATGTCGCGATATCTCTCGTCGACGAGAACGGAAAGAGCTATATCTATGGCTACGTACCGATTGTTGTCGCCAAGTGCGGCGTCTTCTTGAAGGAAAAGGGTAAGTGCACATAAACCCCGGGCCATCTGCGCGTGCTCACATTTCGTCTCAGCAACAACGGTGGAGGGTATTTTCCGTCTTAGTGGCTCCGAGAAGCGAATCAAGGAGCTGAAACAAATTTTCGACTCACCCGATCGCTACGGAAAGGGCCTGGTCTGGGACAACTACACGGTTCACGATGCTGCCAACGTGCTCCGACGATACCTCAACGACCTTCCCGAGCCTGTTGTGCCGTTAGATCTGTATGAAAAATTCAGGGAACCGTTGCGAGGCGCCACAAGGCAAGCTGTGGGCGATGCCGAAGGCCCGCAGTTTGTCGAAAATTTTGACGATCAAGCGGCCATCGTCAAGTACCAGAAGCTTATCACGGAGCTTCCGCCGTTGAACCGTCAGCTCCTGCTGTACATCCTGGATTTGCTTGCTGTCTTTGCCGCCAAGTCGGAAGAAAACAGGATGAATTCGCAGAATCTAGCAGCCATTTTCCAGCCCGGGATGCTGTCGCATCCGCAGCACGCCATGGCGCCTGAAGAGTATCGCTTAAACCAATGCGTGCTCATTTTCCTCATCGAAAATCAGGACCATTTCCTGATTGGCATGCAGGGCACGGCCACTGACGAGAAGACAAAGCAGCTGATCGAAAAAGGCACGCCCCCCGCAGCGAGTGGGCCAGTGACTCCCAACCCTAACAGGAAGTCGGGTCTGGGTCGGTCTGCGTCCAATGCCAGTGCCGGCGCTGACAGTGTAAGAAGAGACGGGATGCTGAGGAGAAACCGATCGACATCTTCGAGGCACTCGCACCACGAAGGTTCTACGACCCCGAACAGCCCAGCCCTCGCACCGACTCCGAACAGCGGCCTCGGCAGAAGCAACACAGTCCCGTCCAAGAAGTCCCCTGCTCTTCAGACGGGAAGGTTCAGACGTGATGCTTCACCCATCCTAGGCTCGTCGACCCGTGAGCCCATGATCCCGACAACGACGGAAGAACTAGTTGAAGCACCTGATCAGTCCCCTGCTGCTTCAAGTATCTCGCCCGTACCGGCTGCGATAGGCACGTCCAGCCTGGCACCCACTGCTGCTGGCAACGCAGGTAGAAGCCAGGAGAGGTTGCTTGACCCGAACGAGGCCACGACACCCATCAAGGAAAGAGTGCTGCCGAGCATATTCCAAAGATCTCCCACGGGAGAGGGCGAGAAGCGACAACCGAACAAACTGAAGAAGAAGCGGATTCCCGGGAGCTTGAACCCGAGCGCGCAAAGCTCGGCCGCATCCTTGTCCGGTACGCACTCAGCCGCTGTGTCCCCTAGTTTTGAGGCCCCCAACCCTATGGATTTGGTGGCCGATACAATCCCAGAGCACGATTCCCTTGCAATTGGCCAGCAATATAGTGCGGTTGATACACCCTCGGAACCCACCCCGCGCGCATCACAGGTCCCCTCCAGCAACACCTTACACCCCGAGCAGACGCTCAAGGCGAAGAAGTCGCCGCCAACATCACTCCACTCATCATTTAACGAAGGTTCTGATGTTGATCAGACTGAAGAGTCCATTGTGACGACTTCGGCAGACGCCAGCGAGCCGGATAAGGAAAAAAAGAGAAGATGGCGACTTTCACGACAGAGAGGCCACGAACATCACCCCTCAATTACCTCTCCGCGTCTGGCCTTCGGATCCAACGATAACGCCGACGTTAGCGTGACGTCAATTGGCAGTGGTGGATACAGGCCCCGGAAGAGCTTCACCGGCGAGAGCTCAGAGACTGGCATGTACGCTGCCGAGGCACAAACCAGCCATGAATCGCGTGACAAGGACGGCAAGGACGAATCCAAGGGCCCCATCGGTTGGATTAGGAACAAATACCGTGAAGCTAAGGAGAGCGCCGAACGAAGGAATAAATCGCCCCCAGCGGACCGTCAATCATCTTTGGGAGGCTCCAGCATTATGTCAGGAAGGGGAAAGAGTCTGGATATTCGCAGGGAACCCGAGGAGAGGACCCAGAACCCACCTGTGCCACCGTTGCCGCAGCAAGCGGCCCCGACCCAGACAGCGTCCGCTCAGCCACCAGCAACGCAAACCGCACCTTCTCAACCTCCGCCGCCCCAGCCGACATCGGCACCGGCGCAGCAGGCATCATCTCCGCCGGTAACGAATCCTGTAGCGCCGCCCGCTTCTCAAGCAGCAAGCCCGCCAGCACCAGCTCAACCGGCCCAACCGGCAAAGTCCCAGTTGGCAGCGGCCTCCCAACCGGAAATAGCACCGCCGACACAACCGGCACCTGAAGCAGCGCGATAACTACGACAAGAGTCCGAATTCGAAATATCACCATTCTAGGTGTTTGTTATTGGGAGCACGTTTTCTTATGGGATCACTTTTCACTCGTTGGACATGATGCATCCTCAATAGTTTTGAGGCCAGCGGCAGAGGGAAAAAAGGGGGGAAGGTGGGGGGGCTAGCCTAGACGAGGCTGACCCAAAGTTCCAAGAATCCACGTTTGAACATTCGAAGAAAAGAAAAAGGAGGCATGTGCGTGCTTGTTGTTGTGAATCATCATAAATGTACGGAGTTGTTCGATTCTCTGGCTTGGTGTAAAGCGAAGCATTGTCTACGGGCTCGCTCGCTATGAAGGGTATCCTATCAAGTTGGCGTTTTTTTTTTGTTTTTTTGTCATGAGTGTAGTAGTCCCGGCCACTCCTATCCCCCCTAACGTTTCCTGGGATTTGGAATCGTGTGTCTATGGCCTAGGATAGGGTAGGGAAAAAAGAATAATTTTCATGTTTGGAAGTTCGCGATGACGCCTGACTTTTGCGACAAGGTGATGTAGAGAGGCAATGTCATCATTGGGTCCCACAGACATTTCAATGGCAGATTTAACAAAGGTTGTATTCCACTGGGGGAATATATTGATGGTTTCTAGGTCTGATTTTCTCTTTTCTCTTTTCTTACAAGATACGGGTTTCTGACCATTTTCCAAATTTTTAATTTTTTTGGTCCATTCGTATTTCTTCTCTTTTACTCTTTTTACTGTCTACACGACTGACATTGAGAACTTTTTTTTAGGACACTGTAGTATACAGCCCCGTATCCCAAACAACAAGCTTCCCGCGCCGACGGGCGTCCTCGTTGAAAAAGCCGTTCCAGCCTTGCCAGACGCGTTTTGGGCTCACGCCGAGATGGTGGCCTGCGCCGGCGGGGTGGGTGAAGAAGGTGTGGAGCCAGGGTTCGATGCCTTCGAAGCCGATGATGTAGCGGGGGATGTCTTCTGCTTCTGCTGATGGTGGTGGTGGTGTTGTTGACTCGATCCCGGATTCAGCAGCCCCGGACCCGGACTCGGCTGCCGCGGGCCACAACTCGGTCGCCATGAAGAGCTGGGGATCGTCGTAGAAGCGGTCCGCTTCGTCGCGGTAGGCTTCGCGTTCGGGGGTGTTTGGTTGCGTGTGGAGGGGCGGTTCGCAGGTTAGGGCGCGGGCGCGGAGGGATGGGTGGAGGAGGTGGGAGCGCCAGGGGGTGGAGTGGCAGGGTGTTAGGAAGAGGGCGAAGAGTTCGTGGCCGGTTTCTTCGTTTGATGGTAGTTTTGATGCTGATGATGATCCTGGTCCTGATGAAGCGGAGGACGAGGAGGAAGAGGAAGAGGCAGAGGACAACGAGGCCAAGGCCAGGGATGCTATCGGGGCCGATGTGGCTGCCTGCTCCGGGTGGATACGGGCGTACGAGGTCCGGAGGAAGGTTAGGACCGTCAGGGGCGCGGGTTGGTGGAGGAGGGTGAGGAAGAAGGCGAGCGCGGCGTGGATGGCGAGGGCGGAGGTGAGGAGGCGTTTGTGCCGTAGGCGGGGCTTCGGGAGCGGGGATTTTGCGGAGGATGGTGGGGCCGGGACTGTGAAGAAGGTTGATAGCGGGGAGGCGGCGAGGATGTGTAGGGTTGGGAGGAGGGGGTAGATGAAGCGGACTTCTTTGTGGGAGACGCAGGAGAGGGCTGCGATTGTGATGTAGGCTGTCCACGACAGGGTTTTGAGGGTTGCTGTGCTGATTTTGGAGTGTTGGGTTGTTGGTGTGGGGCTGTAGAGGGAGTAGAGGACGAAGGGGAGGTAGGTTATTGAGAGGAGGGGCAGGCCTTGGGAGAGGTAGTAGTGCCAGTCGTTGCGGCCGTAGAGGACGGCGAGGGACTGGGAGAGGTTGAAGTAGAGGAATTTGTAGGGGGGGAAGGCCCATTGATTGAAGTAGAGGCGGTCTGAGGTCAGGGAGAGGGTGAGGACGAGGGTGCCGCAGAGGAGGGCTTCGCGGAGGAGGAGGAGGATGGTTTGCGGGGTGAGGACGGAGGCGGAGGTGGAGCCCGAGCGGGAGAGGAGGGGCCGGAGGAGGGTTGCGAGGGCGACTGTTGTCCAGATGAGGATGTTTGTTGGGCGGAGGAGGACTGCTGTTGCGGCGAGGATGAGGGATATGCGGAGGCTATTATGCGTGTAAGTGAGTGTTTCCCTCTTGTGGGAGACCGACTAGGGTGCCTGGTAGGCTGGCCGGCCGGTGTCAAATGTGAGAGACGGGAACGTACCTCGAGAGAGTCCCGTGCGTGTTTAAGATGGACACCGCGGGCTTGGGGTTCTCCTTTTCGGTCTTTGCATCACCGAGGAGTTCCCAGGGCCAGTAGTTGAGGGCCATGATGGTGAGGGTGGTCTCCAGCGAGTTGGAAAAAGTTCTGGTGGAGCAGTACCATTGGAAAGGGCTGAACATGCTCATGAATAGCTATATAACGATATTGCATCAGCCATGACTTCACTTGACAAGTTCACAAAGGTATAGCAAGTTTGTGGCAGCTACCGATGTTGATGTTAATGATGGGGGTGGTGATGACTTACAGCAAACCATGAGACGGAGCTATCGGCGCCGTAGATCTTGACGGCCAGCTGCCAGGTGTACCAGTCGCCGGCCGCGGCAAAGACGGCCTGTGCGGCCTTTGGCGCGGCGAGGAGGAGCCATGGCCTGATGATGGGGAGGGGGCGGGCTACGAGGTCTGCGAGGGTGTAGACGCCGGCGAAGAGGGCGGGATGCACCGAGGAGCGGAGCTGGTTTCTCCATTCCTGGTGTTGTGTTAGTTGTACTCGGACATCACCAAAGAACTTGGGTTGGGAATAGTCATCATGAAAATGAAATACAGTGAATGAATCACAAGAATTACAAATAGAGAACAAGAAACTCACCCAAGTGATCCAGGCGCCGCTCCCTTCACCAAAAGCCATGCGCCAGGCGGGTTCGAGGGCCTGAAAGTACTCGTCGGGCTGGAAAAAGGTGAGGACCCACCAGGCGTTGAGGAGGCGGATGACGAGGAGGGACCGGAAGACGGAGGGCTTGTTGTGCTCGTTACGAACTGCCATTAGGAGTTCGGGGGCGGGCGGAGAGCCGACGGAAGCCATTGTGGATACGGGGTGGGAGACGACGACTGAGTTGTGGCCGGCGGCGGCGGCGGCAGCAGTCAGGCGGGGTGGGCACGGAAGAGTTATTGCGTAATCATCGGTCGGACGGGGGGTTTGGTGGTGGTGCGGTGCGGTGAAGCTGCTGTTGGGGAATGACCCTCTTTGCAGAAGCGGCGGCGTGAACGAACGGTTTCGGTGCAACGGGGAGCCCGATGGATTTGAGCGATGAAGCGAGTCAGGACGTGTGATGGTGTTGCCGCGTGTGTGCCGGTTGTCGAATGTATGTGTGTCAACCTGGATAGCCTTTTTTTTTCCTTCGTTTCTCGCTCTTTTCCTTTTCTCGCGCTTTGCCGTGTGGCCGTCAGCAAAGGGGGGGGGGGAAAGGAGTGTGTGGGCTTTGATGGAAGAGTGAGTTGATGCCGAAAAGCGGTGGTCTCGATCGCTAATGGAATGTCGAGACGGGTAGACCAGGATGATGCGGCAGGGCCGTGGACGGACGCAGAGACGCTAAAGTTTCATTGACAGGCCACCGTCCTCAGGCAATTGGTCACTAAAGAATCAGTCGCCGGAAGCCTGAAGAATCAAAACGACACAAGACCACATCTAGCCTTGTGGCCTTGTTACTTAGGCACAGGCTGTCAGGCAAGAACATTCTGGTATCCACTTCTTCGGCGAGAGAGGAGAAGCTCATTGGATCCCCAGTCATCTCCATATAAATGGACGGCCCTATTGGATCCGAGCAGCGGGAATGGGAAATACCGACTCTGTCATTGGGCCACGGAGCCACTTCCTCTGCCGTCCACTTCGGCCCCAATGGCACTCTCTTATTCTCCACGTTCTACGGTCCGCTTGGTTTATCTACGTGTAATTCCCTATCTTATTCCTCTCAGTCCAATGGCAAACCGTTGAACATATTATACAGATGCGCTTTTTCGAGAATTGACGACGAATTGTTACAATGTTGGCCGCCTGCAACGCAAAAGAAAAACGATAGCGTAGATAGGCATTTACCTGCTGTGCCTCTCCAACGCCGCAAGCACAGATGCCCGTTATCGGCCTCGGTGCCTGCATTCCTCACAGTTGTTGTCTCTCCCTTCTTCCTGTCCCGTCCCAAGACTCCCACCCAAAGGTTGAAGTCTGCCCGTGTCGTTCTTTCCGCCGCCCCGCCGCATTGGCAAGAGGCTCTCGCTTTGAGTGTTTGACTGCTGCCTTGATGGGATTGGTCGTTTTCTCTCTTGACATTCCATCATCAACAACACTCGGCAGCCATCTTTCCCCCGTGCCACCTTTCCCCCAGAATCCAACCCGCGGCAACACCAAGCAACGGCATCCTTTCCATATTCCATTACGAGATCTTTACACCAGAGAAAAGGATCAAAGAAACCACCGGTGACCAAACGCACTGCTTTTCCTACGTCCGCGCCACCCTCCCCTCTCTCCTCCCGGGGCCATGTGACTGAATTGGCACCGGGATGGTTTCCCTTACATGGCCCCCTCGGGCGTCATCCTGCCCACTCACCCACTTGAGCCGCTTATACCTGCGCTTAGGGGAACATACCTGCACTTAAAGGCATAGTGGCGCGCCTTCTGACTCCGACACCAAGAGTTTGGTTCCAGGTCAAGGTCCAGCCGTTTTTTCATACCTTTACCTGCGTAGCAATTACTAGTTTTTTTCTTCGCCCACAAACTGGCCAGAACCCGTCATGCCCGTCTCGTCTGCTTTGTCTTGTACCAGGGCCAATGTACTTCCCACTCGTATCGTCCGCCTCCGGCGATGTTTGGACCCTGTCCACGTTGCCGCCGCCGCCGCTTTCCACGACCACCTGGTTTCCTGGTTTTCTGCTTCCGTATCGCGCTTGAGTTCTTTAGTCAAGGATGACCGGGCTTTCTGTCAGGGGGGGGGGGGGGGGGGGGGGGGGGTATAATTACCCAAGACCCCGCGATTTGCCCCTCGTTCCCGTCTTCTTCTCTTGACGCTCTCTTTCTCTCTACCCTCCATCTCCTTGCCCACGAACTCTACTTGAACGGCCACTTGTCCTGAGTCGCAAACACTCTCTGACAAAAATTGAACATTCCCTTGAGCCAATTGATACTTTCAAATACCCATTCAACCCACCTCAACCACACTAGCCTCCCAACGAGTCCTCTCGCCGTAAATCAGACAATATGGCCCCCCACGCAAACGGCGGTACCCCTCAGTCCAATGGCGGAGTGGAGTCGAGATACCACGCCTCTTCGACCCAGGCCGCGATCAAGTCCGAGGAGGAGCTTGCTGCCCACAACTACCACCCGCTGCCCGTCGTCTTCTCCAAGGCCAGCGGCGTCCACGTCTGGGACCCCGAGGGCAAGCAGTACCTTGATTTCCTCTCCGCCTACAGCGCCGTCAACCAGGGCCATTGCCACCCCGAGCTGGTCAAGGCCTTGACGGAGCAGGCCAGCAGATTGACTCTCAGCTCGAGAGCCTTCTACAACGATGTCTTCCCCAAGTGGGCCGAGAAGATCCAGCAGGTCTTTGGCTACGACATGGTCCTGCCCATGAACACGGGCGCCGAGGCCGTCGAGACGGCAATCAAGATTGCCCGCAAGTGGGCATACAAGGTGAAGGGCGTTGAGCAGGGCAAGGCTCTGGTCTTCTCCGTCAACGACAACTTCCACGGCCGAACTGTGAGTACATTTCCTAGATCTTGCTGCTGACAGCTGCGTAACGCGGGCCGAGGCTGACATGAAACCCTCCCAGATGACTGCAATCTCTCTGTCAGTCGACCCCGAATCGAGGGACAACTACGGCCCCTATGTCCCCGGCATTGGCGCCGTCAACCCTTCCACGGGCAAGGCCATTCGCTACAACAACGTCGAGGATATCGAGGCCGTGTTCGAGGCGCATGGCAAGGACACCGCTGCCATCATCATCGAGCCGATCCAGGGCGAGGCCGGTGTCGTGGTTCCCGACGACGACTACCTGAAGAGAGTGAATGATCTTTGCAAGAAGCACAACGTCCTCTTCATCTGCGACGAGATCCAGACTGGTATCGGTCGCACCGGACGCATGCTGTGCTCTCAGTGGGCCGGCATCAAGCCTGACATGATCACGCTGGGCAAGGCCATCTCTGGCGGTCTGTACCCCGTCAGCTGCGTTCTGTCGAGCAAGGAGATTATGCTTGTCGTTGAGCCCGGCACGCACGGCTCCACCTACGGCGGTAACCCCCTCGGATGCGCCGTGTCTATCCGCGCCTTGGAGATCATGGAGGAGGAAGACCTGACTGCCAAGGCTGAGAAGCTGGGCAACATCTTCCGCGAGGGCATCAGAGCCTTCAACTCGCCCATTGTCGAGCTGGTGCGTGGAAAGGGTCTGCTGAACGCCGTCGTCATTGATGAGTCGGCTACGGCTGGCCGCACCGCCTGGGATCTGTGCCTGTTGTTGAAGGAGAAGGGTCTGTTGGTAAGTCGCAAACGCCCGGCATAATGATACACACGGCACATTACTGACTACTCTGCTTTTTACAGGCCAAGCCTACACACGGCAACATCATCCGCTTCGCTCCTCCTTTGGTCATCTCCGAGACCGAGCTCCGCAAGGCCATCAACATCATCGGGGAGGCGCTCAAGGAGCTCCCGACTGTCGAGAAGGCCGCGCACCACTAAGTGAAGATAGAGCTCACTGAGATGGTAGTGATGACAGACAGATACGCTCTCCAACGGGGTGTACTTGTCGATGATCGTCGAGCGGCTGGTGTCCTGTCACACCACACTTTAGTGTGGGGTACGGTTGGTCAAGTCGGGATCCAATGATGGACCCTGGCGAATAGCCTTAATGACGCAGCAGTTCGCGGCTTGGTTTGGACATTTAGTTGAGAACTACAAAGAGCATCGCTTCGTCGAAGCGCATGTTATTTTGTCTGCCCTCGAGAACGGGGGGAAAAAAGAAGGCAGCTTCAAGTTGCGGCGCGGGGGATTGTCTCACGATAGGGTCAGGTCACACTTGCCTTGCCTGGGACAGGCAGCATTGGGATTCCCTTTTTTTTTTTTTCATCACACACGGGTACGGAGCATGGAGCATACGGAGCATAGGCCATCGGCGCGGGGGAAGCAGAGGGCGTACTGTGCAAAAGCATTCGCCGCTCCCCATGTTACTTCTTTAGACGTACATACCCAACGGCGCTGTGGCTGGTCCCCCCGACTTTGTAGGGAACCGCTTCATGGATACATTCAGTTAGAGTAGAGCGAACAAAAAAGGACAATGTCGAAAAGGACTGTTGCAAAGTAAACGGGATGTACACAGAAAGTCACACCACTGACACTATCCAGGCGATGCTTGGTCCTGCGAGGCTAGACATGAGTGGCCAGAAGCTGGAGCTGTACAAATCTGGTAAGCTGCATCTTTGCATGCATAGTTCTCGGCAGGCAGTCAGGCCAAGGTGGGTGCGGAACACGTCGAGCTGCATCGACGCTTTCCCACCCTCTTTTGTCCATCTTCTTTGTTCTCTTCTACGCGCGAGCTCTTGCTGCCGTTGCCGTGACGAGAGTGGGTGAGCGATTGCCCCCCAATCCCATGCTTCTCCCATGTTCATCTGGTGGCCTGAGCTAAGCTCCTTTTGTGAAAAAAAAGACGCATGTTTTCTGTAGATTCCGTTGCTGTCGCCGTTGGCCTCATACGACCTTTCTTACTACATACAGCCTCATGTTCTGATTTCCAGGATACCACGGGTACAAGGTGGTTTTACGAATTCTGAAAAGATATTAGGGGAAGGGGGGGGATGAGATGGAAAGCGTAGATGGTGAAGATGAAGATGGTATTCTGCGCCTTACTCTAGCACCTTCCTTCTAATGTTGGGAATAAAGTAAAAACGTGCATCTTCTTTATCTCCCGTCTACGTTTTACTTGGCTACCTTTTTTCTGGGAACGACCAATATCTTCCACCACCCTCATATGATGAAAGTTATTGTCATAGACGATAGACATTACAAGTCCAGTCACAGCTCAAAAGAAGACTCTTCGCCCAGCCAGTAAGTGTCTGTACGTCAAGAACTTACCTTGCATGGTACTTCTTCTCTCCATATCGTCTACGTGCCTCTCTCTGTGGGTACGAGGCTTCTCACTGGCAGAGTGGAATGTTTATACTCCTACTCTCCGTCTCCTACGCTAGTTATGTGCCATTATACCGGGTTGAAGGTTTTGAGTCATACAGGACTGGGGAGGATGGCCTCTCTCCTTGGCGATGGACGCGGGGCAAGCAGGCAGGCACCCGACTAGTCAGGGGGGCATGATAAAAGTGAGGCCAAAATACGTCCATCCCTCATGGTACGTATGGTGGATTGTACGACTTCGCTGTTGTCCTTGGAATCCTACCGGCCCGAGGAGCTGCCGGTCTTTGAGTGGATGGCCTCACCTGCGCAAGTCATACCCAAGGGCAGCATTGTATCTTCTTCTTCGAGGGATATCTGGGTGCCGAGTTTCGCTCTGTGTAGAACACACTGAGAGAAGAGAATGATGCTCCCCTCGGCAAGGAGTAGCTTTGTAACCTGCTGTCTACTAGCTGTGATCTCGTGTCGCCTTTGAAAAGCAGGCGGAAATGCGAACCCGGTCTGAGATTCAATCAGCAGCAACTCTAGTCTGTCAGTATAATTTGTCAGCGGACGGATAAGCACATGATGAAAAGACAAGGTCTGAATTGACGATATTCTCAATCCCACAAGGAGAGGCCGATATACCTCAGCATCGTAGAAAATCGCTGGAGTATAATTGCGACTCTCAGATGCTGCAACAGGGAACGCAAAGCTGGTCTTCAAGCTCGCTTCCCCCAATGACTTGAGTATCTTCAGCGCCGGTCGAGGCCGACGCCAAGCCCAGCGAACCCTTTTCGGTTACACATGAAAGTATGCACCAAGGCGATCCGGCGGGTCGAGGCCCTTCAGTTGCGCAAAGAAGAAACGGCCGTGTGAGTCGATCGGCGCTGCGGTGGACTGTGACTTTTGTGAGTATTGCAAGAGTCAAGTGTCAAACACAAGATTCATGTGTGCTCCCTACGTTGAAAGCGTGGTCCAGCCCCGTTTCCTGGGAGCAACGTAGACGTCATGTGTAAGGTAGTCGATTATCTCGGGCTTCTAGCACCGGGAGCCGTGAAGTTCTGAGACGCAATCGACGGATCCTCCCGTTTCTCGTGGAGCGGTGACGAGTTCTGCCTGTGACACCTAGGTTACGATATTCGACGCACGTCTGCTTCATACTGGACGTAGGCAGAATTGTACAAACGCCAGGGTCAGGCAGAGCCACGGATCTAGGTATGCCAATCCTCGAGGGCGCGCTTGACTTTTTCGACTGCTGCCAGCCGGAGCCTCAGGACGATACGGATATCGTACTTTTTGGTGACACAGATGGCTAGGCAGAAACCCTGGCAGGACCCTGGCTGGCGGCAGAACACGGGCGCAATCAAGCCTCCTATGCGGAGACGTCAGTCGTGACGTATCGGACGTGGGGCAACAAACCGAATAGAGCATAAAATGTTCGGTGACGAGGTTATGAGTGCAGCCAATGACTCTAGGAAAGCATCGAGTCTTTCGAGAAAAGAAGACCTAACGCCAGCCTGGATCGACACATCCCCAGTCCACCTCAAATACTGGTCTGAACACCCAACTTGGCCACATTGTAAGACGAGACGAAGTGGCAATTCCCGACAGTCGTCTAGGAACACAAGTCGTACTTCCCCAGACTTCATCGACTTTGGAGCCGCACTTTGTTGCTTATGCCACTCAATCTGTCATTCATTTACTCCGTAGTTTGAGCTTCACTGTGGCCACCCATTGATATTGGTGATTGGCCCGACGACGGTTGAAGGATTGTCGATCGCTGCCGGCGAGGCTGCCATTTTGACGCTAGGACCTCGGGTGATGCGGGCATCCACCCGCCAAGGGGGTAGGCGGCAGGCGGAGGAGCTTGAAGTTGGAGCACGCGGGGATGGATCCCCGTGTGGTACCCGGGAGGGATGGACTAGAGCGTGAAGATCGGCCGGGGGACCAAGAGCTGTCTCATAGGGACCACTCGGAACAACTGCTCCAGGGTTTTGGTCTAAAAGTTGATGTGATGTATTCGAACATTTCGCACCCATCACTCATAGTGATTGACGATAGTGCAAATTTTTGTATGCCAAACTTGTCTCTCGATTGGAGGATGATCGTCGAGGATGGATGACGGCTCCGAGGGCGCGGCACCCAATTCGGATTGCCTCTTTGGGACGGCGAATGACACTTGCATGGGGGGCTGGCCAGCGAGACATGTGTCTCGGAGGCGTTAGTGGAGTGGGTTGCGCCGTCGATGGTTGCTGTTGCTGCCAGGCACAGTGAACAGCTCTCTCTGCCTTGGTCTTTTGAGCTTCACTTCTTGGCCCCTTCTGCCTCAGAGAGATTTCGAGTGGGGTGTGTGCGCGATTCGAGACCAGAGTTGGTGATGTCAAGAGGTTTCATTGACACCGGACAGGGGCTATTAAGTGACTTGTGAAGGCTTGGGGCATCAACAGAACCACATGTAAAGTCTGGGCAGTCAAGTCGTTTCTCTTGATAGATGGTTCGTGCCCTTGGATAGGCGCATAGCAGGAGGAAGTGAGGAGAAACTTCGTTTGGACGAGTGGTTGCCTGAGACGTGCACACATGGCAAAGACGTCTGGATTGGGATGAGAGTGTGACACGAGAATAGGCCATGGTTGAAAAGGCCGGAGAAGTATCGGCCTGGAGCATTTGTGCGTCGTGGTGGTGGTCACCGAAGCGGTACGGTACTTTCCTGCAAGGTAGCGATGCAACGATGCTAGAGTCGTTCCTGTTGGTTCTCGCGTTGTTTGAGCCATGCATATCGAGTAAGGTAGTTGCGTCTCCAGTTCCAACGATTCCCGAGACCCCGACAATAGTCACAATACGACCGTTGTGGGTGATGGGTGTGTCCTGGTTGGTCTCGCGGCGTTTGAACGCATGTCTTATCTCATCCCGCCCGCCAGGCAAGGAGACAACGACGAGAGCCACGGTCAGCGCTAACATTGAAGAAACACCAAGTGGAAGTGGACAAAGTCTCAAACCGAACCTGAACAGTCGAGTCTCGAGACAGCACCAGCGCGGATCTGCCGTCTGGCGATCCGGTTGGCTAGCACAAGGAGCGACAGGTGGCGCCAGGCAGGAAGACGAGCAGCCTGAGCAATGAGACGAGCTTGAGGCGAGGCAAGGCGAAGCAGGGACGAGCAGCCCCCGAGGAAAGTTGAATGCCCGGATGCGCGTGCTGGACTGCAGGCGAAGAGTTGTTGATTGCGCAAGGTTCGTTGCAAAGTATGGGGCTTGCGTTTGCCGTTAGTCAAGATTGGATCAGATACCCATTTGAACGGGGGGCGTTGTTTGGACCGGAAACCTAAGTTTTGAGGCGATGAATGACAAGTCGACCGCAGCGCACTCGGGCACAGGACGTAGCGCAGCGTAGGTAGACTTTTGACTTCGGGACCATGTATCCGTAGGCAAGCACGCAAGGTACTTTGAGGTTTGGCAGCGTCATTGCCGGGTCGTCTTTAGCTGTGGAACACCAGATTGCGCCATGGCTCGCTGGAATGAGGGAACAGAACGGTTCCATCAGTATAGGTATTCGTGCCGTCACGGCTTGAGGCCAGAGACAGACAACAGAGAACGGCTTTGAGCGCTCGGGATGCTTGGATCGGTCGACCTGCGTGGAAATGGTTCGTTTCAACGGCCGGTTGACAGCTGGCTAGTCTAGCCGCTGGCGTGGCTGGTGATTTTCACATGAGATAACGAGATGCAGCATGTGTTTGCTGCTGCTAGGGAGATTGCGGGTAGGTAGTTGCCGTCTATCAGGGTAGCTTGCGGATAGGTGCTCTGTGGGTTCTGGTGGCCCAGCGGAACAGATCTGATGCATGGCCCATCGGTCCCTGGGGTCCACTTTGTTGCTGGTTCAAGGTTACTAATAGTGTGTGGCTCCAAAGGGTGATCAATCGTGTCCGAGGACAGCGGTGTATGTCGGAAAGGTAGACGATACTTTGGTTGGCCGAGAGGTATACCGAAACACAACGTAACTGACGTGTCGAAACAACTCAGAGAGGTCTGCGACTCTGGGACGGCGGGCATGTTTTTCATGCGGTCCGGGTGTTCTGGCGTGCATCTGGAAGGGCGGATGGAATGCTCGAAAGGTGGATTGCAGGCAGCTAGCTGCGTGCCCTAGTGTAAGGTTTGCCGTGCTCCGTTCACACTGTAAGGTAAAGCCAGGTGGATAGGGTTCCATCGCAAGTAGGTATGGTGTTGCAGGGGAGAGACCGAGAAAGGGTTCGCTGGAGTCGGGGCCAAAGGTGGTGCTTGGTGTAAGAAGAGGTGAGGAGACCAGGCCGGGTTGGAGGCGTGGATTGGACGGAAGAGTGGCCGTTGCTGGGAACCCTGTGCCACGAAGACCTTACGACGTGATGATGAAATTCAGTAGCAGGGACGAGCGGGCAGGCGTAAGGTGTTCCAGCAGCTAAAGTGTATCGTGCTGCACAGTGGAAGCTACGACTTCGGAGACAATGGACGTTGGGTTGAGTTGGGGTAGACTCGGTGAGCTTAAGTTTCCTCGCCTTGTCGATGCCTTATCGTTCACTCACCGCTCGTCGTTTGTCTTTGAGTTAGCGACATGCTCTGCAATGCACGGGAGGTTTGATATTGATGAATGGTGGTCCATGGCAACGCCAGCGTGAGGAACAGGCAGGGCCCTTGGCCCCTTGACTCCCGAGAGGCGCTTGTTTTGTTATTGGAGTCAAAGTCAAGGATTCATGACAGTCGAGATGTACCACCAACATATTCCTCAGGCACCACCTCCATCTTGTGCCTCAGGCTCTTTTGTCCTCGAGCACAACCTTGGGAAGAGTCCAGGCCCTGTCCGTATGTATTGTTGAACATAATGGGACGCCCGTGCTCTCCCTGGGTATCCGTACGGATACATGCAGTGCGTTTGCATGCTCTTGCCTCGCAGTAGGGACAGCAGCCGCAGAGGCAGAAGCAAGTCGGCGGCTTGGGTCCTGGGGAAACGGAGCCTCGGAGGACCATGACCTTGACACGCACACTGGGACTGGTGACATTGTACCCAGGAGGTTGGAGCTGGCTGCGTTGTCTCTGCGCTTTCCCAGACACGGAAGTTAGGCGAGTTCGGCGAGTGGGGACGAGCCTGGAGGTCTGCGGCCTGCCTACGGATAGAGGTCTGGACGAGACGAGCCGTGGGGGGGAGGAATGCAGACGAGATGCAAACGCCGAAACAGGATACCCTGTTTTCTGTCACCCCGGATGTCGTATCATGTATGAGATATCCGTATGTCGCCGCTGCCGCTGTCGCTGCCGCTAGTCTAATCAAAGATGAATAAGACTCAGAGATAAGGCGTGCTGGCCGAGGACGGGAGAGACGAGAAGGGCGAGGATGGACGATTTGGAGGACGACAGCGACGGGGTGCAGGATGAGGAAGGCGGTGATGGGCGGTGGGCGGATTGGTGCGCTAACCTCCAAGGTGCCTTGGTGCCTTGCCGAACCGTGCGTCTTATCGCGATACATGAGCCTTATCGCGTCATGATGGCATTTGACTCCAGGTCTTGAGGTACCTACCTGCCTGCATACCTTTAAGGCAAGTGCGACAAGCAGCCGATACCCCTACTTGGCCCTCGCACAAGCAACGAGCCAAGCGCTGGCACACCAAGCTGGAGGACCAAACGGCGAGAAATGGTGAAGAGGAACCCCCAAAAACCCAAGGACCAAATCAATTGTATGAAAGGCAGGAAATCCTGGCTTGTCTGGTGTGCGTGACCGAGACCGGACTGGTACAGGCAAGGTATCCCTTTCCAATGAGACCCCCGTCCCACCACCACGCACCACCAAAAGGACCCCTGACCAGTGACCACGAGGATACGAGCGGGGGTGGTTGGGATGCACCTGCATAGGTTTGCTGTTCCGGAACGGCATGTACCTGGGTATGTACCTGGTATCTTTGGGGGGGATCGAGCAGCTACCGCAGTAAGGTTACGCACCACCTTACAAGTACGGTCCTTACCTAACGGAGGTACCTCCACCCGGTACGTATCGCATTGTGACACTTATGCTCACTCGCACAATTGGGGAGTGCTCCACCGGGCAGCGCAACGCAAAGCATCACGAGCCCCCAAACCCAAGGGTCGGGCTGGTCACCTAGGCAAAGCTCACGTTTCTCTGGTCACTTGCTCACCCCAATAATAATAATCTGCTCAGCACACTGTGTGTTCTTCTTGGCTTCGAGTCAAGGACAAGGAGGATCGTCTTCTTGTTGGAGTTGTGCCTTGGACAAATGACTGTCGTCCTCTGACGCATTATACACTACCTTACGGATGGATACCTTACAGTAAGGTAATAAATGGACATGGAGAGACAGACATAAGCGCCCTATATGCGACTCCTCTGCTGTTTCCCCCCTGGTCAGGCAGATAGACACACTACATCATCGACATCAACCCTGGCCACCTGGATCTATCTGTCTTGGTCGGTCAGACTGGGGCACGTCGTGATCGTGGTGTAACTCACAGTGTGAGTGAGTGAGAGACTCGGAAACACAAGAGAAAAGAGAGACTGAACCTGAGTGAGTGGCACAGAGGGAGCACAGCTGCCGCCAGTCCAATGTTGTCCTACCCGCAGCATCACAGCGCATTCACCAAAACCCAACAATCCATCAATCCACCAATCCACCTCTTCTTCAACATCCCGAATCAGGAGAAGACCAAGCACCCACCATCAAGGCATCCCTTTTGTTCATCACCCAGTCCAGACCCATACCTTACGTTCCCCTCCCCGGTTTCCTGTGCCCTGTCACCTTGATCTCCGACCATTAGTTGTGTACTCCCGTCTGCAGTGTATCCATAGGAATACTGCATATGTATCAAAAGCAACCACCGCCAGGGTAACGCATCGCTTCGCACAGCACACGGCAAGCCGCAGTCCAGAGTTCCATGCCGGCTCCGATTAATTAGGACTCAGCACACCTCACCTTGGAATCCCGTCCTTGTCACTGACAGTCACTCACACTGGGCTCCCGTCCCATCTGGCGCTACTGCTGCGCCGCTAGGTACTTGCTTCCTCCAGTCCGATCTACTTACCTCACCTCGGGCACCTTACTTTGAAAAAGGTACTTACGCAGTCGGTGACAGTAAAAAGGGCTGCTACCGCGGCCAACCTGGAAAGGTAAGGTACTGTGTAAGGTACCAAAGGTAGGAAAGGTACCTCCCCTTGTGCCTTTATCGCAATCAACAACTGGACCCTCCACCCTGCACCCACCTCCCTATCTAATCGGTCTTATCCACTCTGCGCCCCATCCACCCTTCGTCACTCACTCCCATCCTGGGCAGCCCGGCTGGCTCCAGGTCTGTCACTCAACCCTCTCTCGGCGCGTCCCTTGACCTTCTTCTACATCGCCTGCCCATCCCCATCCCGACCGCCACTCCTCTGACCTTACTCTCTCCCCTTCGCCAACCTCGACTTCTTATCCTTCGACTATTCTCTCTTTCCATCTCCTGCCCTTCCCCCTACTCACCACATTCACGACATCCCTCGACTTCTCTGCCCCCCCCCCCCCCGGTCGCTCCTCGGAAGCCCTTTGTGCGCACACCTTACCACCACCCATCTAACACCATCCATCGCATACCGTTTGTACCGGCGTTTGCTTCGCCCATAACCGCCTCTTTCACTCCATCAGGGTACTTCTCGAGTACACAACGTCACGTCCTTGGTAGCTCCGAGTCATTAGCTTGACCTTGGATTTTGCCTGACTCTTGTCCTGAAAAAGGTACCTTTTCCCCTCCGAACTTGCTCCAAACTCTCCGATATACTGCGAGAGAGCCTCAAACGGCCTGGTACCTCATTCTCCTTGGCTTGCTTCCTAACGCTCACCGTCCACTCGTATTAGTCACATCACTCTCGATACTTCCAGCGCCTCCTCCCACTCCGATCACCGCCCGATCACCACGACCCTCCGATAAATCCATCTTTGCCCTTCTCTGCCTTCTTCGACTTTCGCATCGTTCCCGGTCGCTTCGTCGACACAATCCTGCACCCACCCACGGACGATACGACGGTCCTTCCCTTCTGCATCAACCTGGTCCGCGTGCACCCCGACCTATCGGATACTTGCCTGTCGCTGCCTTCACAGTACCCTACCTTTCGAAGCATCGACACCAGGGTTCTGGCTGCTACTCGCGGTTCTGCCTGCTCATCTGTTGCTTCTCTTCGGCGTGCCTTTCTTCCGCCAAATCTATCAAATAAAACCATCATAACGACCGTCTCTCCAACTTCGATCGTGTACATGACACCCCACCCGGCCGACGTCTTTCGAATAGCATAGGCCAAAGGCCTGAACTGAAGGGTCCCCGAACTCACATTCACACAAGCAGTACTGCAGGCGATCAATATGGCGGAACGGTTACCAACCTCGTCCTCTTCGGGACGCAGGCGACGCGAAGGCGACGCTTCTATCGGAGACTTTGTTATTGGAGGCGAAATCGGCAAAGGCAGCTTTGCGCAGGTGTACAGCGGTCACCACAAGGTTCGCGAGCTCCCCTCTGTCCGTGGTGTATTCCTGGAGGCCTGTTGCATGTACTACCAACTGTTGTTCCCCTCGATATGCTCCAGTGCTATGACTCAACTTGGCGTTGCATTGTGTTGCTCCTAGCGTGCTAATTCTCTGTCATAGAGCTCCAAGGCAACTGTGGCTATCAAATCAGTAGAAATGGGACGCCTGAATAACAAGCTCCGAGAGAACTTGTACGGAGAGATCCAGATCCTTAAGACTCTTCGACACCCGCACATCGTCGCCCTCCATGACTGCGTCGAATCGGCGACACACATCAACCTGGTGATGGAATACTGTGAGCTTGGTGACTTGTCATTGTTCATCAAGAAGAGGGACAAGCTGAGTACCAACCCTGCTACACACGAGATGGCGAGAAAGTACCCCGTTACACCTAATTCGGGTCTCCACGAGGTTGTCACACGCCACTTCCTCCAACAGCTCGGCAGCGCCCTGAAGTTTCTGCGGGAGAAAAACTACGTCCACCGCGATGTTAAGCCTCAGAACCTTCTGCTCCTGCCATCACCAAGGTTCAGGGAGGCACACTCCCGCCCTATCTTGACCGCCAGTCAGGACTCACTGATTCCCAACTCTGGTCTGGCTTCTCTTCCGATGCTGAAGCTCGCAGATTTCGGCTTTGCCCGTGTTCTCCCGTCAACGTCGCTCGCCGACACCCTCTGCGGATCTCCCCTCTACATGGCTCCAGAAATCCTTCGCTACGAGCGGTACGATGCGAAGGCCGACCTCTGGTCGGTAGGCACGGTTTTATACGAGATGATTACCGGTCGTCCACCATTCCGCGCCCGAAATCACGTAGAGCTTTTGCGTAAGATCGAAGCCGCTGAAGATCGGGTGAAGTACCCAAAGGAGCTTGTGGTCAGTAAAGAGCTGGTCAAGCTCATCGGCAAGCTTCTTACTCGCAATCCGGTCGAGCGCATGAGATTCGAAGACTTCTTCAACGACCCAATCTTGACAGAACCCATTCCAGGCACTGTCGAGGATGATGCACCCCCGAAACCCGAGGCAAAGGCCTCGCGCGATCTGCGATCTCTCGGCAGGTCCGATTCCACATCATCACTATCTCGCCGGCTCTCCCTTCGTCGGCAAACCGAGAACGAGCCTGTACGTGAGCAAGGCGAGTCAGCAAAATCGCCTCGTGAGAAGCCTCTCAGATCGCCAAAGTTGCCCAGTCCCATAGAAGGGCGAGCCCAGCAGGCTGTCGATGCTTCTCCACGTCCAGGACAGTCTCCGGGACAAGAACCTGGAGAGGGACTTGGAATTCGTCGTCCACCCATGACCCAACCCTCCACTTCTGCACCTGCCCGGCCTCACAGACTTTCGAATGCAGCTCTCAATCGGCCTTCTGCACGAGCCTCTGCCTCCCCACCGACATCGTACTTGAACGATAATCCTGCAAGGAACAGACTTCGTCCAGTCACCGAGCGGAGTGTCACCGAACAGGAAAAGGCTGCACAAGATGTGGCGTTTGAGCGTGACTATGTTGTGGTCGAAAAGAAGCACGTTGAGGTGAACGCGTTTGCTGATGAAATGGCCGCTAACCCACGCCTCACGTCACTCTCACCCAAGACTGGTCAGATGATCCGCCGAGCCACGCAACAGGGACCGCCTACCTCGACAACCGGCGCCGGACGAGTCCAGCCATCCAATGCAGTTCAAATCGCTTCAGGCAAGGGACGTCCCGGTCATGAGAGCCGCGATTCGTACGACGGGAAGAATTTCTCCGCCAGCCCGACGACTCAAGGCTTTATCGCCAAAGCCATCTCAGACGCCAGCGTACGATTGTTCGGATTCAAGGTCCCGCAGCATGTGTTGGGCGGAAAGGGGGCGTCTCCTCCTCTATACAGTCCATTCCCTGCGTACCCTACCCCTTCGGGTCCCGTCGGCCTCATTGGCGATGGAAAGCAAAACGCACCGGCCGACGAGGATGCGCGAGCTGTCAAGCTGATCCAGGATTTCGCTCACCGGAGTGACTGTGTGTATGGGTTTGCGGAAGTAAAGTACAAGCAGCTTTTCCCCCTCGCCCCATCAATGGAGCAAGGACTCGGCGGCACGCCGACCGATCAAATCACTGGAGATGAGGATGGCCTCACCATCGATGCCGAGGTTTCCCTGTCTGAAGAGGCTTTGGTCCTGTACGTCAAGGCTCTGACGCTGCTAGCTAGAGCCATGGACGCTGCAAGCCTATGGTGGTCGCAAAAGACGCGTGGCGATCCAACTTCTGCGGCAGAGGTTTCCAAAGAGGGCCTCGCACAGCGCATCAACTCTACCGTTCAATGGGTCCGGACTCGCTTCAACGAAGTCTTGGAAAAGACAGAGGTTGTCCGGATGAAACTCATCGCTGTTCAGCAGAAGCTTCCCGAGGATCATCCCAGCCACCCTAGCAACCACGGCGAAGTCTCAGCTTCGTCAGCTACTTCAAGCACTCCCGATGTCTATCTTACGCCAGGCATTAGTGCTGAGAAGTTGATGTACGACCGAGCCATCGAAATGAGCAGAACGGCAGCCATTGATGAAATTACCAACGAGAACCTTGAGGGTTGCGTTACGTACTATGTCACGGCCATTCGAATGCTGGAGGCTGTCCTGGACAACGACGAAGACGTAGTCAAGCGACGCCACTCAAGCTCAGGCAAAGAGTTGCCTCGCGAGGAGACGTCTAGCGATCTGGACAGCGAAGACCAGCAGGCCGTGAATCGGAGTAAGTGATGAGCAGCCATGTTCAAGTTTCCTCGCAACACTAACATTCTGGCAGTGATTCAAATGATTACGTCACGTCTCTCGACTGTTCGCAAGAAGATGGCTATGATTGCAGAGGCATCGAGGTCGCAGCAGGCCGCGCAATTTCAAGGCCGCAGACGTAGCGGAGATGTGACGCCCCGCAGCGTGCCATCGCACGCCTCCTGAGCTGCAGGGAATGGATGAAAAGAGCATCGCTCTTGTTTAACGGGAAAAGAAAAATTAAAAACACCAAACCGAACAGCCTCGCGGCTACGAACTATTATTGCTTTATTCGATTTTGAGGAATCCTGGCCAACAAGGGAGGACCTGACACTCATATTACAGCGGGTGTCACAGGCCGGATTATCTCACAGTACTTTTCATACATCGGCGTTGGGGGAACTGGAATTCGGCATTACTAGGGCTTCACGCGGTTTTTGTCTTTCTCTCATACCTCATCTCATTGGCGTTGGGAATCTGCGGCTGCGAGCTCACTGGCGGTGCGGCCAAACAATCTTGTTGTTTCTGAAGTCCGCACGAGTGCAAGGAAGGGCAATCACAGGACCTTGAACCGGCATTGCAGCTTGGCTTTCACTGAGTTCTTCTCACTAGGTTAGGACGTCCATCGGAGGATGGCAACGGGCGAACATGGCCGTCCGTTGAACACGAGGGATGATGGATACCTTTTGAAGTACTGCTGGCGGAGACAATCTGGTCTTTGCTTTATAGTCATCAATATTGAGAAAATTTGCCTGCCATCAAGAACTCTTGAAGTAGTGGTGCCTTGCAAGAAAGTCGCACCGTCTGACTTACTTCAGACTGACGCAACAACAATGATGGGTAATATTGGACAGCCTGACATCTGCCTGGCCCATCCCGGCGACGCAATAAAGGTTAGGTACGTTACCCTCTCCCCCTTGGTGGAGTTTGACAACAGAGAGTCTGGACGCTTGGCTTTAACGGAAACAGACATGGTACTAGACAGAAAACGTTCATATTTGTCGCCGGTAGTTCTCGATTAGAATGCCCCAGATGAGTCAGCTTCAGGACTTTGTGGTCTAAGGGGGGCCTTGTGGTGCTCGACCATCGAATACGTCACCGTGACCGGTACATTTTCAAGACGATCCAGAGCTAAGCTCCAAAACGCGAATCTATAAGGTCGACACAGAAGCTTCGTAGAGCTCTGGGTTTCCCATGTTCAACCGCAATCACATTCTCAACTCAACTCATTTCTGGATCTTTTCTTCTGTCCTACCAAAAGTTTGTCTCTGTAAGAATTAGAGCATTGTTCCGAAAGCAAAAGAAAAAATGTCGGCCTCAATCCGCTCCCTCAGACTCGCGCAGCGAGCTCCGCGAATGCTCTCGCGCGCAACCCGCACCTCCATGCCATCCCACCAACAAACCCGCCACCTCAGCACCGAGACCGCGCCCGTCCTCTATTCAGCCCACGCCAAGGTCGTCGGCGCCCGAACGGGCCACGTCGAGGGCGACGACCTGCGCGTGGACCTGACCATGGCGAAAGCCCTCGGCGGACCGGGGGATAAAGGCAAGACGAACCCGGAGGAGCTGTTTGCCGCGGGGTACGGCGCGTGTTTCCAGAGCGCGATGAATGCGTCGGCGGCGAGTTTGGGGGTGACGATGCCGCGGAAGCCTGAGGATAGTGTGGTGGAGGCGACTGTGCACTTGGTGGGGGATATGAAGAAGCTTGATATGGGACTGAGGGTTGATTTGAAGGTTAGGGTGAAGGGGTTGAGCAAGGAGGACGTGAAGAGGGTTGTGGGGAGGGCGGAGGAGGTTTGTCCTTATTCGAGGGCGACGAGGGGGAATGTTGCTACGAGGGTTGAGGTTGTTGGGTTTGAGAAGGGGGCGAAGGAGAGTGGTGGGGAGAAGAGTGAGGCGGAGAGCGGCGAGAAGAAGGGGGGTTCGGATAAGATGTCTGGTGTTGAGCCTAAGGGGCATAGCGATTACCAGTGAGGATGAGTCTCGGCACATGTATAATAATTGGATCGGAGGCTGTGACATCAATAAGCTCGCTATGCAGGTTAATAGGGGCATTATTATAATCTAGAATACACATTGCCATCATATGGCCATGTGTTTCTGTGAACCCCCCAGTAAAGACGAATCTATCTTGTTCAAACACCTTTCAAAGTCAATATTTCCCAGCTCAACTACGAGTTCTCGTCTTGCTTCTATACTCACCTTACACTGGGAAATCATCACAACCTCACACAAGTGCATCAACTTCACTCCCCACATCTTACCTTGACCTACCTTAACCTCTACCTATACCTACAACTTTACCACCATTCTTCTGGCTCTTCTGATCCATCCGTCGTGACGACGATGCGATCTTCTTGCATCTCGTCATCATCAGTGTCTTCATGGCCGTCAAGCTGGAGTCTGAGGTTAACGTGGGATGGTTACTGCTGTCGTTGAATCTGGACATCGTCATCATCATCTGGCTCAGTCTGACTGACCACTTACCTGGCGCGCCTCCATCAGCTCAATTTCAACTCAAAGACTGTCGAGAAGGTTGTGGTACTGCTCAGGCTAGTTGAAGTTGTCGATGCAGGCTGAATAACAAGACGCGTGCTGACAGGGAATGGTTCGGCGGTGTGCTGCTTGAGCCTGGTGTCATCGATTGCAAATCATCTTGGCCGACAACACAAGCTGGGTCGATGACTTGCGTGATTTATGATCCATCGCGTCCAGAAAACTGTCGAAGACAGTGGCCTTTTCTTTGTCAAGGTTTGAATAAGCCCATAATGCGTTGTTCCTCAACCAGAGCGCAACAAAGCTCAGTGCTGGGGTACTGCATCTCTGTTGATACTCTTAGAAAGGATGTAATCATGACACACAACCTTTGTCAAAAAAAAGAGAAAAAATGTGAGATGTTTGCATGGTCCGATGTTCCAGACCGCCTCATAAGTTCCCAACGAGCAAGGTTCGACATTTTGTGCAAGGTACCTAACCTTCTATCCCCATTTGTCAGACAAGAACCCCATATAGAATATAAGGTAGAAAATAATAATATCCCACTTATAGGGCTTAGCATCGTTCGAGGACTACCTACTCATCCGTAACTTTAAGTTAAGTTAACCTTGATGGCATCACGCATCACGCATCACGCAGCTTGTCAAGTGGTCATTGAGAATCTGGAATCAATAAAAGGCGAATGGGGGGAGGGGGTGATCCCGCCCCGCGATGCGGCGGCGCGGGTGACCCGAAATGGCAAGCGAGATCCGATCATGATTCATCCGATGACGGATGACGGATCTTCTGCAGGGGCCCGGCGCTGCGCCGGGGCAGTGCCCGGGGCGGGCTGCCGCCCGGGGGTGGTGGTAAGGTAAATACTCCTGTACCAGAACCTCGGGTCGGGCACCAACGTAATGCAACTCAGTGCCGGCATAATCGGTGGAACAAACCAGCCATTTCTGACAAATCGCCCACGGGAAACATAAGAATGCGACTCTGTCAAACTGACGTCTGTATCTGGTATGCCGTCATGTCGCGCTCGTTCTCGGGCCGCTGGACTTTCTCTCAACCTTACCGGACACTACCTACCTACTATACCTTAGCACCAAGCAATGTGCTAGGTGCCTTAGCCAACCAAGACCTCCCGGGGGGGGATGTGAAGTCAAAGTTCCCAACCCCACGAGTCCACAGCGTTTGCCGCTCGTCGGCTCGGCATTGTGAACCGTGATTGGATCAACGAAGGGGTTCATTGGTGTGTGGAGTACCGAGTTACCGCGGGGGGAGAAGGGAATCAGGAAAACCGAGAGCACTCAAGCACTCCATCCATCACACTGCTCGGGCGGCCGGGGGGGGTAAGGGAGGCGATAGGTTCATGTCGAGAAAAGCCACCTACCACTTCCAGCCCCCCCCCCCCCCTGACTCGCTCAGCTCCCCCTTCGCTCTCCGCCAAGGCACAGGCGAATTAGACTCTGATGAGATAGGCAGGGCAAGAGGCAGGTCAAGCCGCAAAGACACGCGGACTTTGGCTTGCTTGTTTTCCCTTCCGGTTTCCCCGGGTATGCCGGATTTGCAGAAGAACGACTTGTGCGCCTGGGTTCCGCGTTTGACTCCGCCACTGCATGTTAAACTTGGAGTCACCTGGTTTTTTTTTTTTTTTTTTTTTTTTTCACTTCTCCTCACCTCCCCTTCCAAAAAAAAGTTACCCAAACTCGGGGGGAGGTTTCTTGAATTTCACTAGATAAGGTAAACTCAGTATCGGAAAAAAAACTCCCTGAGGATCAAGTAATTACGATTTCAGCCCACTTCAAACGATCCACAAACACAAAACCATGCCACCACCGCCAGATCTATCCCGCTACGTCCTCCCGGACGCAGAGGCTCGGGAGATCTTCACCACCAAGATCCTCCCCGCCGACCTCCCGCCGACCCTCACCCCGCACCCCCGCCGGTCCCGGCCCCTCGCCGTACTGATAGTCGGCCAGACCGGCGCCGGCAAAACCCGCTTGGCGCCCGTCATCCTCGACGCCATGACTCGCATCCACCCGCCCGCCCACCTCATCGCCGACCTCTACAAAGCCCACCACCCTTCCTACCGCACCCTCATCGAGTCCGACGCCTCCTCCCAGGCGCAAGGGCAAGGCCCAGGCCCAGGCCCGGCCCTCGCGAGCCCGGCCACGGGCACCGACGCCCGCAGGTGGCTGGCCATGGCCGTCGCCGAGGCCGTGGACCGCAGACTCGACGTGCTCCTCGAGAGCGCGTGCCGCCACCCGGACGATTTCCGTGCGCTGGCGCGCATGTTTGGGGAAGGGGGTTACCGCGTCGAGGTCGTCGTCATGGCGGTGCCGGCGGCGCTGAGCAGGTTGGGTATCCTGCACCGGTTTCACGAGAGGTTGCCTGAGGCCGGGCCGAGCGGGGGTCTGCCGATTCGGCTTACGCCAGTCAAGATCCACGATGATTCGTACGGGGGGCTGATGAGCGTGGCGGAGTGGATTGACGAGGTGGATTTCGTTCATCGGGTTCTGGTCGTGCGGAGGGGGAACCTGGTTGCGTTTGCTGATGAGAAGACGACGACGACGGGCGGCAGGTTGCAGGGCAGGGTTGCCGAGGCGGTGGAGAGGGAGCGGAGGCGGCCGCTTACGAAAGACGAGAGGGCTGTTGTGGTGAGGGATCTGGAGAAGTTGACGGCGCGGGATGCGCGGGTGGCGGAGCAGGTTATGGGACTGCTTGAGCCGTTGTTGGTGGACGAGGATAAGACGTGTCCGGAGCTGCGGCCGTTGGCGTTTCCTCCTGGGGGGCCGCGGGAAGCATTGCTTACGTTGGGCGAGGCGTGATGGGGAGAGATTTTCTGCGATGGAGTGTCGTGGAATCACTTTCTGCATGAAGCGAAGCTCTAGATGGATCGAGATTACATGAGGATAGCATCTGGGCAAGGGCAAGATAGGGGTATTTGCTGGTAACGATTGGAACGCGGTAGGATGATTATTTTTGAGAAGACACGTCATGTTCTTGGATACATCATATTTGCTTCTCCTCTTCTCCCTTTGTCCTCATTGCTAGGTGATCAAAGCGACAGACTCAGACGACATCGAGAGTGTAAGACGACTTCTTTGAAATATGCCTTTTGCGACAATACAAAGAATGTTGCAACCACACGCCAATCGACTGAGAATGGATTACACCTTTCATTCACTTGAAACGTAGTTCTCCATGGCTGTAATTGCTTCTGCCGCTGATAATGGAATGGCTGCAATGAAGTGTTTATAAACCGACATGAGAAGAGCTCTTTGGCACTTTTTGACTTTGATCGCCCAAGGCTTTAGGTGCCATCGACGTCAAATACTGGCCGCTGCGTATTTCGAGATCTGTCAAGTCTAAGCATGAGCAATCCTACTTGGTGTTTAATGACTGTGAAGGATATAGTATTCTTGAAGTAGCATTTGTAAAATCGGGCACAATTACATCGTTCAGAGCATTAATCACGTCTCAATTGGCTCTCTAGGAATTCGCCTTCATGAGGTAACTTGAGCGATTGTGTTTCTGTAGGTATCAGTAGTGTGTAATGTAAAGGTAGGTAAGTATACTTGAAAAATGGGTTTCCTAGTGAAATTTGTCTGGATTTCAACACTGAAAACTGTTGCAGACGTTCTCAGAACATGTCATTGGTAGTCGTAGTGGCATTATAGTTTCTTGCTGGGAATGATCTTCAGGCAGGTATTTACGTTCCTCAAAGCATAATTGCCGTATTTACTCTGGTCAAGGTTGGTAAAGGTAGATCGAATGATCGACAGACTAGAGCGGCGCCTGTCAAAACGCTGCATAGCAGTCCACAAGGTACGAATCTAGAGATCGTGTGGCAGACCAAGCTACTTAGTAACATTCAGAAGCTGAGATAATAACGAAACCGGAGTAGTCTTTGGTTTCTCAACTTGTCTCGAAGCCCAGATCGTTTATGGGCAAATGCCGCCTCAATTGCTGTCAAGACATTTCGTTCCGGAACAAGCCCCACATCGGGGTCGAGTGGACCCCGACAGCTCCGACACGGCAGGTAAGTAAATGCCGGCGTTAAGCCAGTGCGGGGCCAGATGGGAGCTGAGGTTGAGCGGAGCAGAGGACCTGAAGGCTGGAGTGAGCTCAGAGCAAACCTGGAAGGTTGTGGACCAGTGAGGTCACGTCAATTGGAGGTACCTTTCGTGCCTGCCGTGCCCTTGCCGTTCCAACACTTTGGTGAGGGACGAGGAGCTGTAGGTGGGAGTGTGGGGTCTGTGTGGATTATGTAATGCATCAGTAGGGTTGGCTGCCCTACGAAGCTCAACCACTAAAACTTCCCCCTCCAGGCGCGTGACAGTTGGAGATGGAACTTTCATCACCAACATCTCTCACCAAGAAAGAGTAAGTACAGTGCCCCTCCCCTGCCCGCCACACCCATCGCGATGTCGTCAGCGCCAATCCCGTAACGGATTGTAGAGCTCCCGGCAAGCAATTGGCAGGGTGGTTAATTGCGCGCGATGCGAATCAATCACTAACATGTTGCAGCTTCGTCATTCAAGATGAGAGCTAAATGGAGAAAGAAGCGCGTGCGTCGCCTCAAGCGTAAGAGAAGAAAGATGAGGGCTCGCTCGTAAGTTTTACCAGTAAATGACAATACTGCGCGGATCGTGGTCTGACAGCTTGACAGCAAATAAACAACTCGCCCCCCCTCCACTCGACCTGACCATCTTTTGAGATGACGGCAAACAACAACTCACGCGACTCGCAAAAACGGATATGCTACAGCTAGCATTCGTCATCAGCGACTCAGTCTGTCTCGGCTCGCGCGAGACTTCTACATTCACACTACGGATTGGAACTACGGGACTTGGGGTCATGACTGGATCGGCGCGCACGTCTGGAGACGTATGAGAATTCGACGAAGAACGGAAACCCCCGACAATAAGATCGGTCGAGATGACGATATGATGAGGACGCGGTGTTTATGGAACAAGGCCGCAGGAAGCATGATGTCTTGACGCAACGCGGATTTGGAACCGGGATCAGGACTTGCATGACAATTGAAAGGCAGAAACTTTGCTTCCTCACAAAATCAAAAAGTGAACCAAAAATTCCAAAAAAACAATAATTCCAATGAGTGATGAATGTGAACTGAATTAATTAGCCATTTGACTTCTGTGCATCCGCGACGATTCAATTGCAGTGTCTGGAAGCTCAACCACCTAATATCTTCAATTTCATCAACGCAGTTAAAGTGCGACAGCCGAGCTGTGACGTTTTGTCGACCCAGCTCGAGTGGGGTAGCTGCAGTAGGCGCTTCCATACGCTTGCCGTTAGGCTGCACACCGCCTGCCTCTTTAGGATAGATCAACGCCGGTTTGCCGACTTTTTTTTTTCTTCCTTCCCGCCTGTCTCTGGCCCAGGACCCCTACAGAAAATATTTCCAGAGACCGTCGCCATCCCACCAACGGCAGATTACCACCCGAGCCTAGCCCAAACCTCAGATTGCCGACACAAACATGGCGGACACAAGCGCACGAAAGAGAAAGCGCGACCTTGACGGTTCATCCAAGTCCAAGAAGAAGCAGGCCACCGAGCCTTCCACAGTTGTCGTTTCCTCATTCCAGAGACCTCAGCTCTGCCCGCCAGTACTAGGTACGGACAATCTGCCCCCATCAGCCTATCAATTGCAGTCGCAGATAACTGCTAACATGCCGTAGCCTCTACTCCCGGTATCCGGATAGCGAAGAATGTGCAGTTCAACCCATACGTCAAGCAAGATGTCTCATCCGCCAAGCGACGGTCAAAAACCCCCGCAGTGTCGCAGGATCTCGTTCTACACTCCACCGACCACCAGACGATGGATTACACGGCAAGAGAAGATGGCATTAGCGACAGCCAGCAGGCTCTGAAGCACTACGTCGGCATTTACGACCCCGAGACCGGCAAGCTTCAAGTGGTGGAGGCGAAGAAGATGGTGGTTCGTGGTGTGGCCAGAGCAAAGCATGCGTCAGAACAGGCCATGACAGCGCCGGCAGATTACAACGTATGCCCAATTGCGCCAAGGGAAAAGCCTTGTAAAACAGTCACTAACGTCGAGCAGAGCTATTACGATCTCAAGAAAGACCTTGGTCAGACGTTTGGTACCAAGAAGGCGAAGAAGGCCATCGAGTCGGTCGCTCTCAACGCCATCGACCCCAACAAAACAAGAGACAGCGCACCCAAGAAGCTCGACACGGCATCAAAGGCGATCATGGAAGCGATTGGCGGCGCCACCGCGACAATGGCATCGCGCGAGAAGCTGCAAGCCGTCGTCGACGAAGCCAAGCCCGTACCCAGGCCCAACCTCGAAGCCGAAGCAATCCAGGACGTCTACGACCCCGACGAGTTCATCGGTCGCGAGATCCTGGCGGCGATCCCCGTCAAGGACTGGATCGACCCGGCAAAGAAGGGCGAGGAGGTTCTCTGCTACTCTCGGCACGTGGCAGGCCGCGTCAAGAAGATTGCCGACTCGGGCAACGTCACCAAGATGCGCCTCCTGCGCTACTTTTACTTCCTCTTCACATTCTACACCATGGCGACGCCGGGCAAGCAGCGCGGCACGAAGCGTATACCACCCCGCGACAAGCTCAAGGAGCGGATGGAGCCGGCGCCGCAGGTGGTCATTGAGCACATCCGGCGCAAGTTCTCCGACGGCGGCGAGATGCGCAAGTTCCACATGGACCTGCTCATCACGCACTGCTGCGCGGTGGCGTGCATCATTGATAACTTTGAGGTGGAGACGTCCAAGCTGCGTGAGGACCTGCGCCTCGACCAGAAGGATATGAATAACTACTTTTTCGAGATTGGCGCCAAGGTGAAGCAGGGCGCCTCCAAGGAGAAGGGCGTCAAGGCCCCGCACGTGGCCAAGCTCGCCCTGCCGCTCAACTTCCCCAAGCTCCGATCTGTCGCGCCGAAACGCCGTTAGGGTGGCGAAGCGGGCGACGGCGACGAGCCGAGGACGCCGGAGAGGAGGCGGCTTCGCGAGATGATCAGGGTCAGATCGGTTTGACTGTTGCAGACGGATATGGAGCCGACTCGCCGGCGGATGTTCCTGTGGCATTGTGATGAGGTTGAGAAGGGGGCTTATTCCTCATCTTTGAGGTTTAGGAGGCGGAGTCGGAGGCCAGGGGATGGATATCCACAAGACGATGGGTGTCTGCTGCTGCTGCTGACACTCATGATGATACACATTCCTACCTTACGTACGCGATACTTTAAAAGTAGACGAGCGCACAATGACAAAACGCTACGCTGCATAGGGTTCGGAGTTTAAAATTTAAAATTATTCACAACAACAACAACTGTGACGATGAATATGAAATGTAATCCAGTGAGGGCTTGTATAAGGTAATGTTGTCAATGTTGGGTGCATTGGAACATGAGCGCTAGCACCCCGCAATGCCACCCCGACCTGCCGAGGCATCTCGGTGCAGTGTGGGGTCCGGGGTAGCCGGACCTTCCCACCCTGGCCAACTCGACGTTTGATAAACCCGACGACCTGCCAACCACCCTAGCTTGACTCGAAGGTGAGACTCAGTATCTGATCTCCATTGAACACTTTCATCGACATCTGCCTCACCTTACCTTTTAACTAGAGATTCAATTGCAGAAACGACTCCAATCAAAAGAACAGAGAGGACGCACATACAAACAAGACAAACTCCAGCTACACAGACGCATCATCATCATCATCATCATCATCACACAATGGCAAGCCCCGAGGACTCCGTCATCTCCCTCGAGTACCGCGGCCGCGTCGCGCTGCTCACAATCGACAACGACCGCAAGCTCAACGCCCTCGCGCAGCCGCAGTACTACGACCTCGCGCAGAAGCTCCGCGAGATTGCCCTGCACGACGAGGTGTTCGTCACCGTCCTCACGGCCAAGGGACGCTACTTTTCTGCGTGAGTTTTTTTTAAATTTTTTTTAATACTTATCTGCGCTTTTCCTTATTGCGGTGCTGTACTTCTTTTCTGTGAGCCTATGAGTGAATTGGACCTCGGCTTTAATCTCAGACCCCGGCTGCACCTCGGCCGATTCTCATGAGAAACTCAAGCTGTTCATACAGCCCATCCCACCCTCTATACCCCAGCGCATCATCTCAACGAGAAGATGAAGAGAGACGGAAATCACCAATCACAAGCTAGTCAAAACAAAAAAAAAGAGGATAAATACTAACTTCGCTCACCACCAAACAGCGGCGCCGACGTAAGCATCGCCCGTGCCTCCCCCTCCGGCCCAGAAGCCCACAAACACTGGCTCCAATCCTTCGTCGCCTTCAACCTCAACATCACCCAAGCCTTCTACACCCACCCCAAAATCCTCGTCGTCGGCCTCAACGGGCCCGTCATAGGCCTCTCCGCCGCCCTCGTCTCCTTTGCCGACTTCATCTACGCCACCCCCTCCACCTTCCTCCTCACCCCCTTTTCATCGCTCGGTTTGGTCGCAGAGGGCGGCGCCTCCCGCGCGCTGGTGCAGAGGCTGGGCATCTCCAAGGCGAATGAGGCGCTGATTATGAGTAAGCGGATTTCGGCCGAGGAGCTGTTGCATACGGGGTACGTGAACAAGGTGTTTGAGACGGGCAAGGGGGAGGATGCGAGGTTTAGGGAGTTGGTGCTGAGGGAGGTTGATGAGAGGTTGGGGGAGCATTTGATTGGGGATAGTTTGACGGGGATCAAGGCGTTGATAAGGCGGCCTGAGATGGATGCTATGGATAAGCAGAATTCGCAGGAGGTGTTTGCTGGGTTGGAGCGGTTTATGAAGGGGATTCCGCAGGAGGAGTTTAGGAAGATTGCGAGTGGAGAGAAGAGGCATAAGTTGTGAGATTGCCGATGACGTGTAACGGGACTTTATAAAAATGTCTTAAGAGAGAAAGATATAGCACAGAATCTTCACCATGTCACTATGTATTCTCACAACTCGGCATATCGGCATATGATGGATTTCATCTACGCTCTATTCCATGGGGTATCTATATACAAACTTCTCACATCACAGAAGACCAAAAAGCAGGCTCGTCTTCTTGTGGTACTCCTGCGACGACTTGCCTATCCGCTGGCGCGCACCGTCGCCTTCCAAGCCCGTGTGTTCAAAGATCGTATCCTCCAGACTCGCCAGCTCGTTGTTTTGGCTTGCCGTGGGGGCATCGAGGTAGCAGCGGAGGAAAGAGACGTCGTAGAGCCATTGGATGAGAAGGTCGCGGCGCTGCTGTGCGAGACCATCGTCCACCTTTGCCGTTGCTTTTGCAGCGGGCTCGGTAGTCTCTATTTCTGGCTTTGAAGCTTCTTCCTCCTTTTCTTCTTTGTCTTCTGTGTCTGCGTCATCTCCCTTCTCCTCGTCGATAGCGTCTTCCTGCTTCTCTGTGTCAGGTGTCTCGGCCTCCTTATCATCACCGTTCTCCTCTGCCGAGTCCTTGACAACATCATCCGGCTTTGCGTCGGAAGCATCACCCGTGACATCCTCCGCGAGGTGCGCCTCCATGGCCTCGAGCCACATCTCGCCCAACTGCGTCCCAAGATGCCGCTTAATCACGCCCACGGCCACCGCGCTCCAGAGATCCATACCCGCATCGCCCATCTCCGTCGACACGTCCCGCAGGAACTGGAACACCCTAGGCGAAGGCTGCGTAGGCAACTCGGGGCTCCCCTCCCACAGCGGCCGCCCAACAACAGTTTTCTGCGTGAGCGCCCTGCCCTTGAATACTTCCAACGGCTGCGCGGCCACGGTGGTAGCCAGCCGTTCGTGTAGCGACGGGACAACCTCCAACCCGAACCTCTTGACGGCATCGAGCTTCGGCAGGCCCTCGCGCACGTCGCGCAGGATGCGGAGGAGGTACATGGCCACCCGGCCGCCATTCTGCGCACCTTCCTTGGACCGCCAGAGACCCGTGAGCTTCCCGTCCAGATCCACAAAGGCCTTGACCAGCGTCGCGTCGAGCTTCTCGTGCAGCGTCCGCGGGTCCTCTCTGCTGAGCAACTGCTGCCTCGCCTCGATCGTCTCCTCGTCCTCAATCTCATCAATGTCGTTATCCCACCGCTGCCGCTTGAGCTGCTCCACCACCTCGCCCACCTCGTCGATGATGTGCCGCCACGACTGGAACCCGCTAACGGCCTTGGATACGGCGTCGTTGCGGCCATGCAGCCGCGCAACGAGCTCTTGCAAGAAATGATCCGCGCCGTGGATCAGGTCGATATCGAACCCGCGCACGTTCCACAAATCGACGCCCTCGTCCGTCACGCCGTCCTGCCACGACTCCAGCGTCGCCGACACCTCGGACCCGACGAGGTGCAGCTTATTGACTTTGGTCTCGACGACGCGGAGCATGTGCCCGTTGACGGCGCCGCGCAGCTCGTCGAGCATCTCTGACGGGTCGAACCCGCGCGCTTTACCGCCCTCGCGGATCCAGAGCTGCAGCACGCTCGTCCGCAGCTCCGTGATGGCTTTAAACTCCGTCATCCGCTCCATCGTCTTCTTGAGCCCGTCGACGAGGACCTCGCCGCCCCGCTTCGCCCAGCTGAAGAGCATGTCTCGCGCCTGCGGGCCGTCGAGGTCGTCGTGCCGTACAAAGGGCGTGAAGAACTGGATCTCCTCGCCGCACCACCGCTCGTAGACGTCGAGGCGCAGGCACTCGAGTGTCTTGAGCGTTGCGTCCGCTAGTAAGGGGCTCTTTTTGAGGTTGGAGAGAGCGTCGGACAGTTTGAAGGGCACCAGGGCCTGCACGTCGAGCAGCGTCTTGGTGTATAGTGTCAGGCTCTTGAGCACGTCCGCGGTGCTCCTCTGCCGCTCCTTGTTGTCCTCGACGTCGAAGGCTAGCGCCATGGCGGCGCCCCGGACTCGCAGGAAGTGGTTGACGACGTCGCACGCGCCGGAGCTGGTGGCCAGGCTGTACGCACACAGCGCCTTGAGGACGTCCTGCTGCTTGACGGATTCGCCAGTCCGCTCCAGCAAAGTTTCAATGTTCCGCAACAGTCTCCTCCTCAGTCCACCTAAGCTCTTCTTTGCGGTCTCGACCGTGTGTCCGACGTCGCCGTCCAGCAACCCCCCCTTCTCCGCCTCCAGACTCTTCACCAGAAGCCGGCTCAGCACCAGCACCTTACTAGCAAGCACGACCCTATCACCCTTACTTAGATCCTGGCTGCCAACACCAGCGGCCCCAGAGCCCCGAAGCACACGTCCAACAACGAGCCCGCACGCCTCAAGCAGCCTCGCCCTCGCAGCAACACCGATAGCTCCGCCGCCGAGCTCCCCCGCGCTCCGCTCGAAGCCGCCTAGACCCGTCACCTTCTTCCCTACGACGCCGCGGCCGCAGCGCCCGCCCATGCCGCCGAGGACGTTCTGCACGGCGTCGTTGTCCTTGCGCATCTGGACGATTGTGTCGGCGGTGCCGAGGAGGTCGCGGTAGGAGCTGCCGACCTGGGTGCGCAGGCGGCTTGCCTTTTCGTCGATTTCGACATGGAGGGATCTGTGGATGCCGCGGATCTGGGGGAGGGTGTAGTTTGAGGAGAAGACTTGGGCGGAGGAGGTGAGGGTTGAGAGGTCGGGGGTCGCCATCTTGGGTGGTCGTTGGGCGGCTTTCGACGATGGTTCGGATGGATGGGTGGGTGGGGGGTCGTTATTGGTGGGTCGTTAGGTTCATTAGGATGTAACTTCGTTATAGAGTCGTTCTCGTAGATTTCTATATTCGCAGGACGTTTGCGCTGGTCTTGCGCCTACCTGGTGGTTGGCAATTGTAGATGTGTAGTTGGTATCTGGAGCTTGGTGTTCAAGCTGTTCTGGCCACATGGAATGGAAATTGGTGGGGCCAGCTTTCTCGAGCTTCGGGACCCTGCAATTAACCCCAGCTAACAAATCTCACTTACAGTGCCAGTCTCACTCCCTCACAATAAAACACTCACAACGGTGTCTCGATACAAATAAGTAGTGTACACAATACGCAATTGAGAGCACACTATCAAGAACAAACGCTTCAATATTTGAAGAAAAAAAAAACCCCCCCTTTTTGAAAAATTCAATTGTATTACGTGAGGGCGCCGACGACAACGTAACTCTACAATTTCCTCGCCCTGACAATGCCCGTCGTGATACCAGACATCTCACCCCCGTAGCCGCCCTTGGGCTCGCCTCCCTTGTAGACGGCCTTCATGCTCCTCAACTTCTTCTGCTTCTCCTCGTACTTCATCCTCTTCTTCACGCGCGGGTTGCGGTTCTCCTTCTTGCGCTTCGGCGTCAGGCCCTTGTTCTTCTCAATGGCGTACGTGATCTTGCGCTTGCCGTCCTCCCCGACAATCTCCTGCTCCACGATGCGGTCCGCCTTGCTGGCCGCCGCCAGCGCCGCGCTGTACGCCGCCTTGTCCGCCTTCTTCTTCTTGGAGGAGGCGGCCACCATGTCGTAGTACTCGTCGTCCCCTTCCTCGCGCAGCGCCGCCGCCGTCGTCTTGCCCCCCTCGTCGTCGCTGTCGCCGTCGCCGAGGTCGGCGCCGAATTTCTGGCCGCGGGACTCGGCTTCGCGGTTGAGGCGGGCCTGGCGGTCCCGGAGACGTTCGCGGTAGGGGATGTCGACGTCGCCACCGGCCGCGGCGCCGGCGTCGGCGCGCTTGTTGGCCTTTTGGACGATTTGCGAGGTGTAGAAGCGCAGACTCTTCTTGCGGGCGGCCTTGTCCGCGGCCGTCCGGGCGTCGAGGACCTCCTCCTCGCCAAAGTCGGAGTTGTCGCCCTCCTCGGCGGCGGCAGCAGCAGCCTTGGCCTTCTTGGTCTTATTGCTGCTCTTCTTGGACTGCTTGAGGAGGTCGTCGAGGTCGGCGAGCGAAGCCTCGATGGCGGCGGCCTTCTTCTGCGCCTGCTTGTTCTTGGACTTGGCCGCCTTCTCGAGTCGCCGCTGTCTCCTGATCTCGTCTCTCGCCGCGGCGAAGGCGTCTTCGTCCACATTGCCGGCGGCCACGCCGCTGATAGCCTCCTCGGCGGAGGAGACCTCATCGGAATCGTCAGGCCGTACCGGCGCGGCGTTCTTGACTTGCTGCCACGCGTCGCGGCACTCCAACAGCGTCTCCATGACGTCGTGGTCGCGGAGTTCGGCGGGGTCGAGCGTCTTTTGGGCTGTTGACCCGTCGCGTGCGGGCGATGTGAGGATGGCAAAGTAACTTGCCAGTGCGGCAACGTAGCAGCCGAGGATCCAGTACTTTACGGCCTCGAGCGATTGACTCGACTTGCCGTGGGCGTCTTTCTGCAGGATGGCCAGTTGCGGTTGCAGAGTCTGGAACTCGTTCACGAGGTGCTCGAACTCGGGGTATCTGCTCTGGAGGATCTTTGTGCGCTGTTCGGGTCCCATATCGTCCGTGATCTCAACGTCCTTGAGAACCTCTGTGACAACGTCCTGGTCCTCTTCGTCCTCCTTGGCGGCTGCCAGCCATTCGCCCTCGTCGAACAGGAAATCCTCCTCGGACATCTTGGCCAGCTTCTTCTGCTGCAGGCGCTTGGCCTCGGCCTCTTCCTCGAGCGCATCGGCCTCGGTCTCGATTTGGTCGGCATTGTAGTACTCCCTCTTTGAGGAACCCCACCAATTCGGATCGTTCTCGTCCTCCACTCCTTCACCCTCTTCCTCGGCCTCCTCCTCAGCGGCAGCAGTCTTGCCCTTCTTGGATTTGCGGGCGGGCTTCTTGGTCACCTCTCCGTCGGAATCGTCGCCGTCGCCGTCGTCGAGGTCCAGGATCTCCTCGTCCGAGTGTTCCAGGAACTGGTCCTCCTCGTCGGCCTTCTTTCTCCTCTTAGACTTGGGGCCCTCGTCGAACATGATCTTGTCGCGGTTCAAAAAGTACTCGTCTTCTGAATCGGCGACATCTTCGTATGTGGTGATGGGGCCCAGGCGGGCATCGGCGGGGTCGAAGTCCTTGGGGCCGGTGCGCGCATTTTGGCCAGAGGCCTTTCTCTTCTTCGCCATTGTGACCGACTCGTTGATTGAATAAGTCGGTTATCCAGGTGTAGGGGTGAGGATTGGAGCGAAAGTCGATATCGGTGGTGAGAATCGGGCGTTGGATGGGGCGGGATCGCGTGCTGCACTTTGACGGCTACGAAAAATGTTCTTGCGTCCGTCAAACGCAGAACTTTTTAGTGGAGATGAACTAGAAGGGGTGTTTCTCATTGGTCTTGTCCCTCATGCTAACAGTGGGGTCCATACCAAGTCCGTCCACGGTCAAATCGATGCAAGTCAGCAACATGTCACTCAAACAACGCCGTCTCAAGTACATGATTTTGTCTCTTCAATTGAGAAGTTGACGCAAATCTCTCAGATAAAATCTACGAGATTTTTGGATTTTTTCAAATAACATATGGCTTTGAACTCGAGCTAGCTCGTTGAGCTATGAAGGGTCTGAGACTACCTCACAGCTACACATTCGGTACTCCCTTGGCGGCGCAAGCTGGTTCAACTTGCTGAGTTGATGAAGAGCTACTTAGCCCAATGAATGGCAGGAACAGACAATCTTTGTTAACAGTACAGAAACCTCGGAATTCGTAAGATTATCAGCATTGCTGCAAATCGACATTAAGATGATGAGGGCTAACCCAAGCTGGCCGAACTGTCATATCATTCCGTCTGAACGGGCGCCATCAGCAGCCACTTAGACTCTAGAGGTACAAGGCACCCCACCAGGAACAGGGACCTGGATCCTGATGACACCAGCCAAACTGCACGCACCCTGGCACCCTACTGGACCGTGTCTACGAATACCTCACCCAAGGTACGGAAGCTACTCCAACTACAACGCCTCGCGTGTCTCGAGCAACTCATCGCCGACAAAGCCGGAATATAAAGCCACGACGGCTCCCTCTCTCCCCCTTGCCAATTGCCCTCTGCCGTCTTCTCTCCCAACTCGAGAGGTATGGACTACGCATCGCAAGCTCTCTGGATCGCCCTGCCCGCCCTCGCAGCAGCCCTTCTCGCATCCGCAATGGGTCTGTTCAACTGGAAGAATCACATGCCCGTCGATGGCAAGGTAAGCTCAATTCCTCGATCCCGCCCCCCTTTATTCGCACACGTATACTCACCTGCACCCTTCTCCAGACCGTCCTCTTGACCGGCGCCTCCGAGGGCATGGGCCGCAGCGTCGCCCTCCGACTCGCCGCAAAGGGCGCAAACCTCATCCTCATCGCCCGCAATGCCGCCCGCCTCCAAGAGCTCCTCGCCGAGTGCAAATCCGCCGCCAAGAACCCGTCCACCCAGCGCTTCACCTACATCACCGCCGACATCACAAAGGAAGACTACGCCACACCCCTCCTCGCCGAGGCCGCGAGCTGGAACGCCGGCCGCAGCCCGGACGTCGTCTGGTGCATCGCCGGCATGGCCTCCACCGGCTTCTTCACCGAGGTGCCCTTCTCCGAGACCCGCAGGAACATGGATGTCAACTTTTACGGCACCGCAGAGATGGCCCACGCCATTCTGCGCGTCTGGCTCGCGCCCGAGGCTCCCGTCGAGGATGAGCCGCGCCACCTCATCATGACCACCAGCGTCGTCGCCTTCTTCACCGTCGCGGGGTACGCACCCTACGCCGGTTCCAAATGGGCCATTCGCGGCCTGGCGGACACCCTCTCGCAAGAAGTTGAGCTCTACCCGCAAAACGTTAAGGTCCACGTCGTCTTCCCGGGCACCATCACGAGCCCAGGCCTGGAGAAGGAGAACTTGACCAAGCCCCAGATCACGCACCAGCTCGAGGAGCTCGACCCCGTCCAGTCGCCCGACGAGGTCGCTAGGGCGGCCATCAAGGGACTCGAGCGCGGGGATTACTTTGTGACGGTGGCGTGGCTGGGTAGCTTGATGAGGTGGAGCGGTCTCGGCGGTTCCCTGCGTAATAACTGGGTTGTCGACACGCTAGGCATCTGCCTCTCGTCCCTGGTCTGGATCTTTATCTTGCCCGACATGTTGAGACAGATTAGGAATCACGGCAAGAAACACGGTCATCCTGCAACTTATGCTAAGCCCCAGCCGAAGCCGAGTTCGTGAGGACTCGTGTTTGAGCTAAGAAAATGGAAGATAATTGATACCCCATAATGTTTATTATTCACAACTCCAGTATTCCACTATGAGATTGCCATATCTATCTGACACCCTACAAGACAGGGTCGGTGATTGACCACAGACTACGATACTGGATGACTTGGCCCTATGTCTATACACCAGTCTCTTTCGGCCGTTGATCAATGTGTCCATTGAAGATCTGCGACAGGTGCGTCTCCGTCCTGGCAGTCAGCGGCTGCAAAGCCGCGAGCAATGCCTGGTATTCCTTCCCCTCTAGCTGCGACTTGAGGTGTTCCGTGTTTTTTGCCCTGTTGTGAGAAGACGCGTAGTGTTAGCGAATTACAACCTATGGTCCGGCGTCGTATGACAGGGAGGGAGAAGGGAAGCGAGAACAACCCAGTCGAGGAAGAATTGCTCTTCGGGTGTGTTGTTCGCACTGGATTCACATACCGTAACCACAACGTCGCCAAACTCCTATCCATAACCTCCTCCAAAACAGCACAACTCTGCAACTCCCCCTCCCCAACCCCCTTGTCCCTCTGCTCCCCGGCAAGCCGTATCAACCCCCTCACAACCTCCTCCCTCCTCCTCTCCGCCGCCCAAAAGTGCACAACAGCAACCGCGCTCTCACGAGAATCCTTCCCAGGGTCATCATCCCGCTTCAACCAGCCGCCCGCGAGATCACAGTGATGCAGATCGTAGTCCGGGCTACCGACCCCTTGGACGGTCTTGAGGAGCTTATCCTCGTCCGCGAGGCGCATCTCGCGCTTGAAGACGTCGGTGGAGGTGTGGGGCCGAGGAAGAAGCCCGCCGGGTGGGTGTAGCCTTCGAGGCCCCAGAGGGTGTCTGGTTCGGCGTTGGAGAGGTCGTGGCCCCAGTAGTAGCTGTTTCCTAGGGGTTCGGTCGCCGAGACGGCGCAGAGGGCGATGAGTCTTTGTTTCCACTACAGTGGGAAGAAAGGGGGGGATGGAGTTAGCCGTGTGTAAGTGTGTGGCAATGCCTTGAGGACTTCAAGAGTCGAACTTGGCACACAAATGTGGTCTTACCTTTTCCAGAGAGCCATCTGAACCGACGACACGGGCGACTACGAAGAATAGGGGGCACGACATTCTGGCTCAAAGGTTTCAAGTGTAAGTTGGATGGGGTATAACGTCAATGGACGACTCTCTGTCTTAACACAGGCCCTGCCTCACAGACCACGGCCAGCTTCACATATTTAAGACTGCCATTCCCAAGAATTTCACATGAGCTCCTCATTCGGACGGTGGATTCCAACATTCAGTGAGTGCGGGGTGAGCTCTTGGAGTTGCTGTCTGGGTTTACCCCGCGGTTCGGCGTGATTATCTCCAACAGCATAGCCAAAAATAAAATAAAAGAATCAGTCCGTCCGGTGGCCCAAGATAGGGACCAGCTGCCCAACGGAGCATCTTTGTCTACGCAAGATCATCACCGGCCGTACTATCGAACATGCTTCTGGAAACCTATGGTGAGGAAGACGGCTTCTCGGGAATGCTTTTCCCGGCCCTGGGTTTCTGCCCATGCTGCATTGACTAAGGTCGGTCAGACCTTGATCTATTGGGCATGACAATACACTTCTAGTTGTCTGCAAGCATGCAGTCGACTTCGACAGCCGCTATCTTTGTCCAGAGCAGTGAGGGTAGATTGTCTGATTCTCGACATAAAAAATCCGCTTTAACGCACGTTAGGGATGGTATAGCTGCATTCAAGTAAAGAACATGTATTGAGACTTCTTCATAACTCTTGTGTCTAAACTAGGTGTATACTCTATCATAGCAACCCTCCTTTCTCGCCACTAGACTTGTCCATTCATGACTCTCAGGAATCTCAGAGTAAGAAGCCTTCCGGCAGGTCAGGTCCTGCGAAACAAGGGAGTTAGATCAACACCAACCAGACTTTCCCAAGCGCAGTCTACAGAAGAAACACTCACCCCAAATATGAAGGCTATCAGGAGAAGCTTTGGAATGATTCGGCGGATGCGAGCTATTCATTTGATCGCCGTCGACATAATGCTCAAAAATGAACTTGCTGGGGTCAAACCTGCGTGACGATCGTGTTAGTCGGAAGAAAGTCTCGCACCAAACATGCCAAACTCTCCAAATGCGCCGGGTAAAAGAGAGAGAGGAAGGAAACTCACCAATAGTCAAAAATCTGACTCCCCATAACATGCCTCCCCAACACCCCAGCAGTTCTCGTACCCTCGCTCGCGAAGCCAGTCATGCCCGAGAAACTGCAAGTCCGAGTCGTGGGTCTCGAACGAGGCGTGGTGGACGTGACATTTGGGGCCCTCGAAGAAGAAGAAGAAGGAGTGGTGGTCTACGAGGTCGTCGCCGCGGTCGAGTCGTAGGAAGACTGTGACGTTTCGTCCGGTTTCGTCGTGTACGAGCTGTCTCTCTCTGGCGAGTTATTTCTTTTTCCCTCGATCACGGGATGAGAAAGGGGGTTGTGGGTGATGAGGGAGTTTGCTTGACTTACGTCGCTGGGGATGAAGTTGAATCGGGTTGTGAAGAAGTCGTATGTTTGTTGGAAGTCTGTCACGCGTGCGCCGAAGTGGCCTAGTTTGTGTACCGGTGCCGGGCCCATAGACAAGTAAGTTTGACTGAACAAGTGTGTCTTCAGAACTAATGTAATCAACTTACCTTTGTCAAACCGCCGAAACGTGCCCGCCTCTCTATGTTTCTCTGTTGGCTAAGGCGATAGTCAGACTTTTAGAACGTCACAGTGGAATAGCAATGAACGTTCTCGGAGAGAAAAGGACTTATACACACAAAATTGAACTCTCGTTCTGGAAAACCCGTCGCCTTCTCCCGCATCACCTGTCCATAAACAAGGTGAAACGGAAATTTATCAACACCGCCCTCGAACGTCACACATCGGCCCCCACCAGGCGCCTTGCTCAGCTCATACGGTGCAGAAGCCCCAGGGAGCGTCTTGGACGCATAAAGAAGATCCTCCTTGGACTCGACGACAAAAGTCGCGCCGCCAAGGCGTCTTTGGTACCGGCTTCGGCGCAGAGGACGAAGGGTTCCGGGCCGTAGCCCCGGTAGTATACGCGGGAGGCCTCTACGAAGCCAAAGTCTCGGAAGAAGGCTTCGGCTCGTTCGAGGTTTTGGTAGGTGTAGTTGATGTGTGCTATTCGCACGAGGTTGATTTTGCGGATGGGAGCGGTCATCTTTGCTATTGTGGTGTTGGAGCTTGGTTGGGTGTTTGGAGGCAGGGATGGGGCGTCCTTGATCGGGTCTTTACACAATGAAGGATTTGAGGCAAGGGACTACTTGGAAATCTGAGTATTTGAATATAAATCTGGATTAGTCTAGGTTTTGTCTTGATTTCTAACGAATGGTATTGAATTAGCATGAGCTATCCGAGGTAGATGGAAGCACCGTCGTCAAAGACCGTGCCCGATCGATGTTACGGCAGACTGCAAGAGGCACTCCGCCAAAACACTTTTTTCATGCGTCAAAGCAGAAATCGAATTTCACAGTCACCCCACCACCGATTATTGAACTTTACACTAGTGAGATAAACCATAGATATGGTTTACGTAGAATTACGGCTTGAGATACATTATCGATTGAGTTTGTAGGACCCCGTACGGCGGTATATAAAATCGCGCACTACTGTAAACCATTATGAAAAGTCTTTCTTCTCATTATACCTTTATTATGGAGGCAACTACTGCCTTTTGCCCTCTTATGGGTAAAAGTCACTCTTTACTTAAGTTATCAAACCAGTGGCTAGCTTGTGGACACTGTGGTGTAGATCTACGACAACTTCCAGTCCCTTCCCGAGACGTAACCGAACCAATCGACCTTACAACGCCCCCTCGCAAAGCAATCCCGAGACGAACGATCGAGAACAATCCCTCTACAAGCTCTGCTCTTTTTGTACAACAAGAGCATTCGAATGTACAAGCTTCGACGTTGATGGAATCTCTTCTTACGAGTTCCCAAGAGCGAGAACGAAGTATTTAACAAAACTAAAAGGGGCAAAAGCAATCGCCAATGATTAATATCTCTATTACGTTGTATAATGCGTCCTTTTTCGAGAATAAACTGAACGGCTTCTAAGTAATAACTTATACCAATGTTCAGGTTATTAAGAAGTTTATTAGGAAAGTTTAGTTCAATCGCTTCTCGACCTTTACTTTATACTATGATATGATGTGGTTTATCATTTCCTATTTCATAATAAACTAGCAAATTCGTTCTACGGAATGGATAATATTACTTATTAACGTAAAGAATCCTTACGATATTTCCGAATACCGGTGTTACGGCCAGCTAGTCGTAGTGAGGTATGTTTGCAGAAGTTGAGGCTGCGGAACTGGTAACAGTATTCGTAGTCGGGGATAGCTTCAGGGAAGCTATGTCTGTAAGTCGTAAGGTAAGGGAAGGCTTCGGTGATCAATCGTAGTCTTATCAAAGAGGTTCTCAGGGAAGATAGCTGAAAGCGATCATAAGATCTGATACGAAGTTAATTGCTGAAGAGCTATGGGAAGTCTGTCCTAGAGTCCGGATCAAGTCCATCCTATATACAAGTCCATCCTATATACAAGTCCTGATTCTGAACATGTCCTTTGTGCTGGACAGTGTTCTTGCTTGGATATGTTGGATAGCTCATATCCTGGTTATCCAAGGATCGCTTGGATAACTCATATCTAACATATCCTTATCTCTTATTATCACGTAACTCGTACCATAGTTCTTCCGTTCCTAGGGTTTCTCTAATATTCCGTTCTAGCCTGCATATATAGTGCGCCGTAGCCGCCGTGGTCCTGCGGGGCGGGCCCTGTTCTTGGTCATGCATGTTGGGTCGTAACACACGGCCGCCCTAATATTAAGATTATCGTAATAAGAGTAATATAGGTGTATCTTACCTACAGTCCTCTACGGAGCTGAAACCTGGTATGCAGGCTTATACAGACCAGCCTTAAGTAACAACACCAATACCAGTAGTGGTACTACTATGCAGATAGCTACTATAGGTACGGGACAGAAGGGCCTGGTCCGCAAAGTCGGGAAAGTTATTTCAGCAGCGGCAAGGGCTATCCTACCTGTCTGGAGGACCACACCAACTAGCAGCCTCCTTCGTGAGGCTGGCCTGCCCACAGCAGAGGTTGCCCTCGAAGCAGCACGACTATGCTTTGCTACGCGGCTACAGAAGGTTGACCAACAAAATCCCTTGGTCCCAAGGCTCTGGCAGCAGGGGCGGCAACGGACAAGACTTCAAAGAACAGCTGGCCTCTTACCTAAATGCCCAAGGCCTTTACTCATACAGCCGCAATACCCCCCAGGCTCACAAGACCTCATAGCCCTAGAGCGTAAGGAGGATGCAGCTAAAGCCTTCCAAGCCTGGCTCAAGACCGTACCAGACAATCATACAATCGTCTACTCAGACGGCTCTAAAGCCGCTGATGGGGCCACGGGGTTCGGCTTTGTTATCTATCGCAAGAACAGACGTATAGCCCAGGGCTGCGGCCGCCTCGGCTTAGCAGAGGTGTTTGACGGTGAGGCGGAAGGGGCGAGGGCGGGGCTCCGACGGGCCCTCCATACCTCTCAGGGCCAGCCGATACACATCTGTATCGATAATACCAGTGTCATCCCGGGAATCCGTGGCAAGGTCCCAGACTCCTCACAAGCTGCCTTCTTAGAGATCCAGGAGGTAGCTAGGATATACGATATACGAACCCATTGGTCCCCGGGGCACCAAGATATTAAAGGAAACGAAGAAGCAGACAGCCTAGCTAAGGAGGGAACAACTCTACCAGTCCCTAGGGGCCAACTAGCTACTCTATCAGGTATCAAGTGGCTTGCTAAAGAGCGGCCAAGACGCTAATATAGACGATGGTGGAAACAAGAGGCAACTCCCCGCTATACCCAACTAGGGCTCAAGGCCACCCTTGCTTGCCCTCCTGAACTTGGCCTCCCTAGGGCTGCCCTTCATCACCTCCTCGCGGCACGGTCAGGCCACGGGGACTTTAAACAATATCACTGACGCTTTAACCACACAGAAGCACTACTCACCTGCTCCTGTGGATGGGTTAAGGAGGCAGACCATCTAGTCTACTGCCGAAAGACCCTAATGAGGAGGCAACAGTGGCCCACCCTCTACCCCTACAGCCGTCAGGAGCCCGTAGGACCTATAGGGTCCCTCGATCGCTACTTCAAGGGGCTAATCACTGACTCTGAAGGCTTCCAGGCCTTCCTCTGCGTGACAGACTTCTTCCAGAAGATCTGCCCGCGGTACTAGGAGATAGGTCATAACCTATCCTCCAAACGACAAACTACCTCTATTAAGAAACCAGATGGTTATAACGGAACTAGGGCACTAGTGGGAACTAGGGATGGATAGAACACATAGTAGCTCACGAGCAAGACTTGGAGGACGTTAGGATACGGCGTGTACTATATAGTATATAGCTAGAGCCTGCGACCCTTCACGCCACATACCCTCCGGGAGGTCTGCCGCAAGGGCGGCTGCGCCCTTGCCGCCATGGCGTTAAATATAAAACAAACAAACAAACAAGACTTAAGTAGAGCGCCGATAACCTTCTTACTACGCTGCTTGGTAGCGCGAGTGCGCTTACTGACCTTGGTAGGCGTAGGACGGGCTAGTATAGCTTGTTAGCTAACTGTAGGGGAATGTATGGCGGTGTGGGATAACGTACAAGTGGTGACGGTGCCGGTACGTAGGGAACACTCATATGCGGTGCTGATATACTGGCAAGAGTTGCAGCTATGGCCCGTAAAGGTAATGTAATCCGCAAATATTCCTTTACCCGCCTTGTAGCGAGAGTAAGACGTGGTAGCGGGCTGTACGGTGCCGTAGACCGTGGTCTAGATGGCGTTAGCCGCCTGAGTGCGGTTTACGGCGATGTCAGGGGGAATTTGGCGGCCCTTCTTGGAGATCTTGGGATTAAGCCTCACCCAGCAGAGGGGCTAGAGTGTACGGGTTAGTAAGGCGTCATAGGGAAGTGTAGGGTAGTGTACGACAACATCCTGGGTTCTAAGATCAACCAGCTTGTGGAACGTGCTAGAAAGAGAGGCTAAGGAGTTTGTAAATAATGTAAGAAACTGTAAAATAAGGAAGCTATTGTACGGAGATGTACGTATTGGCAAGGAGATAGGCGGTCATCTCCTTGGATGTAAGATCATCGGGGTACTTCGTAGGCTGCTGTACGGGACAGGCAGGAAGCTGTTCGCCGTTGACCTTGTCAGGAAGGCAGTCTTCTTGCGCCATCGTGAGTGTTGTATCCCATCGAGTGCCACTTGACGCCATTTTCGCCAAGGGCGGGGTAGAGCCAATAAGAAGCTGTAAATCTATTAAGTTAACTGTTGGATCTCTGAGCAGTCGGCAGAAAAGATGGATCTGGAAGGCGGTATGGGCACTTACAAACGGCCCTTTCACTTATATACCACTTCTGGGAGATCGTGGGCTCTGCCCACAATCTCCTCCTTCCACCTCCAGACGTAGCAATAATAGACCATTATTGACACTTCGTTCCAACCGTACGGTTGCCCTGCTGACGTGTATACCAACATTAACCAATAGGGTTACAGTACCTCTATTGCCTACATATTCTGCGTATGCCAGAGGTACCAGCAATCCCCTTGGATACATAAGGGTACGTTGCAGTCTAAGCAGCCCTTCCTCGTGTACTTACGCTGCGTGAAGCTATTCCCAGATATCTCGCCTAGTGCCTTGCGGGCCCTTAATGCCCTTGTATTACTACAATAAGAACAAGGGGAATTAACCTTCCGTGACCCCTTTGTATGGTGTTCCCATGGGATAGAGGTATTCCTTTTACTTATAGCCCGTCTAGGCCGTGACCTCTGCCGCCCTTATGCTAATGGTCCAAACTGCTGGATAAGCTGGGCTGCAAGTAGCTGACGCCAGCGGTAGTGGGTCTTCACCTTCTGCTACCTAGGGCTGCCCCGTAGCTGCAGTAAGAAGCTATTCACAACTACCACTTCTAGTAGGAAATTCCAGGCAATTGACTGCCAGCCCCCTCGACGAATAGGGTGGCTATATTGATAATAGGACCTCATCTGGTCACTCACATCAACCCCATTCATCTTGTGGTTGTATTCATCAATTGCCCTAGGGATTGGTAGGTCCTTGCGGACGTCTGGGCCAAAGACTTGCCGGGCAGCCCTCTTGGCAGTGGAATTCCCAGCTGGGCGGCGACGGCTGCGAACAACCTCCTCGCCGTTCTGGAAGACGGTTGATAGGAATAGTACAAGGGCATTATCCTTCCAGGTAAACTGGTTAACCTATTTACTAGTTAGCTAGGTAGGCTAGGCTGGGCTGGGCTGGTAGCTTACCTCCCCATCTAAAGTAGGGATACAGTGTACTTCACCCCAGGGAATATCCCCTCCTTCAGTCTCTTTCTCATCAACTAAGGTCTTATCTATCCCACTATCCTTTCGGCAGGTACCAGAAGCTCCAACTTGTTGCTTCCGTAGGGTACGAAAGAGCCGTATCCCATCGGGTGCTGATGGACAGCACTTTCGCCAAGACCATGAAATACCCACTATTTATCCACTATTACCCCGTATTTAAAGGGGTACTTGTCGATACGTCACTCATCCCTATGCTCTTTTGCCTATTATCATCACTATTATTACCATTTTGATTGATATTGTGATGTCTTCTGGTGATTCTGATACCTCTATTGCATCTAATGCTTCTATTACTTCTATACGCAGCTGTATAGTAGCTGAGGTCCACCCAGAAGACCTTACTGCTGCCTGTAATACAGACTGTACGCCCGAGCGCTGTGACGCAGCTACAGTCCGGCCCCACGAACCTCCGGCTACTCGGCATGGTCCTCCGGGCTCCTTCCGGCCCTTCAACGTGCCGGCCCGTGCCCAAGAGATACGGGGGCTGCCGGCAAGCCCGCTTGAACTGTTCCTCCAATACGTCCCGCAGAGTCTCGTGGAGCAGTGGGCCCAGTGGACAAATGCGATGCCGTTGTCTGGCCCTAGGGCTAGAACGTCTAGAGTAAATTCATGGCGGCAGACTTCAGTAGAAGAGATCTACCTCTTCCTAGGGATCTGACAGAATCCATGCATGCTCCTATGCGAGTCATGGACATAACCCATTCGGAATGGTCTGACCATCACGAAACAGGCCAGACTGTCATTTCCACCTGGTCCTAGCTCTGCAAGACTTATTAGGATAGCATTAGGCCCACAAGCCTGTGGTGATTCCATCCACTCTTTAGTACGAATAGACGCTCTTTTCTGCTCACTCACATATGCATATTCCGCTGGCCACCCTGACTAACCGTCAGGATCCTATTATATATAGGGATTCATAGGGAGTCTAGATTATCAACCTATTGGTCAACCCAGCAGCAAACGGAGGATCCTATCCACCTATTTACACGGTTTATGTCCCGGGACCGTTTCCAACTGCTACTCCAGCGACTACGGATATTCAACACTGCGGAATTCCAGCCCAGCCTGCAGACAACTCGAAAGGGCTGCTTAGATTGTAATGTACCGTTATGTATTAGCAAAGAAAATCACAATTGCCAACTTCCAAAAATGGTGCTGGTAATTGCGAAAAAAAAAGTTGCCCAATTGTACCCAATCGTACGGAGCACCAAGTTGATATTTTCAATTGGCAGATCGCGAATATTTGCACTAGCAATCGCGTATATAATTGGGTAATTGTACTATAGATGAAATAAAAAGAGTAGAAAGTGAAGTAATGTAATATAACGGTATGGTATGACGAAATATAATCGCATATAAGCAAATGGGGGGGCGTAGGCGGGTTACTTACCTCTCTTGAGGAATATTCGGTTGGGTGGGAAAAAGAGGAAATTGATCGGCAGTGGAAATTGGTAAGGCGGTATAGACCCTGGTGGCCCCACTTCTACCGCCCAGTCAACTGCCCTCACGTGATCTACGGCGCCTCCGGTCGCAAGCAATTGCCATATTGTACGGGATTGGTAATCATATTCATTTATACGTAGGGCGCGTATGGCACTTTAGCGTACTTAATTGTACGGCTACCGTAAGTCTACTGAGAAAAAGTGTTTTGGCGGAGTGCCTCTTGCAGTCTGCCGTAGATGTCCACCTTTGGAGAAAATTACCCCGACGCAACAACAGTTCAGTCAGAGACTAATAGCCCGTCGCATCTGTCCGCGGAACGGAAATACTCATCATGCATCGTTTCATTCGAATTTACGACGCATTGATACTGCGAGATAACCGAACAAATTCTTTTTTGGTATATGACGGAATTTCCTTCGTCGTCATCCATTGTGATAACATCGTTCGTGGGAGAAGCTCCGTGTTACTTCCCATCGCCACTTACAGTAGTCTTCATTACCAAATGCTAAACAACTTCTCCAATTGAAGCTTTCTAGATGACGATCCAGGAAAAAGCCACAATGAAACCGGCAAGTGCAGATAGTCAATCTCGCGAGGGCAGCGGTGATTCCGCAGCCCTCGAGACCGACATGCTCATCATCGGCGCAGGCCCTGCTGGGGCTTCGCTGGCTTGTTTTCTCGCATCATACGGTTCGTTCTGGATACGCTTGTTTTAAAATGGGAATCATCTTGGACTGACATGTGTCTTGAAATAGGACTGAAAGGAATCATGATCAGCGCAAGTCCCGGGACCGCAGATACCCCGCGGGCTCACATCACGAACATGGCAGCTCTGGGTATGTTCTAGCCTTCCGCGTTTCTGCAGTAGGCTGTCTTCGACATTCAAGAAGAGAAGCCTAACATGTTCTCAGAATGTCTCCGAGATATTGGTTTGGACAAGGAACTTCAAGCGATTGCGACGCAAGGTCATTGCATGCAACACACGCGTTGGTGTTATAGCATGGCTGGGGAGGAGTTTGCGCGTATTCCTTCATGGGGAAGTGATCCCAGAAGAAAGGTATGTTGTCAACAAAGGGCTATCTTCTTCTCACCCGACAAAGATATCTGAAGATGACTCGATTCCTAGGGTGACTACGAACTTGCGAGTCCCTGTGACCACGTCGACATACCCCAAACCGCTCTAGAACCAATCTTGGTCCGACACGCAGCCCATCACGGCTTCGTCGTCAGGTTCAACACCAAGCTCGTATCCTGGAGCAAGGAATCTTCTCCAGACGGAAGGTACCTAGCCACCGTCTGGGACATGGTCTCCAAAATCCACTACACCATCCGGACAAAATACATCTTTGGGGCAGACGGCGCCCGAAGTCTTGTCGCAAAGACCCTCCAACTACCCCTGGTGGCAAAACCTAGAGGTGGCCTGGCCATCAACGTCCTGGTCAAAGCCGACCTCTCTCATCTGATGGACCACCGGAAGGGCAACCTGCATTGGTTAATGCAGCCCGGGGTCGATCATCCCAGCTTCGGCTGGACGGGCATCGCGAGGATGGTGAAGCCATGGTTTGAGTGGATGTTTATTCTGTTCCCGACCAAGGAGTTTGATGCGTCGGCTGAGGTCACGGAAGAGGCGTACAAGCAGCGTGTCAAAGAGTTCATCGGTGACGATACCGAAGTCGAGGTTCTCTCCGTCTCAAAGTGGTTCGTCAACGACATTGTTGCCGAGAAATACTCGGAAGGGAACGTGTAAGCAAGCCCGATACAACTTCTCTTTCGTACATCTACTGCTATATTTCAGAGCTGACGAGAAACCTCCAGATTCTGCCTCGGCGACGCGGTCCACCGCCACCCCCCAATGAACGGCCTCGGCTCAAACACCTGCATCCAAGACGCCTTCAACCTAGCCTGGAAAATCGCCCACGTCGAAAAGGGCTCCGCCGGCACCGCTCTCCTCGACACCTACAGCGTCGAGCGGCAACCCGTAGGTCTCGGTATCGTGGCCCGCGCCAACGAGGCCTTCCGAGACTACTACGCCGTGTGGCAGTCCCTAGGCATGCTGGAGCAGACGGCAGAGGAACGGAGTGCAATCTTTGAGAAACTCTCGCATACGACGGACGAGGGCCGTGAGAAGCGCCGCGCTTTCCGTGAGGCTATTGGCCGGACGGCTCACGAGTTTCATGGTCTTGGTGTTGAGATGAATCAGCTTTATTCCGGGCCGGCGATCTATGCTGGGGATGAAGATGGGCCTTACACGCCTTCGCCGCAGGAAGCTGAGGATCCTGTTGCGTATTACGGTCCTGGCACGTACCCGGGCCGCCGAGTACCTCATGTATGGCTGAACAAGGCGGTTCCGAAGGAGCCTGTTTCGACTATTGACCTGGCTGGCAAGGGTGGCTTTACCATCTTCACCGGCCCAGGCGGAAGTCTTTGGCGTGAGGCGGCTGCTGCGGTTGCGACTAAGCTGGGTTGCGAGATCAGGGTCCATTCTATTGGTTTTCGCCAGGACTGGGAGGATGTTTACTATGAGTGGGAGCGCCTTCGCGGGGTTGAGGAGTCGGGTGTTGTCCTCGTTCGGCCGGACCGCTTTGTGGCGTGGAGGCAGAGCGAGGTATCTGCTGACTTGGATACGTGTGTTCAGAAGCTTGTGCGGGTGATGAAGACCGTTTTGCTCCGTACTGATGAGTGACGGGGGCTCGGTGCCGGAGATGTAGTTGAGCTAGAGACATCAGACCTATTTATACATCATTTTCCTCATATTCCAGTGTCTCACCAGCAGACCCTAATTCTTCCTCCGTCCTCGGAGTAGACGTCGGGGCGCCACTTAGCCGGGTCTAATAGTACCCGACGTACGCGCGCCCCGCGTCCCAGTAGAAGACCTGAGCGCCGTTCTGCTCCCTCTGGTTTTGGCTACTTGCAGATTTCCACTCTACCACGCCTTGGCTGTCTACTTTCTTGTCAAAGCCTATTCCACACCGAATATAATGTAGGAGAGCGGAACGGGTGAATGAGAGATAGAAAAGGGACCGGAAGCTACTCAATTCTCATAGTGGCCACAAAATGTCCCATTCTCTTTTGCAGTTTTCACGGCCGCTGTCTTTGCGGCGATTTTGACGACCGTTGTGGCTATTTGGGACCTAGAAAGCCGATCGTGATCACTGCTACATTTTACTTATACGAAATCGGTTTCCTTTTATATGTGTGTGCTCCCTAAAGTACCGATATATCACATGAAGATAAGCGACGCGTAGGATAGCTGTTGGTTCACGGGGTCGTATACGACAAATAGTGGTAGCAATTATCACTCGTCTGTTGGTGATCCTATTGCTTGTTCTTCTTCTTGTTCTTCTTACATTGTAGGCAGGAGTCGGTCGAAGTAGGTAGTGACGGCCTGGGTGGTTGCCCCACCTTTATCCGGCCGTGATGACTAAGCCAGTTGTCCCACTTCGCCCAGGGCAGGTGCCAGCCAGCCCATGGTACCTGCCTATTACTCCTTATCAGCCTTTGCTGTTCCAACAGAAAGACATTGTCAGAGTGTCAGATTGCTGGTCCTGAATGGGAAAGAAGCGATTGATGTGTGATTGGAATCGCGGTAGTTTCTGGAACTAGTTGTAAGACTATATGATGCGGAACTAGAGGTGTGTGTCTGTTACAGCAACATTTAAAGCCCTTCAAAGTCAGAATGTATGAGACTCGAGTGAACGTTCAGCTTCAACAATGCATGTAGGCGCGGGTAGGTGATGTCCTGTCTTGGCCGGCACTTGAAAGTTAGGCCGAATATCAGTCCGCATTGAGACGGTAGGCTAACTACGGAATAATTATCGACCAACACAACCAAGTTGCTGTTTGGACGAGGCCTACTCCAACGACTCTTAAGATGCTTTCCGCTGCGCAGCCAAATTTGAACAGATATTACCACGAGTTGGTGTCCCGTCTGAACTATTTCACCGTACAGACGCCAATCAGGCAAACCTTGGATCCGTCATGTTCGCACGAAAGGTGTTCTGTGTCACCGGTGCCGCATCGGTAAAGCCTCCCGACCTAACCCGGTGGTCTCAATACGTGCTTCAATCATGATTTCCTAATGTAATAGCTAAGTGGTACAATTTTCTAGGGCATAGGTCGATCAACGGCAGTCATACTAGCGCAAAGAGGTGCCGCTGCTCTTGCGGTCAGCGACGTGAATGCAGCGGGCCTAGATGAGACCGTGAGAGAGTGTAAGGTCTTCTGATGCCAAGTCAACGTAGTTACATCGCAAAGTTGGAGCAATTGTTGACAATCAAGCAAAGGCGAGAAAGCTGGAGCCAAAGTACTAGCTTCCAAAGTCGACGTCCGCCACGACCATGAGGTGAAGTCCTGGATCCAAGAGTCTTTCACCAAGTTCGGGAGACTCGATGGGGCCGCCAACGTCGCTGGAGTCGCTGGTGGGACTGGATCTACAATCATCGAGACAATCGTGAGAATCAAACCCTCCTCTCCAGGGCATGTATCTGCCGTGATCGGTGTACGCTGACGTCCTAGGTTCGCAGGCTCAAGAAGACTGGGACAAGACCATAGGCGTCAATCTCAACGGAGTCCTTGACTGTATGCGAGCTCAACTGCCACTATTATCAAAGCCAGGCGGAGCAATCGTCAACGTTTCGAGCACGTCCGGTCGAAAGGGTCTACCGCATAGCGCTGCGTACGCGACCAGCAAGTTTGGCGTCATTGGGTTGACCGAATCAGCTGCTGGGGAGTACGCTAAGGATGGCATCCGGATTAACACGATACTACCGTGAGTGGATTTCTCAAATACTGTGAAACTTTGTGCATCCTGACTGAAGGGTTGAATCAGCGGGCCGGTCGATACCAAGATCTTTCGAGACGGCGAGGCATTGGGACTCTTCGACTCGGACATGCTTTCCAAGGACCTTGCTTCGCCGCATGGGTCAACCCGACGAGATAGCAAAGGTCATCTGCTTTCTCTTGAGTGAAGATGCCTCATACGTGACAGGAGGTAAGCTTAGCCCCGCTCTTGGTTTGTATATCCGTGATTGGCGTGTACTTACAGTGAATAATAGCACACTGGAATGTCGATGGGGGCTATCTGGCTTGCTAGAGGCATTGACGACGGTCCAGTATGCTATACACTTCTTGATGTCACCTTCCTGGCCTCCCTATTCAGTCAGCGTTTCTTGTCTACCAAGCGATAGAGGCGCCTTCGAAAGCCGTCATCATGTGCGTGCAGAGAGCGGAAAGCAGTGTCTAGTCCATGTCCCGAGGCTGTGTGGTTGAGAAGTCGGAAGGTTCTGGGGGCCGTATTCATAAGTTTCAAGTTTTTATCATTCAAAGAACATCGTCTTTGCAGTGTTTTCTTCTTCCGTCAACGTTACGAAGGAAGCATATGGGGTCTTGAGGAATCTATTCCTTCACCACCTGACTCATGATTCGCCTCCCGACTCTATCCTCATTTCCATGGAACTCCGAACAGTAATTCAATGCTTTGTCCATCGCTGTCACGTACTAGGAGAAAAGTTTTCTCTAGAAGTCGCAGCATCAGCCCTATGGGTCAAGGTCCTGAACAATCGTCGCTGATGCTCTAGCGTGACGTGTTTCCAAATCCCGCACCGCGTCAAAATTGCCAAATACAGACATTGAGGACCGTCTTCTCGAAGGACCACAAATCCCGACTGATTTAAGCTGACAAACTTTGGGTTCCGGGGACAACTTTGCCAACTTTGTCTAACCGATGAATAACGTCAATGTCGTATATATTATGATGCCTCGCTGTCCCTGTATACCTACTTATAGACAGGACTCGTTTCTGATCGCCTGAACTTCAGGTAGAATCTCAATCGTGCATCAACCACCTCAACCACTTACACCATGTCCCACCACATCATTACCCACGACGCAACCGGCAAAGCCGTCTTCTCCCACGCCTCAGGGACCCGGGAATCGCACCAAGTTCCCTCGGGCTCGATTCAAGTCGTTACCTCCACCCACAACACACCGCTCGACCTCTCCAGCGAGGCAGACATTGAACAATACAAAATCGACCGCACACAGTCTCTGTTCCTGAGCTCGCGCGTCATCACACCAGACAAGGGCACCTCGGCGCTCGTCACGGTCCTCAAATCCGGCGAAGAGTGGCCGATGCACAGGACCATGACGTTTGACGTGGTGTATATGCTCGAGGGCGTGGTGGAGCTGCACCTCGACTCCGGGGAGAAGCGGGTCGTGCGGGCCGGCGACTCGGTCACGCAGAGGGGGACGAAGCATAAGTGGGTGAATATCACGCCGGACGGCGGGATGGCCAAGTGGATTGTCTTTGCGCAGGCTGCCGGGGATGTTGTTCATGCTGGGGGGAAGAGTCTCTCCAATGAATGGGATTGATCCTTTGATTGTTGACCATGGGAGGAGTCAAGAATACACTTGGAGCTCGGTTGTAGAGGACCATTATATGCACAGCGTGATCAACCTTTAAGGTGTGTAGCTACTTTACGCAAGTTCCAGGCTACTTATCTGAATGTCGGGGAGGCTGTCGGTCAGTTCTGTTGAGCAGATCACCATCTGCACATGATTCACAGCGTGCCATTCAATACAGGCGTGCGATACGTTTCTCAAGTAATTTGTGAAATGAAAATGAAAATTAAAAGAGTCACTAGAACTATTGAAACTGTCTGAAAAATCAGAGTACTCTTTAAGCGTAGTGGATAAGAGGAAGCTATCGAGTCTGAAGAAGCCATGATTTATCCGTCTGAATCAGAAGTGGCTGACAACACAAGCATCAGCTTGTGGCCAATGTATGACCGCGTCAGTCATCAACATGCCTCTCTATTTTCCTCTTCCGAACGCCCATAAGTCACCGTTACCCAGTTGCTCGCTTCCTCCAAGATACCGGGCGTGAAAGTGATTGTCTTTTGGACAGCATGAAGTGCCGTTAGTCGATCATCGATATAGACTATATGTTTCGCATTGAATTGGACCAGATAAGAGTTTAATTCATGTTTAAAAGTTCCTACCAGCTCTCCTTCATTCTTTCCCAACTCGGTGGTGAATTCACTCCGGTAGCAAACGTTCCAGATTTTGTGAACGAGTTGGCATGCTTCAATCCGCATGCCGTCGAAAATCTTGTGTGTCAGAATGAGAATACTGGGGATAAGTGGGCTTCGCTTGATTTCGAATCTATCCGACGGGTTATCACCAGGTGATACGTAGACGCTAATGTATTCCCCGAGAGATGGTAGTTTTAATAGTCTTATGGGTTCCGACATCTCGACGAAGGCGAAATGGAGCGACAGATAGGAGTTGTCGATTAAAAAACTTGAAAGCTGGATAAAACAGGGGGGAAATGGCTATGATCTTGGGATAGGGACCAACTAGACGTGCAGCTTTTCCATGGCATTTATATAAACGCCTTCCTCTATACCCAGTGAACTTGCTCCTGCTGTTGGAAAACACCATGGAATACCGGAAATTGAAGAAAGGGTGTTTGCTCTGGGCGGTAAGTCCCAGAGAGGCGGCGACTACCTTGCGTTGAAGGGATTCCATAATTGCGGGACGGCAGCGCCTTTGCCAATCGCTGGAGGCGTCCACTTGTTTCCAAGAGAATCTATCAAGCGCGTGATGGTAGTCAATGATGATGTTCAACAAGCAAAGATTAAGACGCGTGGCGGGTAGCAGGCCAGATTTACCTGCTTACTCGAAGGTAGGTAGTCAAGGATCGTCTGGTGAAGTACCAACCAAAGCAATGACACTTCTGTTCAGAAATCTGAACAACCTTTATTGTTTCCCCCATAATTCAAGAGCTGAAGAGCCTGTTTGCGAGAAATTCCCCCATGGAAATACCAGAATCTTGCCCTACTTGCAGCATCCTACTGATGCAAGTACGTTTGGCAATCCAAAGTCAAGAAAGGGAAACCGTCAGAGGCAAGGAAACACCCCCGAGAACCATCCACGTTATCGCCAGATACTTTCCCTCTATGACTGTAAGTGGCAGCTACTTGTGAGATCTGATTTGCCCTAGAATCATGTTGATGTTGACTGCGTGATCATGCTACGTCTTCTACTACTACGATCCAATTAGTAATTGACACTGGACGTTTAATAGAGGAGGGCGGTCTTTGTGTAGGCTGCCGAGTCTGTTATTCATGTTGGGGGGAAGGGGGGTGGCTAGAGTTTATCACAACGAACAGGACTCATCTAGATATTATTAATAGTAGACGGGAGTTACGCCGGACAAAGTTGAAAATTATTTCGTGTTCAGCGTGAGCAATATACAAGACGTGTCATGGTGGTTCTTTTACTTTGGGGGCCCTAAGCAGTGTGCTGTTGCTGCTTATTTTGAGCTTATCTCCCAAATGAGAACACATAATTGCGTTACGTGAGACAGTAGGTGACAATTCCATGGCATTTATGTCACTATATCGACCGGAGAAGTCAACTAAACAACCGTCGAAACATGGTCAGCCTCGGAAGCATGGGCACACCATCGTCCACACGAGTCATCGCGTGCTCGCGGATACATGCACACGATGTGTTTCTTCGGTCTATGAGGTAGTTTATGGGATGCAAAGTTATATTTTGAGAGCCTAACAATATTGACGATATCTGAGATTCCGAGTTATCTCTCTAGGAGTAGTGAACCTCAACAAGCTGTAGTCCACCGCGGTAGTGTTCTAGCCACCTCGGTCAGGTTTGGCTGTTGCGTATATGGATTTGAGAGAAACCAAGGACTATGTCTAAAGACTACCGCGAAGTTCTCCTGCTAATTTCCAATGTGAGGATCACACATAAAAATCATTGGATAATCGGGTTCCTCCTCGGTCCAAAAAAGTAGGCCGGCTTGATTCCCGCCCTTAAATTCGAGGAAACAGACCAAATGCTTCATCTCCGGTTCATTGGGGGGTTCATTCTCGCCTTGGAGCTTGCTTCGTATCCAAATTGTGTCAAGACCGCCTACCGGATGCGGCTTGAGGTAGCAGACTTTTTTTTCGTCCTGGAAAGCTAACTTGAGAACGGGCTCCGTAGTCGAATAAACATGTTCAGAGACGAGGATGGTCAGTTTCTCTCCCTTCTCTCTGTTCTCTCTCTTTTCAGTGTAAGAGTAATTGTTGCAGAACCTCATGTGATCGTATACAACAGTTGGCGACGTTACTCTGGGGTCCTTATCGTCAGACATCTTGGCAAAGGCGTGACGGACTGAGTAAATTTTAGATGTAGTGGCTTGGAAATTCCGGAATATAGTTGTTATTGCTATTCTCGCCGTTGCTGTTGCTGCTGTGAGTAGCAGTTCTTCACCCGATAGACAACCTTTCCATGGCATCTATATAAACGAAAATTTCCAGATTTCGTTTACTAGACTTGGCCTCTCAGTCTACATCATGAATGCGAAGCAAGAGAGTCTACCGGGTGGCGGTAAATACGCAAAATACGGTAAACCTCTCCTTCGCATCAAAGGATCCTATTGTCACGAACCAGTAGCCGTCTTTGCTGAAGGACGTGTGACTACGACTCTTCAGCGACCCCCTGCCAAATTTACGAACAACGATTGAAGAATCATAGGTACCTAAGCTGATGTTCACCACTCTCGGCAAGCACCATCAGGTGGAGCAGCATGCTAAATGGCGACGATACTTCTGTTCAATTTCCGAATAGGTTACCTTCACTGTTTCCCTCACTCTTACGAGCTGAGGGGCCTGTTCGCAGGGAGCTCTTTCATGGAACCGCCAGAGGTTGGCCCCACTCGCAGCAGTCCGTTCCACTGGTGCGCGTTGGTTCAGCGATCAAAGGTCTCCAATAGGCAAACCGTCAGGGGTAAGGATACACCCCTGACTGTCGTCAATGGCTGCTAGTGGTGGCCTCTCTGAACAACCCAGTGAAAGGATTAAGTTGCGAGGCTGTTCACGCACAACTCAGAGATGGCCATGAAGTCCATCATCCGAACCCAACGAGGTGGGGGTTATCGACCTGTCCTGCTTGTGGAGCTTGGTAGCGCTCCGTATATACCTAGCCAGACGGGTTTGCCATGGACCTGACACCAAGACTCATTGAACCGACTCGGGAGTTTGATCCGTCCCGAACTGGACTCAGATGTATGCCATCTGGGTTGGAGATCTTGCTCAGACTCCTTGGGGGATCCGCATCGTCAAGCTATCGTGCGAAGTCACGTTCTGCATTGATGGTTTGGATGGAGTCGAAGGCATACGCCTTGATATTTGTGAAAACGCTCAAGGAACTATCCAAAACCCCCCTCATTAAGGTACCTATGCGTCTCAAGCAGGCCGTGGAGCGTCGTTGGGGACACTCTCAGGAACAAGCCGGACTCGAGGCTGCATATGCATGAGTTTATTCGCAACGATGTTCGTGACTACATGCTATGCCGTCTCACGGAGTATCCTAGATGGAGAATTCTTTTCGAAAAAGTCAGTTCCGTTTCGTCAACATCTCTCATCAAAGAGGTCGCAACTAAGTCCAACGGATCGCAACCTGGGCCACACTCGTAGTCCGCATGCCACGAGAAAGTCTCACCAACGAAGACGGCCTCTTAGATCTGCAGAGACGCCTAGCAAGCTTTTCCAGCAGATTTGAAAGAGTCCTTGAAGCTTATCAAAAGTTAGAGTTGTGGATCAAGTGGGAACGCGCGTGGTATAGCGCTTGATCTGGGTTGATAGTGGTCATGTCTCGTGATAGTACCACAGAGAAATATCGCCAGCTTTCTCATTCGGTTTGAAGACAGAAGACAAATCATTTGTTATCCCGTGCCCTGTAATCGCGAGAACCTCTACATATCATCACACCATCACACCGAACCCTCGTTCTCATACTCTTCCTACACCAACCCGGCCGTCTTGCCTCAAAAGAGATCTCACCGAAGAAGCAGCACCTCAACCAACATCACCAATAAGCCCTTGGCAAACCCACCAACAACCCAATCACACCCATCATCCGGTAATCCGTTACCCAGAAACCGAGAACCTCCTTCACTCCTCAACCCAAGTCCCGGGAACTATCGAAATCCAGCTTTCATCAATGGCCGCCGCTGTCACCCTGCATTCGCAAGGCGTCTGCCGCAGCCGCGTGGGGTGACCACCCACCACCCATCACCCAACCCCCTTGCTCGTGAGGCTGACGAGGGGCATACCACTATCCCTCGCCCCCACCCAATCGACCCCCCCTTCGCAAGTCCCGGGTCGCAGCACAGCAACCTAACCCCTTTCACTTCCTAAGTGTCGCCCCCCGGCTGAGGGCTCCGAACCCCCGCGTGGATACGGGTACATGTACCATTTGACGCCGGCTTAGATAGTGTGATGAGAAATATCCCCCAAACCCCTGACGACGATTATGGCGCGCGGGCTCGATATCGTAGGTAAAGGTGAGAATGAACAACGTGTGAGTAAATGCCTCAGTCTGATCACCATATCACCATTTCATAAACGTTATAGTACATTGTACTAAGATCCAATCACAAAAACCTCGGGTTACGGGACGAGAGGGAACGGTGCTTGTAATGGAAAATTTGCGCTTTTGATATCAAACTTGTGTAACACCATAACAGCAAAACCCCCATGAGTGACATTGCTTCCATTCCCACGCCATAATGCACTATCTAGACCTAACACTTCTGTCCAAAAAGATAACGAATCAAATACAAGCTGGAAAATAAACGAGGGAAGACAAATTCCTCCCATTGAGCCTGCTTTCTACCCTGCAACCAAAATTCGAACTGCAATTTTGATGAACCCCCAGAACCCATGCAAATGTGGTGACCGAAATCGAAACCTGTTCGGGAGAAATGCAGGTATGCTTACATGGAACACCACGCCTCACAACCAATCCGAATCCCATTTAAAAGACAAATGCAGAGATTCCTCCATATTACACCGAAGTCGAAAACGATCCTTTAATATCTCACCGCTGACCGTGGTGGTGCTGAGGCGGCGGCGGAGGCGGCATAATGCTTCCGTCGTGATCGATCTCGACCTCAAACATGGGGATATCTTCCGCCTTGAAGTACATACCCAAATCGTCCCCGCCGGCCGCCGAGATGGAGTACATGTCCTTGCCGAGCGCCACCTTGCGAACCTTGGCACCCAGCCCCCAGAGCCTGCCCGGCGTCATCTCCTGGGCGAGCACGTTGTCAAATGTCTGCCACTGAGAGCGCACGTGGGCGAGCGCCGTCCTCTGCAGGGCCCGGTGACTCGGCTGGCAGTTCTCGACAATCTTCTTCTCGCCGTGGCCCCTCCAGTTGATGATGAGGCGGACAGGCTTCGAGGGCGCGGTAGGGATGGCCGGGACCACGGCGGTGGTCACGGGCGCGGGGGCCATACCACGAGGTGGTGATGGGAGTCGCATGCCTGGGGGAAAGCTCCCCCGTGGGGGCGGCGGTGGTACGCCGTCTGGCGCGCGGGGGAAGATGCGTGCCCGGTGACCTGTCCAGCCAGGAGGTGGAGGGGGAGGTTGCGATATCGCGGCCATGGGGGGCGCGGGGATGTACGATGGTCGCTGCCCAGGGGCCGGGCGGCGCGTACGCGTGGTTTGTTCTGGTTCCGAGTCGATCTCTTCTTCGGAGGAAGAAGAGTCGTTCTTGGTGTGCTTGTGGGATTTGTGCTTGCTCTTGCGGTGCGAGGACTTTGTCTTCTTACCCCTCCTGGACATGATGTCGTCGTTGTCGTTGTCGCTGTCAGAGCCGGCAGACAGAGAGAGCACATCGGAGGCGTCCATTGTTGAGGCTTCACTCCCAGAGCTTTCAGAGTCTTCAGATCTTACGCCTCGGGGGAAGGCGAAACCGTTGGCTTCGATGAACTGATACACCTCCTGAGAGGACTTGGTGTGGAGGTTCTCAAAGGCATCTTCCAGATCGCGGCCCGTTGCTGAGAGAATCTCTTGACGTTTGCCTCGGTGGACCTTGACGGCGTAGATAGTGTATGACTTATTAGGTTGGCGAGAGGTGTAAATGTCAATGAGAGCACTACGGCCTGAGATCAGACGAAGATTATCTGCGAGGTGCGTTAATTCCTCACGTGTTCTACCCATCACGAGAGCATATCTAGATGTTTACCTATGATCTGCTCACGCCAAACAAGGCACAACGGGTTAGGGGCCATTGTTGTAGATGTAGGACGTGTTGGCAATGTTGTGGATTCGATTGTATCGTTGAGCAGAACGAGCATGTGCAAAGAAAAGCGAGAAGAGGCTTGAGAATTAAGGTTGGTGAAGAAGGAGGGCGAGGATGAAAGGCCAAGGGCACTTCTTATACATTACGGCTGCATCTCTGGGTCATCATCCCATGGGCAACTCAAATTTGTGGCATGCAGGAGGACCCTGCAGCCTGAGATGGCGCATTTCGGGCATACCGTTGCAGTACTTGGGCGGTTGTATCCCACAACGTACACTCAGGCACGGCACGTCTGACAGAAAGGGGAAAGTGAGGCGAAATGGCAGTGGTCTTGACATGGCACGAGTTGAAAGTCTCTATGGATCTCAGATGTACCGAAAAGCTCGAGAAGCAAGGAATGAGAGAAGCATGTAATCCAAGACCGAGCGACGGAGGCAGGGAGCTTCAGCTGCTGTGCATCCCAATGTCTATGGGCGATGTACAATCTGATCTTCGGCTCATGCGAGTGTGTGTATATATGCCTGCCAACAGGGAACATGCGGTTACCGGAAATGGGGAGGATATACGGAGTAGTCCAATGGAAAAAGAAACGTGCTGGTATAATCTTCTTTTGGACTGTGGTATTGGAAAGCGGCCAAGCCACCCACTGGAAGGAGGAGGGTTTGAGGCATGTAACGAAAAGAAAAAAGGCTCCACTCAAGCCCAATACTTTTGAGACCACCACTCGGAGGCCACATTCGGTATATGCCATGCTTTCGAGTCGGGACTTACCAATTACAGGCCCCCGTCTTGCTCGTACATACCGTGTACTCCCCTGGGCCGCCCTGCATACGGGAGGGTGGCCAGTCAACTGATGTGGCTGGGCCCTATCGTAGATGCGAGGTGAGGTCTTGCACTTTTGTCCTCAGCTCGTCCACTTCTGACAGAGATGCGACTCACCGCATTCCTCCCGTTCTGCAAGGACCACGATGACGAAGGAAATCGTGGCTGGCTAGACAACCTTCCTCCGGCGGCCCTGAAATAGTATATATAGGAGCCAGCTGGTCGGGTTGCCTAGCAGTCTGTTTCGCTGGCACGAGTAGTGCAAGAGACCGGTGAAGAAGCCGTCGAATTCCACGCAAGAGTCCAGTGTCTCGTCCTTCCTTGTCTTCCTCTCGCACAAGCTTCAAAACCCGAATACGCACAACTCTCGATCGTGGCCCGACTCGCGAGCTTCTTGTCGTTGCTCTGGTGTTGCACCATTCAACCACGCATCGACAACGGAGAAGCCCGCTGTCCTGGCGTAGACTCGTAGTCTCATACACACGCCCGCCCTAGGCTCTGTTGCCGGGTACTGCTTCATGCCTGCCAGTCGTCATCGTTGGGCCGTTGCGCAGGACTGCCATATGATTGGCATGTCCCCTAGGCGGAGAGGATCTTCTCTAGAACGCGGGTCAAGATCAATCTGAGACAATATGGCTGGTGCTCGGATTTTGCTGTGCTGCGACTCTGCGAGCGAGCGTTGGGAGTCAAGCAACCGTGAGCTCGCAACCCCACGACGACGATCGCACAGAGCTCTGGGGGGGAAAGAAACGAAACAAGAAAGGAAGGTTGGGCTTTGCGAATCTTCGCTCGTACGTGTGTGGACGTCGGAATGGGAACCCCAGGACAATGTCAGACCTTTCGCCTATTGTCTTTCGGCTTCGTCTGAAGTTGGGGAGTTGCTGGAGCGGACGTGCGAGGAATGCCCTTGTCAAATGTGCGCCCCATCACAGCCCATGCAGCGAACAATTGGACCTTGCGAGAATCCGTCGTTCTTGCTGGCAGGCAAAGCAGGGCAGTGTATGGCAGGGATGACCAGGCACTAGAGAAGCACGATCTCACAATAGGTAAGTAGACATGCTGCGTGCGAAGCGGAAAGTGGAAACGTGGGAAAAGCAACCATAACCTTGTCCTATTTTCCTTCCGGGCGAAGCCTGAAGGTGACACTCGCTGCTGCATGCAAGCTTCGCCCTAGAGCCACGAGGGCAGATGAGACGGAAGGCGGGCTTGACCGTCGTCGGGTACTACAGAGAGCCATGATATCCGAATGCCCACGCACCCGACGGGTTGAGAGGTCGTGGCTTCGTGTCCTAACTTTTCGATGCTCTGAGACGCTGTTCCGAACTCCTGGATAGGGTACCTTGAATTATCGTGTTCTGTCAACGGATTCGGCTCACACAAGACGGTCGGGCACCCAGCCCTCGTGATACGGGCTGGGCACAAAGTAATGCAGATGGAACGATCCTTGGTATTTGATAGGCGAGAGGTTCGATGAACATGGTATAAGTGAGGCTGTAGAGCGGCGATCACGTGTGATTGGACGACAATTCGAGACCCACAAGTATCGGTACTGAGTAATAAAGGTTACCTCAATTCGAGATGATACCATTATCTCCTTTCTTGGTTTGACGACACCCCATTTCAAGGCTATGTGATAACGCCCAGAAACCGGCATCTTCCTTGCCTACTGGCAGCACCAAGATATCGTAGACGGGTACTAGGCGGCCTGAAGACAATCTTTGCCCGAGTCAGATAGTTCCGTCTCTTTGATCCAACCTCAAATCATGCTACGGTTGTGCGTTCCCAATTCTCGAAACATATGTCCGTGGTCCTCCATTGTTCTCGTGTCGCCTTACGCCCTGCGCTTGCCATCGAACCGATTGGTGCATCCGACATTCGCCAACATGTATCTATTGCATTCCCAAGGTTCAATAGCCAGTGTGATGAATGATAGCCCTTGTATCGCTCTTGGGCACCAACCGAGACGAGGCGTGAAGTAAATGCCGCCTGGTATCCTGTCATCCCACCTTGTCTACCGCAACTCCATCTTACTGCGTCTGGAGACGCTCCAGGCGCGATGTTACAGCCTCGACCAGAGCCGTCTCCCGTGAGAGGAGCGACATGACTTGCTGCAGCTTGGCCTTGCGGATCTCCGTCGGGATCTTGAGCTCCGACACCGAAGATGATGATTCCTTCCCACCCTTTCCGTCCTCGCTCTGCTTCTGTATCCGTTCCACTTCTGCCACCAACTCGTCCTTGAGTCGTTGCACGTCCTCCACACGTTTCCTCAGTTGCTTCTGCTGCTTCACTGCCGGGCTGTCGTCCGAGGATGATCCCAGAACGCTGGCCTCCACGTTTTTGACTTCTGCCACGAATGCTTTCTCCTTGGCACTGAGCTCTCTTGTTGCCGCCTTGCCCACATACTTGCGGACGCCTTCTAGTCTCTCGTTGAGTCGTTTCTGTCGATCCTGCGCCTCGGCGATACGTCTTTCGAATCGGACATCGTCACTTTCACCGTCTCCGGCCTTGTCGTTGCCCGCAATCTTGTCAATCTTCTCTTTGACCTCGTTTGCCTTCTTGATTTGATCCCTGAGCTCATCTTGGAGAGTCGCGCAGCGGCGGAAAATCTCCGCCACGGCTGTGCCGAGTCGGTAGGTATCCTCGCCGAGAACGCGATGGGCGTCAGTAAGGATCTGCAGCGTCACCGGAGACAGTCTGATCTCCTGGTTCAGAATGGTCTTGTGGCGCGAGCTGCGGAGTCTGTTAATCAGCTCGGGAAGGTCGGATTGCTGCTCGAATGCGTGCGACGGCTGGAAAGCTGGGCGAGGCTCATAAAAGTCCAACGGTTCCATCGTCGTAGGCTTCTCTTCGTAGGGCGTTTCGTGGCGGACGGGCGAAAAGTCGTCCTCGGGTGTCTCGAACGTTAAGGCAATCGGCTCGTACGGAGTGGCCGAAAGAAGGAAGTATCCCAAATCCGGATCGCGGATGGCGGCGCATGCGGCGAGCGGCACGTTGACATCGCTCGAAGATTGGTTATAGAGTCTTTCGCGAATAGAGTTTTGCCCATTGACAAGGAGGCCGAGACGGAAGTCAGAGCCCGCCTCCGACTCGCCTGAGAGCTCACCCTCGAGCCGGAAGACCCAGGGAGAAAGAGAGAGGAACGTGACGCCGGCGTGCGAAGTGACAAAAAGCGAGTAGCGTGACATGACATCTGATGAGAATGTCGGCCAAGCGTCGTCGTTCATTTCTGTTGTAGCCATGGTGTCGATGCATTGGAACGTCAATAGTGAAGGTGGGTCGGCAGCGGACAAGAGACGTCCAAGCTTGGATTTGTTTCGTGGGGGCAACCATTGTGCTTCGACGCCCTCCAGGTCCAAGTATACGCGGGCCTGACCGGTGGTGGACAAGAGGCAGATGACCGAGAGAGAAAGACCCTCCTGGTCACCTTCGTCAAAGTCCAGGTCTTCATCCTCGCCCATCATCAGGTCGTCGGTGTCCACCTTCTTCCCGATTACTAGCAGATCCGTTAGAAGGCCGTCCCCGACATCCTCGCTTTCGGGATCGGCATCGAATTCGAACGGGCCTTGCAATCTTGGGATAACTCCCGGCCGGGAGGGTCGTGTGTAGACCTCCACGGTCTCTTCGCCCGGCGCTGTGTCGAGGATTTGGGGCTCCTGAGAATCCAAATCACCCATCCACTCGAGCTGCTGCTGAGCGAGAAGCTTGTCCATTTCGGATACAGCAGGGTCATCCTCCAGGGCGGCCACCTTGGATACGATGGACACTGAAAGGGATGGGATAAGAGTAGGAGGCGGTGCCCATTTCTGGGGCAGCAAGGGGCTCAATGCATAGACGTCGCCTTCTCTCATTGCAACCCAGAGAGTCATAGGACTCCATCCTCCGGAGCCACGGCCGGCAAAGCAAGCAGAGGCCACCTGCATCTCGAGAGAGTACTGTGAGAAGCTGGCGTTCGTAGCAGCTGTGGATGCGCTGAAGTCCTGGTCAAGCGTCGTGCCATCCACTAGCTTCTTCAAGTCAATCGATAGTGTAGGAGAGTCGAATGACCACCGATCGGTCAGTGACAACTCCCAGACGCGTACAATCGCATCGGTCGTGACGGTGACTAGGCAAGAGCCCTTGACGCCAAGTGGGTGCCATACAGCTGACGCAACTGAGGATCGCGAGGTGACATGAGTTGTAGGTCCCAGTGTCCAGATCTTGGGTCGCAGAGGTCCAGTATCCTCGGCCGTGAGATGCGAAGAGTCGGGAACCACGCAAATGTGAACGGTATGTGCCGTGAGAATAGCGAGGTAATCGGAGTTCGGGGAGATGACGAGCTGCCGGATGTCGTCTGCGACAGATGTCTTGATAGTCTAAGAAAGTTGTTAGCATCCCTAGTCACTCGCTCTGTTGAGAGACAGAACCTACCCTGAAGCCCTGGGCCGTAGCCGCCTCCTCCGTCGAGGGAATGGCGTCGTCGTCGAACGATTGCGTCGAGTCCTCCCGCTTGACACGGCTGCCCATGCGACGGTGCGCATGTTTCGTTGACCATTTCTCCTTCAGGTATGCCAGATCGCCCCATCGCAACTCCTTGCCAACAGCAACGAAGACCTCGGTTCCTCGTCTCGCAATCGTTCGCCTAGGGCCTTGGATCTTCTTCTTCTTGGATCCGTAGGGTGACGGTGCGCTCAACGCCTTGTTGGAGGCGTCGCTGGAGGGCGCGAACAAGCTGTGGCCCGGCCCATGCGACAGCCACGGGGCCGTATAGCTCTTGACCTTGGGCATTGCGTCCCTCTCAAGCGTAAGAATTATGTGTCGGAGATTCTCTGCAGGCTTTCGGGTGGTTGAATAGGTGCTGCAGGCTGGATCGAGCTCGAATGTCGTTCGTGGACTTTTTCGGTAGTGTTTGCTGGGTGAGCTTGTCTCTAGAATTATTCCTAGTCAAAAAACGCGGTTGCTGCTAGCAGCCACACCGAGACCCACTTTGAGCTTTCCCGGCGCTACCTGCATTTGCGCTGCGCCAATCAGACCGACTGGACAACGGACCGTGTTAGTCTTCGGGCTTCAGTGCCTGAGGTAGGCAACTATATGGACTTGCCAACAAGATAGTGCGGGCTTCAGATCTACTGAAGTACATTATAGAATATCTGAATGTTCTCATGAATAATATAGTTTGGAGCTCACAACAGTGAATGCCTTGTGGCCGGCCAAGGCACAGCTTGGTGAGGTCCAAGAGATGGAGTCATGTACTAGTCTTCTGCCTAACTTTGCTGAAGCTATCGCCACTTCTCAATTCAAGTCAAGAGTGAGTAAAAGCCTCTGGGGAGGATGCTTATTGGAAAAACTCAGCCGTATTGTCAATTGAAATTCCAAAGTGACGTTGAACGATCCTGGAAGCAACGACATAAGTGAACGTCGCGCACAGACCATCAAGTAACTGGCAAGGTGCGCCTGCCTGAGGTACCTTGGTACCTTTCGATTCAAACCGGCAAGTGCTGCTTCTTCAGACCTTCGACCTTCAATTCCCACTTACACGATCGACAACGAACCAATTGTCCTCCACCACAAACATCCAATCCCTTCAAAATGCAGGTCCGGCACAGAAACACAGTAGATCGCCTCGACAGGCCGAGCGCATACTACCACAACCGGGTATGCAGCTTCTCGTCCCCCCAGAGCTGCTCTCCAATCGTCCAAGCAGGAAAGAGGCGATTCCCAAACAGAAGCTAACTTCCATACCTTCACAGAACAAGCGCAGGAGAAACGACCCCCGCGACGCCGCCCGCGAAGCCCGCGACGCAGAAGACGAAGCTGCCACCAAGAACGAGCCACTCCCCGAGGACCCCCTCGCCGCCGCGACGACCCTCTACGTCGGCAACCTCTCCTTCTACACCACCGAGGAGCAGGTCTACGAGCTCTTTTCAAAGTGCGGCGAGATCAAGCGCCTCGTCATGGGCCTCGACCGCTTCAACAAGACCCCCTGCGGCTTCTGCTTCGTCGAGTACTACACCCACCAGGACGCCCTGGATTGCATGAAGTATATCGGCGGCACCAAGCTCGACGAGCGCGTCATCCGCACCGATCTCGATCCGGGCTTTGAGGAAGGAAGACAGTACGGTCGCGGCAAGAGCGGTGGACAGGTGCGGGATGAGTACCGTGAGGACTTTGACGAAGGGCGCGGTGGGCATGGTAGGGCGATTCAGATGCAGAGGGATCGGGATGATCGCATGGGCGAGTATGAGGAGTCGCGATGAGCGTAGAGGGTGTGCGTGTATGTTTACTGGGATTGGGACTGGGGAGCTTCTTCTTTGTCCGTCAGGGGACGACATCAAAAGCAAGTGAGACGTGGGAAGAAAAAAAGAGAACGAGAGACTCTACTTCAGAGAGTGGGAAACAAAGCTTTTGCAAATACTAGGCAGGCTTCGGGGAATCGATACCCTCAATATGACACAATCATGGACATCAAACCGATTGTAATACTTGGCTGCGTGACTGGACTTTGTCCTTTTGGTTAATCTCACATTCAACTTCCTAATCAGCCGTACAAAGTGTGGTTTTGTCTCATGAGCCCCAAAGCAGATGCTATAATATACAGAGAAGCTGTTTCGTCTGCTCCTGTTCACTGCAACGGCAGCGGTCCGTTGGATCTCCTCCTCTCCCTCAGCTTCGGGTTGCGTAGAGTACATATTCGTACAAGGGCCGTAGCCATTCCCTCTGTTCCAAGTTTCTCGCCGCCCATCTTGCCAGGCCAAATGCCTCTGACATGGCTCTGGTAGTTTAGTAACCCGGCGGGTTCAATCTCTGCGAAACTCTCGTCCACTTGGGAAGTTCTGCAAAAGACCCAATGTCAGCTCAACACCCCTCGATTTCATATATCACGGTTTCTCCCAAAGCCAGCACATCACACGATGGTGGCAAGCAACGAGAAAAGAGAGCGAGAGAGGAAACATACTGTGAATGCCCTTGCGGTACTTCTTCTCCTTGCGATCAAACATGGTATACTTGTCCTTCGGCAACATCTCCGCCTCGGTCGGCATCTCAGCCTTCCACCGCTCCAGCGCGGCCACCGTCTCGCCCTTCTTCGCCAGCGCGGCATCCACCGTCGCAATCACGTCGTCGACGGCGCGGAGGCGCTCGCGGTGGCGGCGCTTCTGGAACTTGGAGAGCCGCCAGGGGATCTTCCAAAGCAGACCGCTCGAGAGCGGGGAGGTCATGCGGAAAGCGCCGAACATTTTGGATGTGTGTGTGTGTGTGACGTGTATGGGAGAGTCAGGAAGGTGGATTGAGTGTCGAGCTGCGATGCTCCGGTCGTGAAGAGGGCTGCTTCGTTCGGGTTCGATTCGGTGCCCCGAATTCGGATGGACTAGGTCCCTGGTGTTGAATTTATCCTCTCCCCGGACGTGTCGTATATCGTGCTGCCTCGCGGTACGTCGTCGTTTCGGTCGTCGTCGGTTATGCAGCTCAGGAGCTTCGATACCTCTCCTACATTGACGAACAAAACCATTCGATGCAGACGCCTTCCCAGGGAAATTTTGGAGCTTCGAAAGCCGATTAAGAGTGGAGAGCATTCGAAGAACTCAATTGGTTGGCTCTCTGCTCGTGCGGAATTTCCCATGTACCACCCGAGAGGACCAGAGTCTCCACTGCGTCCTGCAGGCCCGCCAGCCCGCCCCGCGGGCCCTGCGCCAAGGTTTCTAGGTGTTAGCTGTCGCTGTCGCTGCAGCGGGAACTCGGTGAGAGGCCAGAGGCGCAACATCACGAACCGAAGCTCCAGCGATTTCTCGAGATACCCCCCTTGCTTCCCACGTCGACAAACTCCTTGTACCCAAGCGAACGCTATCTATCCGACGGTCTCATTCAGATCATCTTCCCACGAAAGCCGCATACATCCTCCCGTACCTCGAACCCGAAGAAGCGCATCGGAAACCTCGAAGCCAAACTCCTGAGCAGGGCCGTCCACACACCTCGTGCAGGGTGATAGATATTGCTTGAGAAGAGAGATAGATATAGGCAAAAAGGAGGACGCCCGCGCGCACACTTTACAACACACAAATACACACAACAATGTCGTACTACTTCGCCATCGTCGGCACGCAAGACAACCCCCTCTTCGAATACGAATTCGGCACCTCCAAACAAGGCGGCGACGGCCAGTCGCGCTTCAACGAGCAGGTCCGCCACCTGAACCAGTTCATCCTGCACAGTAGTCTGGATATCGTGGAGGAAGTGCAGTGGGCGCAGGGGCAAATGTAAAAATTCACCTCCTACTCCCTCTAACATCCCGCTTCAAATGGGCTCTACTTCCCAGACTGCCCATGGCAAGCTTGCCTCGCGATCAAAAGACGACCTAGGATAGACACACACACACACACACACACACACAAGCATGCTGACACCAACCCTCCAAACACACAGGTACCTCAAAATCGTAGACAAGTTCTTCAACAACTACGTCTCCTGCTTCGTCACGGCAGGCAACGTCAAGTTCCTCCTCCTGCACCAGCCCTCGGCGCCCTCCACCACGGCGTCGTCGCGCTCGTCGACGGCCATCGGCGCCAACCCCACCAGCCCCGCGACCGAGGAGGCCATCAAGAACTTCTTCCAAGAGGTGTACGAGAACTGGGTTAAGGCCATCATGAGTCCGTTTTACCGGGTCAACATGGAAGTCAAGAGTCCCGTGTTTAGGTCACGGGTGGCGGCTGCGGGGAGGAAATATCTTTAGTTCACCTTGGGTGTTAGGGGAAATAATGTGGAATAGATTCAGTCACACGAACGTCGCAGCCTAGACTGCTTGCCGTATTCATAGTGGATCACTTCATAAAACGTAAACAAGACCCAAGTCACGATTTAACCACGTTCAGGGAGCAAAGACTGTGTGTTGTGTTCAAGTCACCATGTTGGTTGGTGTTCCATTTCAGACAATGCGTCTGCCTATCGACGCCATGAGAGCACTATCATTCCCAGAGTCTCGTGATTCCCAAACGCCATAAATCAACGTGATGTATCCATATCCCCCATTACCGTTGAAAAGACCAATGAATCCACAACGAGAGCCTGCCCATCAGCAGCCTAGATTCCACGGCGCCATGGCATCCGAGCCGCGCAAGAGGCAAAGCAACCATCGAAGTGATACGCTTAACCACCGAAACCGTACAGGGTACGGCCCTGGCGCTTGAGGGCGTAGACGACGTCCAGGGAGGTGACGGTCTTGCGCTTGGCGTGCTCAGTGTAGGTGACGGCGTCACGGATGACACCCTCGAGGAAGGACTTGAGGACACCACGGGTCTCCTCGTAGATCACTAAGAGCGAGGTATGTTAGCAGACCGTTGAGTAGAGACGTAGTTGCGTGAACTTACTGGCAGAAATACGCTTGACACCACCACGACGTGCGAGACGGCGGATAGCGGGCTTGGTGATACCCTGAATGTTGTCACGCAAAATCTTGCGGTGACGCTTGGCGCCACCCTTTCCGAGGCCCTTGCCGCCCTTGCCGCCTGGGAGACGTTAGTATCATGATGGCAACCAGGAAAATAGAGACTCTAAGTCGAGGACGTGATGCGACAAGAGACGCGTATCCGCGATGGATGAGGTTGAGACGCGTATTGAAAGCAGATACGCATACCAACTGAGCCTCATCCATTAAACCGCGGGGTTACGCCACACTCGAGACGCGCCACGACACTGCGACAAACAGGAAGGTCAAATAGGTAAATAGGAGATGCAACTTACGTCCAGTCATATTGAATGAGTTTGTTGAAGTAGATGCTTAAGTGGATGGAATAAGCGTCTCGATAAAGACGTGTCGTTTGATGACGTTGAAAGTTGGTGGTGATGGATACACTGGGTGTGGGAAAAGAGAAGAGTGGGAATGGGGGAAAGAAGAGGTAGCTGAGGGGGGTAAAGAATAAATAAGGCGGTGCTGCAAGTCCGGGGGGATGGTTACTGATTGTGTGGTGCGGCAGGCGCTGATGGGATCAGTAGGCTAGTCCCGATTTGGTGAGTGCTCTTTATTTTCTGAAAAACCGGCAATTGTCCTCTATTTTCCGCTAGGGGAGTCTTTGGCTGACATTGCTGCTTAACGAACGGCTGTTTTGACAGGCGCGCTTTTTTGTTATGGACGCATTGTTGAGTGGGGGTGGAACGTGCACGGCTTCTATTTTTCATTTTTCTAGTCGGGGAAACACCAAGGGGCCCGGGCCAAGCAGAAAGAGCCGTCGAAAGCAGGGGTGTGTTGGTTGCCAAAAGCAGAGAGGTCAAGGACTCAAGGCAAGTGCGGGTGAATTATGACTGGTCCGAGCTCTCTTTCCACTTCCGAGCCCATTTACCCATTGTCGCGGTCTGATAAGGTCACGCGTCAGCAATGGATTTCTTCCTGCACTCTGCCACTGCCGCTCCCGATCTGTCGTCCGCTTTCGCCTTCCTTTGCCCAGTCAGACTTATTTTGGATTGGTCAGGCTTTTCGTTTTCTCCCCGCCGCTGGGTGTTCATGCAAGGAAAGCCCCGTAGGCTGTAAGGTAGCTCAAGTTAAATAACCCCCTCCTCTGGCGATTCACATAAGACCTCGTGGGAATTTAACGAGATCGAGGCAGCGACCCAGCTCATGACCTTAAACCTGGGGTAATGGCCTTTCTTAGGAGATTTTGACAGCTCAGGGCCTCGACAAGATATGACGTTCGTCCCTCCTTTTGATCTGGCTAGACTCTAGAGCATACCCAGCCTAGATCTGACGCGACATGGATCATTGGTCTAGACCTTGATGATCTGCCGCAGTTAAGGTGGTAGGCAGGTAGTGACCAAACTGTCACTTGACAGACCTGGATTGATTAGGACACTCGCACCTGTCGCGTTTCTTTACCTAACTCTCACTCACTTTTGCCACATGCATACCAGACATTACAGAGTACAGACTAATCAGGTTAGGTAATGCATTACTTTTCATGGCCATCGATCTGTCGTTTCAGCCACTACTGCGGCGCCTCATAGGGCGCTAATATACAAGAGGGTCATCCTTTGAGCCCTCCCCAAGCCAATATGCAACCCTGCTTTACTTTCCTAAACGCCGATGCCATGCAGCATGCAACATGAATCCGTATCGTCGTGCTGTTATACCATGCCCAAATTCAAAGCTTGGCCAAACTCGCTCTCGTCTCGTCGTGGGAACCCGGACTCGTTGCCAATTCTCGCACCGCCCACAGAAAACGCATGTACAATCGCGGACACCATCCCGCTCCTGTGGATAGGGCAAAACAGCCTCAGTCGAAGACAACCTTCTTCATCCTGTCATCCTATGTCATCATGGAGTCTTCCATGCCCACGTCATCCTCGATACTCTCGATGGCATCCTTGATCGACTGACTCGCCTGCTCAGATCGTTAGCTCAAGTGTCTGCCTTGCTAGCTGGACCGGGAATCTTACCTTTGGATCTAAAGCAAGAGCATTGCTGAAAGCCCGTACCGCCATCTGCTTTTCATTGAGGCTTCTGTACAACTTGCCAAGTAAAAAGTGCACCATGGCCTCATCAGGGGCTACATCCCTCAAAATGAGCAACTCTTTCTCCGCAAGATCTACCTTGCCCAGACTCATCAGCGCGCGTGCCTTTTTGTACCGTACTATGGGTGCTCGTGGCGCCAGGTCTGTGGCTTTGGTATAGAACTGTAGCGCGGCTATCATTTGCTTCTGCCTTTCCAGGATCGCCCCAATACGGCAAATGAGAACGGCATTGGTCGGGTTGATATCGGATGCCGTATGGAAGTGAACGTAAGCCTTTTCGTAGTTGCCGAGTTTCTCAAAGACCTGGCCAATGCCATAGTAGGCGTTGTAATGACGTCGGTCCGCCGTGACAGCCTTCCGGAAGGCGCTGAGAGCCTTTTCGTATTCTTCGTTGGCGACGTGCTCGTGGCCTTGAAGCGTGAAAGCATATGCAAACTTGGGATTTAGCTGCGTCGCTCGCTTAAAGCAACGCAGAGCCATTTCATGCTCTCTTGCCAACGACCAGGCATTGCCAAGAGCGCACCAGGCTTGTGGAGATGTCCAGTCGGCATCGACCAGCTCATGAGCCAAGAAGGACAAGTCCGTCTCCCGCTTGAGATGCCAAAGAATTGTCGAGTAGATTTCCATGTCATCCATCCGCGTAGGCGCCACCACACGCAGTTTTCTGAAGTACTTTTCGGCGTCTTTGTATGACCCTTGTTCGTGATGCGCTCGGCCCATTTGCGCCAACACCCAAGGTGTATCTTGCTGGCTTCGAGGTAAAGAAGCGTAGAATTGCAGGGCCTCCTGGCACCGGAAAGCTTTGAGTGAGTAGTATCCAGAGGCGAATTTCTTGAGCAACTCCATAACCCATCTCAAAGCTTCCTCAATCCTGACGTTGTCGAGTTCGTGTGAGACGGCTTTCGGTACGGCGTGCTGCACCGCATGAGGCTCTCTCACACGAGTGGTCTCGGCGTGGTCGACATCCATACCACTGTCTTCGACCGGCTTACGGTTGCCGCTCACGACCCTACCAACACTGGAGCCACTAGAGCCAGGTCGCATTATCCGTGAGATCTGGGGTCTAGCCTTCTTCAGCTCACGAGTTGCAGCGGCGCCGATGGTAGCAGCGCCGGAATTCGCTTTGGCAATTGAGGGTTTGTTAAACATGTTAAGCCTGGCACTTCTCCGTTGTGCAGGAGCGTTGGCTTCTTCGGAGTGTTGCCTAGATACCGGGTGGCCCGAAACCGTCCTCTTCCGCTCCGTAGGTGCCATGGTCGACCGCAGAGTTCCGGTCCCAGCGTCGGAATGCAGCTCGACTGAATCCTTGTCTTGGCTTCTGGTGCTTCTTTTGGCACCTAATTTGTAGCTCATCTTTGGTGGGGCCTCCAAAAAGCCGGGATCCACGGCCTGAGCTGTTCTTGTCCTCCGTGGCGGCGCCTGTGGTGGCTCCGCAGCGCCGAAAGCTGAACGCATAGTAGGAACCTCTGGCATGGACACTGGGCCGGTAGGTGTCTCCATGAGATCGAGCTCACCGTTACTCGTGGATGGTGGGGCTAGCCTAGATCTTGCTGCTGTGATTTTTGACATGAAATCATTCTCCTCTGCTTCCGCGGAGAAGACGTTGGCGCTATAAGGCATATCCTGATATGTAGAGGATCGGTGAAGGTTAAAGGGGTCAGATGAGTCCGCCGTTGAACGAATCGGAGGTCGTTTGGGCTCGAAGGAATTTGCCGAGCTCTCCTTAGGCTCCTGGGGTAACACTCCCTGCTCCTGTTCAAAACAATGAACGAGAGGATCGGTGACCTGGAAAATATTTGGTACGCGCAGTTTAACGCCCATGTCGCTAAGGGCCTGAAAGGCATCCCACATGAAAGGGTTGACTCTCACTGCAGTCTCGAAACATTCGATTGCCCTCCGCTTGTCATCGTACGCCCGGTACAGCTTTCCTAGTAAACACAGAACCGCAGCTTCGTCTGGGTAGAGCGAGCGAGTCGAGGTGGTGTGCTTGCCCATGTTCGTCTTGCCGATCCACTTCTCCCGAGCTTTTTCTAGGGCATTGATGCCGTCTTTGTATCGTTCCATTTTGACGCATGCGTGCGCAAATACCCAGGCGGCACCCAGATTCGTCCCACGGGAAGCCGATGGCCTGCTGACTTCGAAGGCAGTTCGGTGGTCACCGAGGCGGAGGTGGCATAGAGCCAGGAGATGTGCAGACTCGCTCGACTTGGGATCTTGGGCGCTTAGCCTCTCGGCGAAAAAGAGGGCATTCTCGTAGGCACTGTTGTCGACATGGTAGTAGACTACCTGCCGTAGCAGCCCTGTTATGGCCGCACTCGTGGGCGCCATTCTCGGTGGGTAGGTGAAAAGAGGTGGGCGGTTCGGTGGAGGAGGGTTAACGTCCACGGCAGTTTATGGCCATGAGATCTCGCGGGTGGTGCAACAACTGTCGAAATTGAAGGCTGGAAATCGCGGTACACAGTAGCGACCCGATGCACTGGACGTGCAGCTTTGGTCGAGAGGCGTTGGTCGGGCTCTGTCGAGCTTGGGTATGGGATTGTGTGCAGGCGCAAAAAGTTGCGTCCGTGAATTTCGAGGTGGGCGTTCGCGCAGAGCCTGAGGCCGAGAGCAGCAAGGGTGCTGGAAGCGCGTTCTTGTCGACAGATGGTTGAGGATTAACAATTAAAGAGCAGCGGGAGGCGAAGAGTGCAAGGTCGAATTGAATCGGTAAGTGCTGCAAAAGGCGACGGCGAGGATCGTAAGGTCGTAGAGGTGGTTCAATGGGCAGTTTGCGGATTGTTGCCTGTCGGAGCGAAGAAGGCGTTCGTTGCGTGGTGGGTCCCCGTGGATTTTTGTTTGGGCTCGGCGACAGGCAGTGAGTGAACTCAGTCAAAGTGCAGCAGTATCGGCTCTTTGCAGCAACACAAGACAAAACTCGCGGTCCATCTGACTGACTAAACAGAGCATACCAAAAAAAAACAAAAAAGCAAAATTGGTCGCAAAGACAATGCAGCGAGATGGACACAGCACCCAGAGAACGAGTGAAGAGGAACTGAATAGGACGGAGGGGAGGAGGTGGAGGGGTGCTGTCCAGAGGGAAACAGCCAGACGGGAGGCGGGAGACGGACGAGACTGAGAGTCAGCGAAGTGAGAATTCTCCGTAGCTCGTCAGATCAACAGACGTCAGGCCAGATCAGCCGTGCACTCTGCGTGGGATGGCAGGAGGGAAGGGGAGAGAGAGGTAGAGTTGGTCGTGAAGGTGTCACTTTAGGTCCAGATCCAAGGCCATGTTGCGGCTTGCCATTTACTGTGCATGTCCAGTCAGCGTCTCTTGTCCAAGTCTGGACGATGGTGTGTTGACCTGACTGCGGCGTTTCCTTCCTTAGGTCGCGCTTGGTGTGGTGATACTACAAATCTGATTGGCCCATACGATACCTCAGCGACCACCGTCGTCTTTGCCCAGCAACCCGACCGGAAGAAGCGCCTACCAACCCCCCTCCCCTGCCGCCAGCCCCCCACCTGCCTGGTCGTCCACAGTTCCATTACAACTTGCAGTCGCAGTCGCAGTCGCAACGCCTCCCCCGTGCCTTCCTTCCCCTTGCGCCAGAGACATTTTACCCGCCACTGTTCGCTTCCATTCCCGGGGATCCACTTCTCGCCGTCTGCCCGTTCCATTGGGTCCCGCCGCGCCTGAGCCACACCATCAGCCATCCGCCTCAATTGCTTCTCTGGAATTTCGTCACCTTCCATCCTTTCAGCCTCAATTCCAGCCAGGCCGCAACCTGTCTTTTACTCACAGGAACGTTGGACCCCACCTTTGAAGACCGACATCATTAACTTAATTAACTTGACCTCACTCACGTTCTCGAGGCCTTCTATCGGCATACCTTGCATCCAAGTTCTTTCCCCACGAAACATCCCTCAGCAACATCCACCATGGCGCAAAAGGCAAAGAAGGACAGGGCCAAATCCAACGCCACCACCTTGAACAACCTCCATATCGGTTCCGCCGTTGTCAACGTCGCATTTCTCATATTCTACTTCATCTTCAAGTCCCGGTCTCTCTTCTGGTTCGTCCTGCTCTCCGCTCCGGCCTTGATCTGCGAGTACGTTCTCGAGAAATCTGGACGTCCCAAGTATGACGTGGGAGGAGGCCTCAAGACCTCTGGTGAGGACTTGGCCGCCGCCGGGTTGACCGAGTACATGTTCGACGTCGTATGGGTTACTTGGGCCTCCGTCGTTATTGTCATCTTGTTCGGCAACTGGGGTTGGTTCCTATGGCTCGCCGTGCCCGCTTACGGCGTATACGCTGGATACGGCTTGCTCGGAGCTGGCAAGCGTATGGCCCAGATGGGTGCTGCGAACAGCGACGAGCCCGCCCCGCCCGCCAACAGAAGACAGCGTCGAGCCGCATAGTCAAAGTCACATCCTGTACTGCCTAGGACGCCGTGCTACGAGCCAAAAGATGTCTATAGTCTTCTATCGAGATTGCGGCGACTAGGTCTTATCTGTGCCAGGATTGCTCCTCAGACCACTTCCTGATGACTTCTGGGTCGGCGTCTCGCACCAGCACGTGGATGTGCTCCAAGGCCCGGACGCTCTGAAGGGCGACCCAGTTCTTGAACCAGACAACCCTGTCTTCTCCGACATCACCAAGAGTTTTGACAAAGTATCTGTCAATGAAATCCTGGACAGTGCGTCTGCTCTCTACTGTCATGTCCCCGGTGTCAGGGTCAGTAGGGATGATGGCACGCGACCAGACCACGATATGGGTGATGCCCGGGTCAAGTCCATACGGCCAGTCGTTCACGAGAACTCGGTAGTCGGAAGGATCCTCAAAAGGCACGATGGACTTGGGGGTGAAAGGCGGCTCACCCCAAGGTTTGGGCAGGCGGTTGGTGAGAAGGAATTTGGTCATGGAGCCGTACTCCGCCTTGGTCTCGGCCGTCCATTTCATGTATCGACGAAGGTCTGATGGCTTTCGCTTCAAAACCTCGAGCTTGTTTGTATCTGGTGTCTGATTAGGCTTTTGAAACCTAACTTCCATAAAGATACAAGGCAAATGCGCTTACCAATGATCTCTTTGAGCTCTTCCCAGTCATGCTTTTTAAACTCCTCATCTGTCTGTGAGAGGACCCACTTATCAACGTCTGTGAGCGGGAAAGGTGCCTCCTCAACTGGAACGTCACCCATGTTGAGTATCTAGTCTGGGTAAAATGATCGGCTGAAGGTCCGGCTCAAAACGTGTGTTGAGGCAAGTCAGTGAGGCGTTTTCCGGGTTAAGAATGAAGTCGTTTGGGAGGATGCGAGTACGGATAAGCTTGTCACGAAGTTGAATAGTTGGCGGTAAGGAGCGGCTGTCTGCAGCGGGCGGCCCCCGAGCAGCGGAAGATCAGCGGTCCGGTTTCCTTATTCGGATACGACAAGCTACCGTGGTAGGGCAGGGCGGCCACTTCCACCTCATAGTTCATCCCATTTCGAGAGCATTGATGAAGCTGATTCCAGCTTTTCAATTTCTCTGCATCGTGGCACTGATATATACTAACAAGAGCCAGGAAGAAAGCCATCAGGCACCGCTAGATTCCCAAGGGACTCGCAGGTGCTAGTGTTGCAAGGGATCCGTGCATCTTAGGTACCTAAGTGAGCCCAGTAATGCCTGCCTCTGCACGAAGAAATAGACAGAATCGGGCTACAACCTGAGTATTCCTTCCAGACATTAATTTGACAGCCTCGTCACATTGAGAAACAACTGGACGCCAGTAGTTGTTGCCCGATGCTGAGTGGAAGGTGTGTCTGGCATTAATCAGGCAACTTCGACCCTGGTTCGGCAGGCAAGTCTTCAAGCGATCTTCAGGAACGGGGAACCCCTCTCAACTAAACCCAACCCAACTCCAGCCACCTCACAGACAAGACGACGGAACTCTGGGAACACTCGAAATAACGTGTTACTCTACGCACGTGGAAAGTCTCAAGATAATCGTATTGAACGCCAACCCAACATGGATAATTCGACAGACGCCAGCGCCGCCTTTGCGCATCCTTACTACCCAGTCACCGCTGCCCTGCCGCACTACGTTGCCAACAAGAACTCCATCCTCGGCCTGCTCTTATTCTTCGGGAGCATAATATCTTCCGTCGTGTTCACTGCCGTCATGGGTGCTAGAAACGCCTATCCTCAGCTGACAGCCTCGGACCAGCTTTCCGTGGCTTGGTTTGCTCTTTGTGAGTGGTGTTCAGAACATCGATCGTCCGACTCTAGCTAATCATTTCATCTACACAGGCGGATTCCTTCACTGTTTCTTCGAAGGTGTGTCCCCAAATCTTCGATTCCTTCTAGTCCAAGTCTAATGCTTCTATAGGATACTTCATCCTGAACCACAGACATCTCGCGAGCGACCAAAATCTCTTCGGCCAGCTGTGGAAGGAGTATGCACTCTCCGACTCTCGCTACCTGACCTCCGATCCATTCATGCTCTGTGTTGAGTCTTTCACGGTAGTAAGTTTTGCTGCTTTTTAGCATTGCGAAAGAGCCCAGTGCTGACCAAGATTCCAGTTCGTGTGGGGTCCCCTCTGCTGGGCCATCGTCATCACTACTGCCAAGCGGAGTCAGTTGCGTTATCCCTTTCAGATCATCATGAGTGTCGGGCATCTGTACGGCGTCGTGCTCTACTACTCAACCAGCTTGATCGAGTTCTATTCCAACGGAGTGTCGCACAGCAGACCCGAGTTCCTGTACTTTTGGGTCTACTACATTGGTTTCAATGCACCTTGGGTCGTGGTGCCTGCGAGTAAGTCATAATGCTTCCACACCTCTTGTCCGCTTTTGTGTGCTGACGCAGGTCTTCCTTAGTTATTCTCTATCAAACCACAGTCCATATCAAGAGACACCTCACAGACCGTGCGGACGTGGTGGTCAAGCTGAACAGGATTGATGGCATTATGGGTGACAAATCTTGGCAGACGTATGTGCCCAAGGACGAGGAGAAGAAGACAAATTAGCTTTTATGATGGCTGTATGAATTGTGGTTTAGCCATGCCGGATAGTCTTTGTTGTGGAATAGATTCATGACGCTATGAGAGACTGTTCCAGCTGAAACTTCACCGTTCGATACTCTTCCTCGGGTAAGCTTATGCCCCTTTACGGCCTGATGGATTTGGCATTCAATGCAACCCGGGCCGGCACTAGTATGACATTTGGAGAACCGGATTAGTTGGAGAAGCAAAATTACCCCGCTAGCCACCACCAAATCCCACCGATTACGCCCAAGTCACCCATCGTCACCAACCGCAGCAAACGACGATAGCTTCACAAAACAAAAATCAAAAACATACAACATCAGGTATTCGCTGGTCGTCACCGACCCAACTACTAATCCGGCCCTCATAGGGCTTGTCTATGGGCACTCGGCATCGTGAAGATGGTGTAGGTTACCATCACTGGGTGACGAAGGATAGCCCAGAATACGGAACAAGGATCATAAGTTCCCAAACTGTCAGGCACCGTTTTGGACTGAGCAGCTCCGTCGCTCGACGGTCAGCACTAATCGAACACCCACCCAGACACCCTAAGCGAGGCAGACCACCACCACCACTACCCAGCCCGCTCACAACCTGCTTCCAACTTTTAAGAAGTAACTTTTAAACTCTCTAATAAGGGTGAGATATAAACAGCCCTTTTTAGTAAGATTGTATACCCTAGTATACCTAGGCTCCTTAGTAATAAGACTTATTCTATAGCTATAACCGCTAACCCTTATCTAAGTAGCTAAGCTTTTGGACTCGACTTATCCTAAAGGTTCCAGGGCCTAGCGGCGCTTACTAATAAGATATTCTGGCACGATAGCTTTAAGAGGTAAGTAATAAGACTCTTATACAAGAGTATTAAATGGTGAATATTCATATAGAAGCAAGAATATATAGATATAGGGGTAGTTAAGCGTATATAAAAGAGGTTGATAAATGTAAAGAGAGTATATAGTTAGATTACTATATGAGAAGTTGCTTGCTTAACGAAAGGTCTAAGTAGGTAAAAAGATGCCCTTATATAGGCATAAGATCCTCCGACTAGAATATTCCATTGCTTATTAATTATATTATAATTAATAAGCATAAGTTATACGTAGGTGAATGCGTAATCGTAATACGTAATACCTTTCAAGTAAATTCCAGCGCATTTCATTATCTTCCAGTGCCTTCTTTCGCTCACGTAAGCTTACATAACCAATCTTGCTTACGTAATCAATATCTATATTAATCTATAACTCTTATAGATTAATATAATATATAATATGCTTACGTAATATGAATAATAAGGCAAATAATAAGGTAAAAGATTTACCTTTCCAACAGATATACATTCTTAAATTCTCAGTAAACTATTGCTAATAATTTCAGGGTTCCCCTATTTATAATTTTTATATTAATATTAGAAGGTACCCTGCTATATTAGCTTATTATGAAACTCCTAAGGGCTCTCTTTCTTAGAGTAGTATAATAATAGAAGGAATATAAGTCCGCCTAGTATATACTACTAGTAGTAGACGTCCGCCTACGTGTTACGACCCAACATGCATGACCAAGACCAGGGCCTGCCCCGCAGGCTTACGGCGGCTACGACACGCCATATGTGCAGACACAGGAGTCACCCCAACGGAACGGAAGAACTATGGAAAAGTCACGTGATGATAAGAAAGGACCGACAGACGATAAGCGGTCCATGATATGGACCGACAGGATAAAGGCGGTCCACCCCTGTAGGACCGACAACACGATGTCGGTCCCAACCACAAAGGAACTGTTCAGATAGTACACGGGACTTGTATATAAGGATGGACTCGAGCTGGGCTCTAGGACAGACTTTCCATAGCTCTTCAGCAATTAACTTCGTATCAGGATTAACATCCGCTTTCAGCTACTACCTTGACAAGACTACGATTGATCACCGAAGCCTTACCTACCCTTACGATTGACAGACATAGCTTCCCTAAAGCTATCCCCGACTACGATTACTGTTACCAGTTCCGCAGCCTCAACTTCTGCAAACTACCCCTACGACTAGCTGGCCGTAACACTACGTGGGAGTTACCGGCGTCTATCCTAGGCGTAGAGCGCTATATTACGGCGATAACTTTATTATGATAAGTAGGCAAGTATAATAGAACACCGACCTACCTAGTATTACGAGCAGGTCAAGGCAACCAATTGTGGCACAAAGCAAAAGCTTTGATAATAATAACTCCGGTCATCACTGTCCCTTGTTCTACATATTGTCACGGGCTGGAGCCCGGTTGAGATCTCCGGCCTTGCCGGAGCCGCACGCATACACCTCCGCTGGGAAGCTATTCGACCGCGACCTATAATAACCAATTATTATATTAGATTATTATAACTTATTAGATTATTATATTTAATTAAACTATAGGCCGGAGCCGGTCAAGATATCCGGCTGTACTAGAGCCACTATTTTACTATAATATATCGCTGAGTCCGGGTATATTATACACCAAGAGGTTAGACATAGGCAAAAAAGAAAAAGGTAAATAAGTTGAGGTACGAGTTGGGATAATCAGAGAATCAATTGTATTAATAATTATTCTATGATATGGTGGAAAAGTATAGTTTATATATAATAACTATATAAGTATTATATGTAATCATATGTAATTACATGTAATTACATGTAATCACATATAATGCTTAAGTCCGAGCATTTATTATCAAGTTTATACGGGCATATATGCCTGTCGGCGCTTTAACATATATATGTAAAGCGTATTTACGTACGGGCTGTACGTGCGTACAAAGCGTTGTATCTCAATAGATACCTACCTCAGTTGAGCCTCTTATTACCATGTAACTTCTTGAGCACGTAACTCTTATAATACCTGTATTTATAAATTATAAATAAATCATTAAAATCATTGAAAATCAATGAGTCTAGGTATATTTATAAAACATCTATAGCCCTTATATTCATTGAGATGTTAATATTTTTTTCTATATTATAGAGTACTACTTTTAAGGTACTAATTAGGTACAAGTTTTAGAATTTTAGTAAATATTCTAAGTCTTATAAATATAAATATTATCCACGGAAATATCGTATAAAATACCTAGGCAATAATATATCTTATAAACTTTAGAGTTAGGAAGAACTAAGTATCAAACGCCTTGAGAACGACAATTTAAGTACGGTATTATTCTTATACCATCATTAGAGAAATAAATAATGTATAATAAGTAACGACGAGATAGTTATAGTTATTTAAGACTTTAAGTTTTTAATTCAACCTAATATCGTATTAAAATATTATAATAAGTAATCAAGAAGTCGCTGCTTGCCCCTCCTGGTTTGGCGGCACGTTCCAATCGGGCATGGCGCCCACGCCGCTTTGCACGTGCACCCCTGCCCGTGCCAATCGACGCCGCCCATAAATACGGCGTCGCCCTCCTCTCGACGTCAGTATCTTGTACCATCTACCTTCCCTCCCAATACTTCCACGAAAAATTCATCGCTCGGGTTTCCTGCTTCTCCTGAGTCGTACCCTTGCCCGAGGGCAGTGTGACTCCGTCTATTACGTTGCTACCTTGCTCAGTTACGCCGCTATCTCGCCTCCAGGTCTCTCCCCATGTCGAGACGTTCTATACGACCTAGGCGCTTGCTCTTCAGCTCCGCCTTCTCTAGGTTTGACCTCAAATCGCATCTCGATACTATGAACTCATTCTGACTCGAGAGTAGGAGGTCTGGACGGTTGTGAACTGGAAATGGGGACTGGGCCGAGTGTTTTACTACGAGAGGCAGAGTGAAGAGTACCGTCATGCGCTGTTGTAATTCACTTTCTGCTGGGTGACTTTGTGATGGGTTCCTGAATCTTGTATAGTTCAGTGCCTCGGACGTATCTCGCTCAATGGCCTGCCTAGGTTCGCTGCCAGTCACAACCTTCACTCTGTCCACCAGGCGCCAACTTGGTGACGCAAGGGGGCTAGTCGGGCAAATTTTGCCTTGGACTCGGCGCCCGGACAGACCTCAATCATTTCGCTGTTTGGCTCCTTAGTCAACTTCGGACCGACTCTCAAGATGCGCGCGCTGAATGCCTATTGCGGCACGAGCCTCTTGATATGGATGCATCATGACGGTTGCTGCATGGCAGGCTTCATGCGTGTCTGCCTTGCGCTTCAGCCTAGCCAGCATCCCTCCTGCCCAGCGCATGACACCTCGGGCAAACGGAACGGCAGCCCAAACGGCGATATAACCTTTTCAGTGCTCAAGATGGCATACCATGCCTTGTCAGGCCATCGGCTACTCCGAGAACTAGTGAGAGATGCATACGGGACTTTGGGGGCCGGTCTCAGGTTGAGTAGCATCCATAAGGGCGTATACTTCTGGCGACTGCTGATTGGCAACAATACGACATTGTCTACGAACAGTGGGGGACGAATGTGCCTGGACAGCCCAGGCATCGTATGCTCAGATATCGGCGTTCAGAGGGTACCTCTTGGCGTGCTCGCTGTTCTACTTATCAGACAACACGGAAGCGTTAACGCATTGCACTCGTCACTGAACATCGACTACTTAAACGAGAGCGTCTGGCTGATAGACTTCGACACTCTCATCTTCTCAAACATCAGACCTTTGGAACTCTCCCAACGTTCAACCCAAAATGCCCATCAATCTTGACAACATTTCATTCTACTCGGCTCCAGCGCAAGCTGTGCATCCATCGGCAGCCAGAAGCACAATAAGGCAGACTCTTGGTCCTTCCTGTTCGACCATGGGAAGAACCGCGATACCGCTTTCAGACGGCACGACGATCACAGCCGATCAGAACACGAGTCACAGTGACAAGAACCCAATCGTGTCCTCCCAATCCCTTCCAGAGGCAAATGTTGAGGGCAAAGTCAATTCAAAAGATAGGACGTATCTGCAGATTGAACGATGCCCAGCGTCAGGCGATATGGGCCATAGTCCAGCCAAGAAGCCTGTGGCAGTGGACTTCAATACGCGCGAGAATTCGCCTGAGACGGCGGCTTGGTCTGCCAACTGTCTACCAGTCTCGTTGCCTTCGTTGCCATCCGGGGCATTCGCTGCGGCAATGTTTCCCTCGCACCCAGACCCAGGTCCCCAAGCTGCCAACAACATAGCCTACCCGGCTCTCCTTCAAAAGTCGACTGAGAACGCATCGACTGTCAGCTTAGAGACCCCTGTCCCAGAGAGCACTCTGCCCTACACCGAGCAGCTGCCCCAAGTGAGTCAAGCAGCCGATGATGACTTTACGATCTGGCTGCAACATCAACAAGTCGTGTTATCCAGCAGCGCGGAAGTTGGAGAGGCCCCGGAATCCCCGCGAGGGCCTGCCGAACAGTCTGGCACGATGCAAAGCCCAGCGTTGGCTGAAATTGGGCTGCCATACTCTAGTTTGGCATCCCTAGGCCAAGACACGCCCTGTCACGCCGGAAATTACACACGCCAACTCCTCTCCGGACCAGAGACTTCCAGTGCGTGGCCAAACGCTGGTGGTGAAGAAATTAGCCCCGGCTCAACCGACCGAAGCGAGCCGCTGGTCACAGAAACGGCGTTTCATTACAGCAATCGTTCACCTCCACCGGACGAAATGTATATGGATGCTAAGACGACAGCATCAGATGCTCCTCCTGTACACTTATCTCGAGTCCATCGCCGAGCTCGCAAATCACGACTATCAGCGGGCGCTTATGCTGAAGTCGATTCGGACCCGGAATCTAGCGATGAGGATGGCGCTCATGGAACCAATGATGACTGCATCGGAGATCAAGCCAACCCTGACAGTATTCAGCAAGGGCCCCAGGGCTGTGAGGACAATTATGACCAACGCGGTCAGCCAAAACCCAAACGCCGTAAAAGAAACTTCCAGGAGACTGTTGGCACCAGCAGGGCTCTGAGACCACGGAACACGTCATCGCAGTTAGCACTAGAGCCAAGACGAAGGTCAGAGCGGGCTACAAATCGACCAAGGACAAGTGAAATTCTGACGCCGCCGGTCTCTCCTGCTTCTACCGATAACGAATTAGACCCCAAATCCTTTTTTGCGCGATACGATGAGTGGCCTCTAAAGGATGCAGTCCTGAAGCGCATCACAGATGGATTTATAACGACGTTTCAACTGCAATGGGAGCAGCCGTCCACAGAACGACAACAAACGCATTGTTATCCCTCAGTTGGCCTGGCCTCAGGTTCTTCGCTGAAGCGACGAAAGTCTGCGAGGCGATCTGCAAAGTCCAGATGCCCCTTTTCAGAACAGGAGAATAAACTCTTGGTTCAACTCAAAGGACAGGGCCTCTCATGGAGGGAGATCCACAGCCGTTTCTCGAGTTCCTTTCCGAGCCGGTCTCTTGGGACGCTGCAAGTCCACTTCTCTACTAAGCTGAAGATGACGAGATAAAAGGCTGTAGTGAGGTGCGATACATGCATTCTGATAGTTCGATGGAATGAGAGAACAGTAATGGACTTGGACATGTAATGAGAGATCTATTGTAGATCTTTAAATAATGTGTCAGATGGCGTTACACTTATCAATCTTCGTCCTACACAAGTTCGCGGTGTCAAGGAAAGAAGCTGGTTCTTTGGTCTGTCCTGTGAAAACTGCTGCCCTATATCCTCAATGGCCTATTTCTTTTCGGCTGATGGTAGGATGACATGAAGCTGCTAATGTGCAGTCGACAGATGGAGCAATCCTCCCATCCACCATCAGCAAGATGCGTTTCCTTCCAGAAGCAAATGTCCCCCTGGCTTTCGACCTTGTTTCGACCTTGTTTCCTTTCTGGGTCCTCTTCTTGGCCTTCTTAGATGAAATAGCCCTAATTATCTTCTATCTTCGCCGCTGTTTGAGGTTCGGGTTCGAGCCCTGGTATAGATTCTACATAGGCTTCTGGCCAAGACTCGGTCGCAACCTCCGCTGTCAGCTCAGGCTCCGCCACGACGTCCGCCCAGCCTGAAACCTAGGAGACGGCTAATTTGCCGCCGCTTTTGGCAGCTTCTGCCGCCAGATCCATCGGGCCATTGCCACAAACCAGTCGCCGCTCTAAACTCAGGCACCACGCCCACCAAGCAACCGTCACCCTTTCCCGTTCCAGACGGGTACCCCTGAGTGCCATGGTATCTCGGCCACACTACCGTCCAGAACAGTTCACGCGGCTACGGCCAGTTTCTCGAGTCTTGATTTCCCAGTCATTCTTTGCGTATCGGTTTCCAACAGCCAAACGAGGCCGCCAGAATGGGCCTGTCGCCTTCTTGCAATATAATCCACGGGCGCACGGGCGCTGCACTGCCTAGTGAGCCGATTCGTCGATCCATCCGCAGAACGTCACGACTTGTTCGATCATTCTCTCCCGACCGCCGCTTTACTTCCCACCATGCCAAATCGCCGACGTACGAACGTGTACACTTACGATTGCGATGCGTCATTCACTGCCGAACTTGAAAGCGACGACTACAACAACGACGTCTTCGTACGAAGGAGCAGAAATGTGGCTCGGGCACCGACACAGACCGATATCGGCGATCTCTGCGATGACGATTTGGATGTGGAAGACCAAATCAGGTTATTTGATGGCAATATTCAGTCAACTGAGTATTGACGACGCAAGGTCGAGGCGTTAACGAAGATGCATTCGCCTGCCAAGATTACAGCCCTGGGACAACGGTGCTTCTTGATGCCGTGGAGGAGCAGTGGCGACAGTATATGCGCGCAAAAGAAACGCGGAATCAAGAAGAAGAGCTCTTTGGCACATACTGGAAGGTCTTTCGACTCTTCTTCGAGAGAGCCGTGGGTGAAAAGATCAACCAGAAGCTGAACTGCAGCATGCACAGAGCAGGTTTCTTCCACAGCGACACCAGCGCTCCTGCTGACTGCTCCAGGTTCTTCGAGATTTAGGGAAGGAACACCGTTTGATCGAGCAGCGGCGAGATAATCGTTGTATAACGATCGACAATCTCAAGCAGCGGATCAGGGCGACTCTGAGCACGACAAATAAGTCGTTAAAGCTTGGAGAGCTGCGCATCCTCGCCGTGCTCTTTGTCCTTCTGCTTGCTCCGGCCGGTTCTCGCCCAGAAGCGACTCTGAACCTGCGGTTCAAGGACATCAGGGTCGTTCTGGCCAGAGACCCAGAAGGCGGACCACACAAACTTCCCTCCGCTTTACTCTGGAGTTCACCAAAAGCTATCTTGGTGAGAAGGAACATTGAGTCGACCCAGTCTGCTGCAAGTAAACCATACTTACATTATAGGAAAACATACTCCATCCCCGAGACGATGTTCGATCCGTTCTTGCTCCTAATCCTCCATGTATTCCTCCTAAGCGTCCTCTTCCAACATCGAGCTTTCAATGCATGCAGCCTCACCTCGCCGCACCATCTTGATAACCTCGATATACGTCCTGGCGAGCGGGAGCTGCCACTGCCGTCAAGGGAGGACCTGAACGATATCTTCATATTTCGTCGGGCCATCGAGACATTGACGGGCTATCAAATTTCCACCAACGATCGTATTACCTCTGAGATGATGGCGGCGTGGATTCAGAGAATCGGCGAAATACTTGGGATCGAGTACCCTACGATAGCGTATAACCTACGTTATAATGCTGCCAACGCGTTCGATCAAAGCGGTTTGTCTTCTTGATAGCTTAGTAGCCGGTCATACTGACTCGCAACGCAGTCGACGTCAGCGAAGCTCTCCGGAATCTCGCTCTAGGACATGGCAACTCCGATCCTTTCCAGAGACACTACCTCGGACGTAACATTTTGGCCGACCTTTGGGGCGTCCTCCGGGGGCAGAAGCCACAACAGGCGCTCAAGAAGCAGTCTTGCAGCATAGGTCTCTCCATCTCCGAGCGTCGCCCTATCGGCCTCGCATCAGAGCAGTCTGCGTCGATTGCCACGCACCAGGGAGCTGACGAGGGCTCTTCGAGAACTGCCGCAAGGCTCCAAACAGTACAACAAAGTCAATCGAGCGAGGCAGAACGAAAAGCCGAGGCTTCGGAGAGAACTCAAACAGGAAATCAGAGACGAGTGGACTGACAAGCAAGCCACAGACGACATCGAGCGTCAGATACATGGTATCGGATTTGCCAACCCTGCGACGGACAACACCTGTCGACCTCAGGGCCCAGCCCAAAGACACCTGATGACGAAACTCACCGCCCCGATCGTGACCACGCTCGAAGGTCAATACCGACGGAGGGATGAAGCTATCGAGGCTGTTTCCGCATATTATCTTGTCCAGGAAGGATGTACTGTGCCCCGGTCTCGCCCTCGGTCGAAAAGGCTGCAGTTCGTTACTCTACTTCTGATCCGCCTGAGGGCGGCCAGCTGGACCTCGCCACACGATCCGTTTTCATCACTAACGATCAGGAGTGGCTCAAGAGATACTTTGTCTATATTAGCCGGGCCTTAGATTTACCTCCGGATAACGGGGGACAGTTAGACAATCTCACCCTTGAGTTCTACACGTATAATAACTTGACCAAACACTTTCGGCATAAATACTTGTCCAAAATTGCGGACGGTAATGAACGGAGTGCAAGATTTATAAAATAACGCTCGATCACAAGATGCACCTTCAAAATCACGCGTTGAAGGTACACGGAACCGTATCTTGATCACCCATGATACGGGGTACGGGGTTCGGAGGAGGGCAAATCGAAGGCATCAAGGTTCCAAACCATGCGTATCTCCGGGTTGTGAAATTCGATGCTACGACAGCTGGACATACGAGTCATGGATGACCCCGCGATTGTTTGCTTTAATTCGACTGTTTTACAACGAAGACTGCCGGTTGACTGGGCTTGAATGAAACGGCTCTGTTGAATGTGGTAGTCTACGCATGATTAATGGAGAGGCATGTGCAAAACGACTATTAGATGGAAGTTTACAGATAGATCTATTCGGCCTTACGGTCTGAAATATCGGCTATAGGTCTAAAAATATTCTTTTAGAAACTTATGAGTCTGTCTTCGTAATCCATCCGCCCAAGATATTTAGGAAGTAGTAGGAAAAGGCTTCAGCTGAGCTGATGACAAATTAGCTCTCCACGACGGAGGCTTCTTCCGATAATTTTTTTGAATCAAAGCTTGAGTAAATCTTTTCAGGACTCTGGTTGATTATGCAACGGTTTTAGTGAACTTTTCAAAAAAATTATAAATTCTAAGTACTAAGCTCTTGACAAAGCAGGCACAATACTGCCGTTTTTTTCTAGACCTGGACTGGAAATGGTGTCTTGGGCAGACTCCCGTAGCTCTTCAGCAACCACCATACTGCACATCTTCGGAGTTTCGCAGCTTCTAAACAATGAACTTTGGCTGCCGGTCTCTCATACGGGCCTTTGGATGCTACCCAGAGTTCCCCTGATAAATCGCATCTCAGTCAAATAAATGCTTGTAGCGCCATAAACCACTGTTGAGTACCAGATGCAGGATGCCGTTGGGGTCCACGAGGTACCAATTATACTCCGGGTTTAGGGAAGTGCCTGGCAGGCTGAAGAGCAGGCTGCCCCCCAGACTTGACACTCGGACTGACAGGCGGCCATTGCCCAGAAAGCCTTCAAATCGATTTAGTTGACAGCTAGCCATAGATAAGGGAAGACTTACGGCACCAGCGCCCGAGTGTTTGATACGGCAAGATTCATCGCAGAATCGAGCAGCATAGTTGCAGCATTGGAGGCAAATTGTTTTTCCCACAGCACGACCTTCGAGCAAGCTGCCCCCCATGATGGCTCTCTCATCGACTTCGGAAACCGGGTCCTGTCCGACGTCCCTCTTATTGGGGTTTTTGGTGCACGTCTTAGGGTCGTTCTCAACATATCGGGCAGAAACCAGAGATGCAAGGAGGACGTTGAGCAAGGTAGTAGTCAAAAGCATGATGGATTATATTGAAAGATGGATTAGAAGGGAGGCTTGTAAGGTCTGATGCTGAAGAAAAGGTTGTTGATGATTCCAGTTGTAAGGGCCACTGTCTATATATACTAGATGGATCTCTATTCGGGTGCTAGGGACCAGTCGCTTATGTGAGGCAATGCACTACCACTATAACCCGCAAGCGCTTAGGAAATCTCGATGTCGCAGTTTACGGTTCTTAGCTCTATCTCGCGCAAGATGAACGAGATTGGTTTCTCAATAGCCTTTTATTCCAGTTTGGGCCCCGTCTAAGTAGGAATTTCAAAGGTTTAGCTTTTTTCCCCAGAGAATACGAGCTTTTACACCTCTAGAAAAGCCTATTATATAGATAGATGAGGCATCACCCATGAATTGAGACTTTGGTCTAAATTTCGTTTTTCCAATAATGACTTTCTAATTCTTCTTCCACATTAGCCAGATACTGAATAATAAGTGATTATAGACCTAAGTAGATTAACTACGCCTTCCTATTTTATTATACTGAGTTTCTGGGCAAATATCAATTCATATATTAAACTACCATAGCTCTTCGAAATACTCTGTCTATGCTTTGCACTAAGGAAGCTGAGTAAGAAGCGCGAAATATAGGCATCAGGACCAAGGCTGCCATTTCCTTCACAGAGCAAGGGACAGGACCTTAACTTGGGTATTTAGGAACCTCGCAACTCCGCATGAACTGCCGAAACCTTTTACTCTCTCTTCCAGTATACTTTCATTCACTCGTCGTCAGCATTTCATGAAAATACCATCTCTTGAGCTCTAAGTTGTTAGTATGTCAAACCCATCTAAGCGGTGCCTTACTAACCAGCGATAGACGATGAAGCTCTCAGCCACCGCAATCTTTCTCGCGGCGATCTCGCCTGCAATGGCCTTCGACTACACCTTGACTTGTGCCAGGGACATGTACATTGGCCCCGCCGCTCAGGACTATTTCAACCGACTGTACACTCGAATTTGTATCGAGAGCGCAAAGTGTGCTCATTCGGCGACCCAACCCATTTTGGGCTCTAGAGGCGCTTTGGTCAATGGCGGATGTACTGGCTGTCCTGATAACTTGAACCCCAACCTGTTCGGGAACTGCCTTTTGGCCAAAATTAAGGACTAGAACCCCAAGCACTGAACTACGGGTTCTGCTTCACTGCGACAAGCTATTGAACAGACATGCTCCTCGCTAGCTTCCACGATAGAGTTGGCAAAAGTAACGGATCTGTCAGCCTCATCGCGGTCAGCAAGCTTGAAACAATCAGCACGCTTAACCAAGAAATAGTAACTCAAATCACACTAATATTCTTTCCAAACATCTCTTGCTTGCCTAAATATGTCCACGCATTATATCCAGTGTTCCCACGGAGGTTTTCTCCCGACCGTCCTCGGTCTTATCACTGTCCTCGCCCTCACACTTATTAATCATTCCGATAAGAAGCTATTCCTAACAAGTCTAGTCAGCAACATAGGATAGCTCCAGTATGAGCTTAAAATGGCCGCTTAGGAACATATTACAGCTTGCAATACGCATATAGCCGTAACCTGCTTCGTAACCAGCCGGCAGTTGAAGGTTATGTGGAGGAAACAGGAATATTACTAACAGCTTGCTGACAATATAATTGATTGATCGGTCAAAGTCGAGCCTTAAGATTACTCGATAAGTGTGCGCTGAATATGATCCTAAGATCTGAAATAAAATTGATTATCACACAAGTTCAACAGGAATTACCTCAGATGAAGCTCAATGAAACAATCAAGAATGCGCTGGATACAAACGGCATCCTTGCGCCTGGGAAAAACGGGATTTGGCCACAGAAATACAAAAAGAAGGAATGGATGCTTCGAGAGGATGAAGCGGGCAGGTTGTCTAACGGTGGGATTAGCGTTGTAAAAAGTCGCTTGTAGTCTTGTCGCAATAGCAGTCAGAAACCACTAGGTATCTTTCATGACCCAGGTAACAACATCCGCTGACTTCATCTTGTGGGCGGCTTAAAGAAGCTGGCGACTCCGGGACGGCGACCGGTCAGTCCCCGGGCGAGCGGAGAACTGATTCAGGTCCATCAAACCCGGTGCGGCATCTTCGAGACTGGCTCGGGGCATGGCACTCCGTGTCGCCGGAGTCCGGCCCGTAGGTGTGTCCTCCGTCCTAGTACCCACTTATGCGGGGTATGCGCGCCATCGGCGAAGCTGATGTTGGGTGCCCCACTTCTAACCCCTCCAGAGTAAGGCAATCTGGCTGTCACTGTACTATTCAAGTAGAGGATGTCACTGCAGATGCTCAATATCACCGACCCTAGCGCCTAAGGAAATAGCCGTTCATGATCATGCATCACGAGGAATGCTAGAAAACATACAACACCAGGCAATTGCTGGTCGAAGCGGGCTTGACTACTACTCTGGAAGTCATCGACGTGTCTATGGGAGATCGTAATCCCGAGTTCTCTATTAAATATGGACATATATGGCAGCTTGGGGAGGTGAGGTCGATCATATTGCGAGACCATAGTACTTGAGATGGTTCTTTAACCTTCTTTTGGTCTAGTTCGATCTCTGCCTTGAGAAATTCCTGCTTTCAATTAGTCCCCGGTTCTTCTTTGGGATGTGAAGGTGTCGGATTGGAAGTCCAATTCGACCGTGAGTAAGGGCAGAGCATGGGCCGCCTCGAGGGAGTACAATTAGACCTCGACTACCCACCCAACCTCCGGTTGGAATCTCCCTTCTACTCCTTACGCAGAATCAATCAATACAGAGATATTGATACTTCGTCACCCCAGGACCCTATGGTTCGAACCAAATTCCCTGTGAAAGGAATACCAACACTGATCAGTGGTTAAATTCCACTATCGCAGATCAGCAAGGCATCTCACGAAAGCAGAAGAGACGACCCTCTAATACCGAACGGGATAGAGGAATCGTGCTCCCTTGACCTCTCGAATCTCACGAGAGGAGGCGTCCATCACGTCAGCAACGCCTTTGACGGTCGACCGGCCAGACGCCTCGAGCGCCCGACGACCGACGAAGGACCTTTTTCTTATACCGACTTCCTCGCGGCAAGACCGCGAATTCGAGTCTGTCAAGTACACCAACCGCGGCCAGCCCGCGCGACAATTATATCTATTTTCCGCAGCCTGCGACTTACGCCCGCGAGACAATATACCGACTATACCTTCCAACGCGTGAAGTACGAGCCCTTCGACCAAAGCACAAAAGGGCACCACGCGGCCAAGGAAGAAGACCAAGATGGTGGCTGAGCCCGAGGAACCCACGGCAACGAGGCCAGGACTAACGACGAGATCTAGCGCCCGTCAGCAAGAAGGGGCGGGATCGAGCCAGACCCCGTCAACCCAAGCAAGCGACGACAGTCTCATGATGCCACAACCAATGAGTGGCTCGAGCTCGAGCCCACTAAGGTCAGACACACCGGCTGCGCCAAGTACGAGCACCAGCCAGAGCACGACTATAAGCGAGTCAGGGAGAATGGCGTTATCAAGGATGCCCATCCCCTTCAAGTGGATGAGCATTAATGCTTCATACTGGGGAAATTGGACATTCGACGAAGCGGACATGCCGAACAAGGAACAGATAGACGCAGCCCTCGTCTTCCTAATGGAGATCTATTCAAAACAGGAACTCGAAGGGCAACCCCTGTTCTACCAAATTACCGATGACATCGGACATTGGCTAGGCGAATGGTTCGCGAGCGCCAACAAATGCATCGTAAGAGAAGTTGTTAGATTCCTCCATAGCCGAGGCGTACTGCCAGACTCGTCGAAGACAGGAGAGCCTCACGAGGTACTCGCAGCAACCCTAGCGGCAACAGAGTTTACGTATTGGAACCAACAACAGGTAGACCGCGCGATATATCGGTTTAGCGAGTTCAACCAGCGTACCACCAGGCCGGAATTCCTCTTGAAGATCACCAACGGCGCAGTCGGACCTCAGAAGAATCACAGTAGCAGCGGCCCGAATCCAGTACGTCAAGCAACGGCTCCTCCAATCTCTATTACAAGCCCGAGCTTGCCGTCGATCACACCACCATTAAACCCGTTACCGCAACCGTTAGACCACAGCCGAGAGCTCCGGCTAGGCCCTCGCTCGACTACACACAGTCAACGCTATACTCCAACGTTCCGCGAATCACGGGATGAACAAGACCAGACCCTTGCAAGCCCGAGGCAATTAACAGACCTCACGAAAATCTTCCCAAAAGAGAAGTATGCAGGGGGGAAGTACGAGGTCCTACAAGAGACCCTGACCATGTTCTACGACTACTGCGAGAAGGCAGGAATCAAGGAACACCAATATCACTCAGCCATCACGATTGTACTCACGGGCAAGGCGGAGGAATACTACTACCTTGCGGTGCGTACACTCGACAAATCAGACTTCCTCAGCATTGTTGACGCAATCCGAAGCCGCTTCGAGACACACGATAGGAGCCTCGAGCTCCTTGCCGAGCTAAGAGCACTTTCATATGGATCTATCGCTCGCGGAATGGAGGGCAAGCCACGCGTTGAGATTCTCGAGGAGCTCATCGACAAGATCGACAAGTTAGCCAAAACCCAGCCAACGGAGGGAACTAACGAGAGAAAAGTCGGATATCTCTGTACAGCGGTCCAGCGAGTCCCCGAGGCAAGGGTAACTTTACACGCACCGCCAACCGACTACGAGACCCTCTGCTCACGGCTGAGGTCGAATTTCAACATCGAGGCCAGGATGCCCAGACAACAGCAATTCCGAGCAGTTGACGCACCATATCAACAACACTGGGTCGACCGTACATACAACGGCAAAGGAAAGGAAGCCAGATACGGCAACCGATCCAATGATCAAGAGACACGAGGAGGATCAACAGCAGCCACAAGATTCAGGCCACGCGGAAATCAGCCTCGCGGAAAGTGCTGGGTCTGCAAGAAAGACGGCTGTTGGTCGACAAGCCATACCCAAGAGGAAAGAGATAAGTCGTACGAGAAATACAAGCAGATGAAGGGCACCGAGGGCAAGAATAGCCCAGGCCAATTCCAACAATTCATCGTCGACTACGAAGGAAAGGACCCTTCCACACAAGAGGACCATGACTACGAATCTGACATCGATGAGGACATCACTCCTTTCCTCACCAGGATCGACGATACCGTCGACAACGATTTCGACGACGTCGACGAGGTCCAACACGTCTTCTTCGCTCCCTCATCGTCAGGAGGATATTCCACTCTGAATGACAGGCAAGCGGTCAATACCCTCAACGAGGAGGCATTCTTCCATGGTTGTCAAGGCAGATTCGTACGAAGTAAGGGATCGTCGGCCCTACACGAAGGAAGCCAAGGATCAAGCGAAGCCTTGAGTCACCACAACCTAGCTGAAGAAGCATTAGGTGATCACACCCGTACCGAGGGAAAAAGGAAGACAAGCTCAGGGGCCTCGCTACTCCCCTTTTTATATCCACCAGATGAGCCAGACGAGGGGACGGCCCAGGTATACAATACCCAGGAAAGGTACGGGCCAGACGTCTTCCAAGGGATTATCCCTGATACCGGAGCATCACATTGGTCTACCGGAGGACAGGGCCAGTTGGAAGCGCTACAGAAGATCTACCCAGCAGCGCTCGACAGGTCGAAGGCAGGCATCGCCGTTATCAGCTTCGGCCCGGGGGACCAACTAGTGGGCATTGGTACGGTGAGCATCATCACCACCTTCGGAACCATGACCTTCCATATCCTTCCGGTCAATACACCCTTTCTACTATGCCTCAGAGATATGGACCGGTTAGGCATCACGAAGGAGAAGAGGCTTATGATCGACATTATGGCCTTACGGCAATCGTACGAACGACGCGAGATAATGGAGATCCGTTGGATCCATGGCGACGACAACCTCGCCGACGCCTTCACTAAAGCGAACCCCAACCAAGGGTTGGAAAGCTTCATCGACAAGGGGAAGGCTACGGTACGAATGGAGGGATGGGTCACACGGAAGGGACCTCGGAAGGAAGGGAAAGGGGCGTATTAGACAGCATTGCTTTTCTATACATGTACACGACTTCGCAGCGTTCGAATTATCCTTCCAACCGTACCAGTTATACGTTACAAGAGAGAGATAGTCAGTGTCGGATTGGAAGTCCAATTCGACCGCGAGTAAGGGCAGAGCATGGGCCACCTCGAGGGAGTACAATTAGACCTCGACTACCCACCCAACCTCCGGTTGGAATCTCCCTTCTACTCCTTACGCAGAATCAATCAATACAGAGATATTGATACTTCGTCACCCCAGGACCCTACGGTTCGAACCAAATTCCCTGTGAAAGGAATACCAACAGAAGGGTTGTTATTCAATTGCTGTTGTGGCGGCACGAGATGGTCTACGGTGACGAGGTCTCGTAAGGTGCTTGAACCCCGCAAAACAGCCAACATCAAACATCACGTTGTTCATAGCCATGCACGTAATATACTTCTTTGACTGTCACTGATAACGAGTCTCTTGGGAAACGGTATAGATACCGCGCCTATCCCTGCGATCAGGAGTGACAGGTGAGTATTCCAGGGCCCTCCCCCCTCTCCCTCCTTGGCTTCAAATAACCCTCCTCACGCCTGGCTCATGAATAACCCCATGGCGTACTCTTTCAATTAAGTCGTATTGGGACTGCACTGAACAAAGTATGAAGGGAAAATCACAGGCGGTGATGCAACTGGTGGACCGCCGCCTTCGGGTATCGGTGCAGTGATGCTTCATCTGTCGATCCTAAGCGAGGGGCGGTCAAGATCAGCCATGTACTTCTCCTTGAAACCTCAGTATCTGTTCGCAAGTTTGGTTACGGTCCCCCCCTGTGATACTGAACAGTAGAAGTCACCTGTGTTCTTCAGCAAAGACGGCTACTGTTACACAACGAAGGATCCTTTGATAAGTATGAAGGAGAGATTTAACGCATAGTCCATATCCACTATTACTCGGTGAAAGCGCTTCCTCCACATTTGTAGTTTCGTTTGGAGAGATTTCGTTTTCAAATCTCCGGAGTAGGTTGAGTATAAAAGAAACCATTTGCTTAAATACCATGGATTCGCTGCCAGTCTAGCGAGTAATCACTCCCCAAGACAGCATCCCGCAATTCAAAGACCATTACATCCAACATTTAATCAATCCCACCGCGTTCTTTTCAGGATGTCTGGCGCTACTAAGTCCGGAGAAATGGTTGAAGCTACCTCAGTCGATATAATCGCACCTGGCAAGTTTGTCGGCACCTATTATCCTACTTCGAGGAAATGCAGAGTCCGGATCTTTCCACTTGATCCAGTGGGAGACCAGCATGGCCACGTCGAACCACTCCTTGGGATAGAATACACGCGCATCGACAGTGCGGGCAATGCGATTGGTCCGCTCAAAAGTGGCCGCATGGTCCGATTATCCCCGATCATCGGTGATGGTGGTAGGCGTTGGGTACGAGGCAACCTCAACGACGTCGCGTATAGAAAGGACCGTAAGGCATTGCCACCCTCAGGTGCCCCCTACTTTACAGAGCCGGAATGTCAAATTCAGTACAACGAAAGACTTCCCCTGAAGCAAATGACGTGGACCGACGACTTGGACAGCGTGCCCGTCATGGAAGTCCTTCAAACAGAGTAAAAAACGAAGCAAGACGAGTGAACAGAGCATGGGAGGCAGCCAAGCTCGACCGAGGTAGCTAGAACACCATTGCCATGGACCGCAGCTTCTTGAGGTCCCCTACTCCTCGCTTCTGCATCACTATTATAGGGTTACTTCGGGCTTCTCAGATAGCCCTTACAGCTTTAGTTTTCCAAAATGCAAAACTACGTAAAGAAAAATACCCAGTAGACTTAAGATACACATAGTGCGCATGTATTCGAGAGCCCGCCCTGACTTATGTAGATCCTGATCTGCCGATTTGTTTCTATGTGTTCCTACGAGCCTTGAGTTGCCTTCTTCGGCCCGTAATTTGATTTACTACACCATCTCTTGTATATAAGTATATATTTCTACTTAGATGATACGTTTAGGCGTTAGAAGTGACAATACCTGGCATGGAACGCCCAAAGTGAGAGGTTCACCATAGTACGTCTTATATATTGTCCTACTGAATAAGGCATCATATTAAATCTAATCCGGCATCATTACGGTCCAGCAACAATAGAGTTCGGATCATTTCTATTATTAGTGAAATCTTGCCCCCGCCGCGGAAAACATCCCTGGCAGCCCATCTACACCAAGACGATCAATCAACCAACTCATAAAACACCCAACGTCAGTCGCTAACTTTGTGATTACCTAGTAAGGTGCAGTGTAATTTTAGGATCAGTAAAAACGTAGGATGCATCCTGGAGTAATTCCAGGATTGCAAGATACTGATTCCATTTTCTGGTCTGGCTTAGTGCCGACGTTTCAGTGGCAGCAGCTCGACTTCAGTGCCTATTAGGCTCCACGAGCGTGATAGATCAATGTATCTACCCATTGGCTTCTGATGACCATCGCCACCACTACATGGATCTCTTCATCGTGCATGAATAGCCTCGCGGCTTTATCTTTCCCGCAGATTGTCCAGAGAGGCTGCCACGAACAGTGAATGTAAAATCTGACTGTAACGCAGTCGGTAAATGTACTCAAGGGTGCTTCCTTGCCTCTGGCGGTTTTCCTTTCTTGAGACTTTGAATAGCTGAACAGCTTGCGCCGGTGGACAGCTTCGTGAAACCAACTTGTGGCGGTCCTATGAAAGACATTCTTGCAACATGCTCTTAAGCTCTTAATAATGAGGTAAACATTGAAGACTGTTCAGATTTTCGACAGGAATGTCGTCACTGCCTTTTAGCACGATGCTTCATTTAGCGATCCTTAGCGAGGGCGATTAACATCAGGTGAGATAATTTCAGTTTCTATTATTCTTCGACCTTCGTTCGAAAGTTTGAGGATAGTCACCCGCGTTCTTCAGCAAAGATGATTACTGTTCCACAACGATGGGATCCTTTGACACGAAGCCGGGCTTTACCGCATCAACCATATTCACTGCCACGGGATAGATGCCAGTCCTTCGCGCTCATGAGTTCGTTCCAAATACCAAGTCTTCGAAATAGGATATAGAGGAAATTCGTCTATATAAACGCCATGAAATAGCTGCCTACTCAGCGAGCATTCTCACCCCAAGACAACGTCCAATTCCAGAACATTACACTCAACATCCACTCAATCCACCACGCCTTTACCAAAATTTCTGACGCTAACATGTCAGTTGACACTGGATATGTCATATTGCCAAACACCGAAGAATGGCCTGAGGGAAAAGGACCTGATGACCGGTTGATCGGCACTTATTGGAACACGAAAAGCCAAAACCTCTACCATATCAACATCACAGAGCACCCCAAGTTCCCCGACACTGTTTACCGCTTCGAATACCATTGTGGAACCATTAGTCGGAAATGCCACATCTTCCGCGCCGATAAATTCAAGTACCGCCGAAGTCAACTTGGTCGCCCAAACGAAAGCTGGAACGATGATGTTTTGCCAAAAGAGTGGCAATCGCCCGGAAACGGCGTCGAGTTCGCGTTCGGTGAATACGGGCATAACGAAATGAGAATGAGAATCACGTGGACCCCCGAACGGAAACTGAGCCATGGGCGCCGTGCGCACTCTTTTCTAAGGCAAACAGGTCCCGCGAAAGATGATGAGAAATGCTGTGACCTGGCTAAGCCAACCAGTGCGGGTACGGAAAGCTAGGAGACTGCCGCGCTGGACCACGGCTTCTTCGGGCTCTATTGGCTGAAACTTTCGACCTGCCTTCCCTCAGATCTTGACGTTTACAGACAGCCGGGAAATGGAGGCCTGAGATTTCGCGGGCGGTGGATCAGCCACCCCTGAATACGGGAAGTGTTCAACGTGACTCTACAATAGCCTCCAGTTAGGACTGCAATGTTATCATGACTTTCCAGTATCACTCACAGATTGACAGCTACGGCCCTTGAATGAAAAGGCTTGCAACGTCTAGCTCACGATACCTGACTTTGATTTTCTTATGTGTATACCAATCTCGACCAGAGGGCATTCACCACGCGAGACTATTCCCACCTCAGCCAGAGGATACATAGCTCACAGATTCGAACGAAAGATCATCTGCCCGGTGCGATCCGACTCGGCCGGGGCCACGTAGCCTGGTGGTTCAACGGGTAGAAGAAACTGGGACGCTGGTTTTTCGTAGGCATGGGGTTCAACACCCTATGACCGAGCTTTTTTATTGTCAAATATCGACCTGCTACTATTGTTGCGTGAGGTATTTATTGTAGTGGTGATGTTTTGTGGGTTTGATGTTGTGAATGAGATGCGTGTCGTGTCCCATATAGTAACCGTGATGTTTTGTTCATCAACAAGCAAGCCTCCTTCCTCGTACGCCGCCACTTCGATGCAATATTACCGCCCCAAGCTGAACCGCCCAACGTTCGTGACGCATCCGTACACCTACCTATACGTGGCGCCTGCCTACCTTATCCCACCCGCGTTCTTGCCTGCTTTGCAACGCCAAACCTCACCTTCCCGCTGGATATCATCAGACATTGAACCGCCCCCCCCGCCCCCCCCCCCCTCCTCCTACCTACACCCAGGAGCAACCCCGAGAAAACCAAAAACAAAAGCCTAGATTTCCGGTATCGTACCCGTTCCTCCCGTCCCAAGACCCAGCGCCCTTTCCACCTCCATTTGTTCCTACCCGGTAGTTCCATTCCCATTCCCTTCCGTCGCTGCTGCCGTTGACACCTCTCCATCCCTAGTCCACGTCAAATCATCCATATTCGCCAACACAGTCCACGGATCGATTCCCATACCCGGGGGAATCGAATCAAAGTTCATATTCATAAACGAAATCGGATCCGTGCTCGGGGCATACTGCAAACCCCTCGAGTCCCACGTCGTCGTTGACGTTGACGTCGAAGAGGACCCCGCAACGCCGCCGCCCAGCATCGCGTTCTGGATGCTCGTAATGTCGATAATCTCATTGACGTTCCCGCCACCGCTTCCACCGTTACTCTGCGTGGTGCTACCATCATCTGGCGAAGAGGTGCTGCCGTTCCCGAGCCCGGGCGGTGTATTGTTATTGCTACTCCCGCCCGTCGACTGTGACGGCGTGCTCTTGTTGAACACCGACGTTGGCGAAGGCTGTCCCGTCGCGGGGCTCCGGTGCGGAAGGTTTATTTGCGAAGTGGCTGCTGCTGACGATGCTGCTGGCCCAACCATGCCACTCCCTCGCAGGAGCCCCGACCCGAACCCGCCCACGCTGTCGATACCGGTTGCCACCGGCACCGGCTGGTACGCAAAGGGGCCGGCTTGCGCCGCCATGTTTGGTACGTCCGGGCTCGTTGTCGACGTCGTCGCCTCCGACGTCCGCTTCCTTTTATTCGGTCCCATGTCCCGCGTATCCATAGACGCCGATGACGACGGCGGTTTCATCCCAATAGCCTGGTCGAATTTCCCGAGCACCGGCCCGAGCATCGGGTTGGTCCCGCCCATGGAGATGGGGGTATTGCAGCCGCCGTCGTGCGACATCTTGATCGGGTAGTGCTCGTAGGCGGTACCCTTGGGATCACCGAGCGGCAGCCTGCCGGGCAAGGGCGGCTGGATCTCGGTGTGTTTCGAGATGGACGTCCGCGCGAGCAGCGGGATGTTGGACGACGTCCAGCCAAACAGGTTCTTGTAGTTTGCCAGGTTGGGTAGGTCGATGACGCCCGACAGCCCGTTGCGCTCGATATCCATAAAGATTTGCTGGAGAAAGGCCTGCGTGATGATGTGCCGCCTCCCAATCGCCTCCATGGCGTTGATGATGAATTTCAGGTTCTGCAGGTCTGCCGTCGAGAAGCCAGTGTCCAAGTTGCATTTCGCCGTGTAGACGTACACCGACGCCGCCGAGTAGAGGGACAAGGCGACCATGGGACTTTTCTGTAGCGAATGAGCGTTTGCGAAGCCGGGTTCGAGGCGGACGTGGCTTTCTCTTACATAGCCCGAGTTCATGTGGCTCGTCAACTTGATGATGCTCACCACCTCCTCCGCCGCCGTCCGCAGCCGCAGCTCCGAGGCGGCCTTGAGCTGTTCGGGAAGCTTGTTCCGCTCGATCCTGTCAATCGCGGCGTGGTGGAGGCAGATGACCGAGGCGTGGAGGTTGAGGTTCGTGTGGACGGACGTCGGGTCGCGCATGCTCTGGGGCAGGCGGAAGCGCTCCGGCAAGAACATGAAGGCGCTCGAGAGCATGTTGTCAATGTCCCTGTGCCGCTTCCAGAACTCGCCGTACTCGACGTCCGCGGGCCTGTCGTTTGGCCGCTCCCAGTGGACGTGCTTCAGGAGCATGTTGAAGATGTAGCACATGATGACGGCGCCCGCAAAGGTCGAGTACGACGCCCCTTGGAACGCTTCTGGCAGGGTTGAGGTTTCTTCTTCGCGAGCCGAGTTGAAGGCCTCTTCGGATGAAGGGAGATGTGTCGTGATCTGTCTTAGGTCAGTAACCAAAAAAAAAAAAAAAATAAGGCTCAGGCATGCAAGGATTCTTACTTCGTTGGGGTTAATGAGAGTAGGCCAGCCTGTTGCAATACTCGCGTGGCAGTCGATGCAATACGCGCCCCAGAACGCCCTCCTCCGCTCCTCAAGGTCAACCCACGACGTGGGCGGCGCAAGCGTCGGCGCCATTTCCTGCCCGTCGCCGTCGATGCGGTGAAGACCCATCATTTCCACGAGTCGTACGCACTTTGCCGAGCTCATGGCCGCCCTCGTGAAGAAGAGGGACCTCGCTTCGTCCGTCGCGATGAGAGCCCACGCTTGCGCGTGTTGTATGGTGAGAAAGTGCTCGCCGAATCCCTACGTATGAGTGTGAGCGTTAGCGAGTCCTTTCTAGAGCAGCAGGTGTGTGTGAGAGAGAGAGAGAGAGAGAGAACTCACCTTCATCTCATCCGCATCCGCGTATTGTCGAGCCCGTTTGTAGAAAATGTCGTGGTACTGGCTATACTTCTCGTGCCCATTAGAGGCCATGGACCAGACTGCATACTGCAGACACATGGGCGGGCGTTTATGAGGCGCCGAGTAGAACGCCTGGAGATATCGACCAGGGTGGATGATTGGGATGAAATGCTGTTGCCTCTCAAAGAAGCTCTTGTTCCTGCTCTCCAAGTCAGATGGGGGCCTATCGCGAAAGCAGGGGGGAGAGAGAGCGCCAGATGCCGCAACATACAGCTCCTCCATCATTTCAAAAGGGGGTAAAGCTTCCGAGAGCCCTAGTCCCATGAGTTCCCCCGAGGCGTCGGCGAAGCTGGGTGCTCCAGGTTGTGAGGGCGGGACCGTCTTGTTCATATTGGGTCCTGTGTGAAAGCCCGAGGTTCCGTCGTCAAAGGTACCATTTTGCATGGCCATGATGGTCTCAATGTCAACATGGAAGTCGTCCATGCCAATGTTGATCCGGCTATCCAGGTCACCCTCAGAGGGCAGTGCCCCATTCCCCTTGCTGGCAGCTTCTTTGAGAAGGTCCTCCACTTGCGCTGTGTCATGGTTAGTCAGAAGTCTTTTTGGCGGGAGTACATGATAACGCATTACCTAGTCTCTCCTCGAGCTCCTTGACATTCTTCCGCTTGAAGGCAGGCTTCCTTCTAGATTCCGGATACACGCATTCTCCCTTAACTTTCAGGCAACGGCTACATGCCGGCTTCACTCGATCACACTTAAGCTTTCGGGACCGGCAAGTCACACACGCCAACGGCTCCGAGGCGTTGGCGGCGGAGCCCGGGAGATCCGCTTGCACGCCGTCGTCGGTATCCATGATGAGCCGCAAAAATTTGCTTCCGGGAGGTAAGGAGAGTGCCGGAAGTGGGCCTTCCGCGGCCGGGGCCAAGATTCAAGGCAAACTCGGAGCAGACGGGAGAGTCGGACTCGGAGGGGCCTGCAGCGTGACGCAAGAGACAACAGGTACGTAATACGGGCTTTGAACGAGCACTATTGCGGCACAAAAGGCCAAAGAGTTACTGACAGTTTCTCCGTGGCCCTTTGCTGCACTATTAGAAGCAGGTCTACACCAGGCAGATACGCGCTCGAGTGCGTGTCAGCCCCAGTCTTTGCTTAGTCGGACAGTTTTTGCACCGATGTCCGATGTCCAAGATGGACCTAGCGCCTCAATCTAATTGGCTCTGGGGATTTCTATGACGAGCCGTACATGATGACTCATCAGGCTGGCCAAGAGTTGAGGAATCAACATTCTCACTGCTCAAAATTCTAGCGACCAATTGTCCACGCTTCTCGCCACGTGAGCTGCAAACTCTGTATGCCAAGCCTGTTAAACGGCGCAGAATGGATCCTAACGTTGGGATCTTCGGAGCCGTCGCCGGATACTGTCCGGTATTTTCCCGTTCTTCAGCCGATAATTTGTGGTTCTCCGCAAACTCCACGTCCAGCTGGGTTGGCCTAGACTCGGCGACCTCTTTCCGGTGATCTCATCCCACCCGGCTCCGGCTCGGCCGAGCCATCCGCTTATCCGCTGCCAAGCGGCGCAGTTTAGTGTTCTTGGCCCGGTGATCTTCGCCAGGAACGCTGAGCCGACCGCGGCACCGCGGGTCCACGGACAGCTCGGGGGGGGTGTTCAATGATCGGCGGAGGCTCATCGCCGCCTCCCCTGGATGATCTGGATCCGTCACGAAAGGCCGAAGTTAATGGCGAGCCGACAGCTAAGCTTGTCAGTGTCCCCAGAGCTAAGGTATCAGGTGAAAGTAGCCGACGAAGAAACGTCTGCGTTCTCGTTGATGACGAGTTTTTGAGTTTGCGTCGTCAAAAGGCTAAAATTCTCCGTGGCGCTCCAGGAACCAGTACCCAATGGACTGGACAGAGTTGCTGCACTCTCGGCCCTGGGTCAAGGTGTTCACCGACTGCCATCCCAATCGTGCAGTCATAGCATTCGGCCTGAGGGCGAATACAGTACGTGATTACCAGTCTCTCGCGGTCAGATGGACTGTTCTCACCTTGGTGGGACGATCACGAGTGATCACACCTGCTCTCATTCGTCACGGTTGGCGGTCTGAAACTTTGTTCCTCGAAGGATCACGGGAGATCCGGCGATATCATCGGTGAAGCGTGTCGAGGAACGGCAGTCACTGACGATGGCGCCCGCCATAAGTAAAGTGATGGCCAGACCTTCCACTACGCCTCGTACGACATTCTCCTCGTAGTCGCGAGGGTGATTTGCAACAGAATCGGGAAATTACCAGTCGAAACCGCGCCGAGAGAATTGCCACTAGTCTCACATTCCTGCCGAACTAAAACACGGGCGAGCGTGGAGGATTGACGCGCGCCGAACGCCACGGTCCACTATTCTCCCACGCTTCCAACACTGTCCCTCGGTTGAGTATGACACCGGAGTTAGTACCATTGAATGAACTTGAGAGGCCGAATATACGAGCGAGACATCCTACCCTTTGACAGCTGCACACGGCATCCCGGTCTAGCGCGTCATGGCAGAAGGCATCGTTAGACTTGGCCCCAGGGCTGATGATCGTCGTGGTCTGGATGTCAGCACAACGCCGGGTGAGGAATTGACACACGACGGCGTTTGGAGGTAGTGGTTGAACGAACGCGGCCAAGAGGTTTTGAGATTGGCTATGAACTGCCAAGGATGTCTCTTACGCAGACAGCGCTTGCCCGCCACCGCTTGGTGAGTTGGATGCTTGACTAACTCCCTGCGGGGCCGGAGCGGCCATAGATCGCGAGTCCTTCGGAAGGTGTTTTGTGTGGAACTAAGAGGATCGCTCAAGTGGCTTCTCGGGAGGCCAGTTTAGGAATACTCGGGCGAGTGACTTGATGGGAGATGAAGCCAACTAAGATTGACAAGCCGAACGGACCCGGGGATTTCGGTTTTTGGCGCTGGATTCAGGCTGATCAGGATCGACGGTGGCCCAGGCTTCATGATCTTCCCGCCGCGTGGTCAGCAGACAAGCCGTGATCTTAGTGATTCTCGAAGATTGGCGACATGGATTTGGAAACTTTGCGATGCCCTGTTACCAGGGCTGTGCGTAGGTAAATCCAGCCACCAAAAGCTCAGTATGAGGATTGCCATGATGGTGGAATGAAAGGGGCTGGAGTGGCCTCTGTTAGGTGGTTTCACCAAAAATATGCTGTTTGGCTTGCTGCCAATGAGTGGTGCCCTTCAGACTTGTCATCTGAGCGCCCTCGTGTTCTGCGCATCCTTCAAATCGGAGGAAATTCCCAACCAGTAGGAGTCGAGGAACCAAACGCAGCCGACAAGGGAACAGACAGGCAACGGGGATCGTCGGCCGTTGCGATTCAGGGTAGCCTTCGTAGAAACACTAACTTTGAGGATGAGAGACGAGCCGGCGTGGGTTAGACTGGGGAAGCATGACCGCTCGGTGCGTTGCTAGTTGAGTGGAACCAAGCGGCTGACGGGTGTAAATCGGGATAGACGTCAGAGCAAACTATGTTTTGAGGAGGGGGGCAGGGACAACTCACAACTTCTGAAGTCAGTTACGCTCCTTGGCTTCGACAGGCCAGGCCATGCTAGACTGGCTCTCTCAGCCCGCAGGGCACACTGGTCTTGAGGAGGCAAAGTGTGATAAGCGATGGGGGGCACCCACGCAGCAACGATGTGTTGGAGACTGGGAGTGAGTGCCCCAGGCTGCGTGATGTTGGGAAGAGGTCGCTCTAGGCTTACGCCTCGAGTCAAGGTCCGAGTGTGACTCCATTATCATGACTAAACATAATGCTGGTGGGGATGGTTTGGCGATGCTCTAGTGTCGAATTATGCAGCGAGAAGTCTCCAAAAGCGTGCTCTGGACGATATATGTAGTGTATTGGCAAGCTGGCAGATGGGGCGTCCAATGTCTGACTGGCACCTCACGTCAGGTCGCATTGCCCTACGTTGGCGGCAGCCGCAGCCCCAGATCTGTACATACCTTGGGTCGCCATGCGTGGCATGCGTGGATTGAGGCAGGAAACACTCGTTCTGAGGCCCTCTGTGATCCAGTGACGAGTTGGCTCTGTGAGAGCAGGTGCACGGCGCCACGTATGTATGTACCAAGTCTCCTAGAATCTGGATCATGACGCAGCAAGCAAGGAGCAGCGTCCAGCATGTACCTGGAGAAGGAGGAAGAGGAGAATAGCCTGCGCACGTACCCGCACTTGCACATACTTCATAGTATGCAGAAGTGTTTATGTGGGATACCTGACTGCTACTTACAGAGATTTTCCTTGCTTGGCTTGGCTCCTTGGGTAACTAGAGTAGGTAAGTATCTCTGGACGGACCATTGGGGCATATTCCGAGGAAGCACGGATGTCGTCGGGATGGCGGAATATGAACGAGAACGTTGCTTGAATTGTTGGTGGGATTTCTGTCTCCCACGACCAGGTATACGCAGTAGATTTTGCGTAGTACTGTATGTACGGGGTAGTATACGGCATTGTCTCCATCCTCTGCTACGGCAGGTAAACCTTGAATCGTAAAAGCCTTGTCAAGGACTCAATTGGAGAGTAGCAGGAGTGAAAACTCTTGGAACATGGGTCGGAATATCCGCAGTCCAGAAGTTGGTGGCATTCAGGCTCGATTGAACCAGGGCCATGCCAGGGCGGCTGCAAGATGGCGACCGGGGCCCGGCGATCATTCGCTGCGGATGATAGGCGGAAATCGGGGCACTGGGATTATGGCAGCCAGAACCGGATCATTCCCCACATGGCCTCCGTCCCTTCCTTCCCCTACCCTTCCGCTTGTAGCCCGGGCCAGGCAACCCTCCAGTCAGTGCTACATCGCGGATGATGATCGCGATACGGCACTGTTGGTGATGGCGATTGAGCGTCGTAAATCACTGGAGAGGAATCAATGTACCAAGCCTTGCTAATACCACGACAACCCCTTGTCTCAAGGACACCTGGACTGGCTGAATCCCGGTACTTCCATTCTCAACAGTCTCGGTATCGCCATACTGCGATATTCTTCGCACATTCCCGTCCTTATTGGTTGGTCTAACAGAGATGGAGCTGGATCAGAGCTTAGGTTGTCCAGGGGCTTACGCTATTTGAGAAAGGCACCTGCAAGACCCACCAGTGATGGCCCAGATTGGAAGTATCTTTCCGGTAAGGCCTGGAAAGGAAGGAAGGAACATGAAGCTCAAGTGGATCCCACGGGACTTCGCCAACGTCAGGTGAAGAAAGATACGTATCTTTGCTTCAGCCTACTGGTCCGGACCGCGTGACCAGGGTATACCGTGCAGGTACGTAGTGCAGAGTACGTATCTTGGGCTTAGTGTAGAATTATGGGGCACAAGCCATCTTCAATCTCCAACATGGACGTCAATCGTCCACTCACAATCTTGCATTCCCGTCCATTCTTCATCACGCTTCCTGCTCTGTTACGAAGTAGCGTATTACAGAGTGTGCGCTTCTTTGAAATCAACTTGCCACGGAAGAGAAGAAAGATACTTCACACACATCACAGAGTTACATTCTCAACAACCTCCTCCCCCGGCGAGTCATCGCTGGCATCCTCTCGTACCAGGCCTTTCCCAGCACGTCAAGGCACTTTTGGTCAATCATCGATGATGTGCGCGGCACCCACCCCTCGGCCCTCTCTGTGCCCGCTGCATGATGGCTCTGACAGGAGACACCTCGTTCCCGAACCGGCCCAGTACTTTGCTACGTTTCCGAAAACAAAGGGGGGCCGAAGAAATTCAAATCATCAAGTGGTACCTGCTCAAGCCTCAAGGGATTCAATACCCTGACACGTCTTGGCCTACGGATACCTACACAGGAGAAGCATTCCTGGAGAACCCCAGCAGAAGTATTCGAAACATGGGGGCGGCGACTGTGCTCGACTACATGTCGCTGCAGAACTTCTCAAAGTGCCAACATGGGCGCGGCTATCCGCTAAGCCATCCCCAAGAGGCAAACCGACTTCATGGAACACCTTGAATCCGTCAAAGGAACGCCCTGAGACAAAGACGCTCTCCTTCAAGCTTCTACCCTTTCCAGATGCGCCCCATCGGCCTTGCCATGCGAGCCTGGCCGACCAACAGACAAGCCACAAACGCCAAAG